TGCTTCAAAATCTAATTAAATTACGTGGTTGCAAAACAGGATGTAAAATAAAGTTCGTGATGAAACTCTTGCACGACTCTTAATACAATAATTATGTGATTTTAATCGACTGTGCATCGGTTAAAGTTAATTATTTGCCGCCTAAATCCACAGGAGATGAAATTATATTAAATCATTATCAATGTAAAGAAAATATTTTTTAAAGCAGGAACTAGCAGCGCTAAAGGCCAAAGTCAATTGTTTGGCGTCTAAATCCACGGCAAATAAAATTATAAACCTTTTTCAAACACAGACAAAATGTTTGGAACCGTGCATAAATCACTATCAAACAATGCAAACAAAGCCGCATCCACGCGTAAACATAAAAACGATCCGAAAACGATATAAGCGTAAAGTTATTTGATCCTGCAAAACACCGTCATGTTTTCCATCCGCGTATATCACGGGTTGGATGTCGAATTTAAAACAAAAATCTACCAAATGCAGAACGAAAAACAAAAATGAAAACTTTGTTTGGACAGACGACAAGCCCGAACTCCTAAGTATAGGGTGTCTCAAAAAAACGCAACCACTTAAATATGCAGGAACATTAATACAGCTCTAAAGCGCAATAGATAAGCACCTCTGGGAATTGAAAATGAAATTGAAAATCCTTCATTTGAAATGCTAAAAGTAATTTTAGCTGAACTATGGTGCAAATCCGAACAACATTAATATTCTTGCATATTTAAGTGGTTGCGTTTTTTTTAGACACCCTGTATAGTTCTTGAGTATATTAAATGCATGTCGTGTATAAAAAACTGTGTGTAACCATATTCCGACATTTTCGACATGTTTCTGGCGTAAAATACTTAAAAGGATTCGCAGAGCCTTTCACTCACCATGAAAACTGATAAGCCAAATAAGACTCAGTTGACGCCAATATAGCATCATAAAGTTGAGCATAAGCCATGCACATGCAAGGCTTGAAACAGGCCTCATTAAATGAGTCATTAACATGGTAACGTGTTGATGCCTGATGCGTCATCGTTTTCAAATTTTTCCGGCACTCGGTACAGCGTTTTCAGATTCTTCCGTTTTTCAGTGGGCGAAAGCGCTGAATACGTGTGGACGGTAGAATATTCTTCCGTTTTCAAATTCTTCCGGTATCCCGTGTGAACGGGGGTCTTTATTAGCAAGTATACTGTTATATGCTTGACACTGCGAAATAGTTGATTTTCGTCAGAACACGACTAGGTAATAATATAACCCCCAATCACAATTAAGCACTAGTGACTTTTTTCCCATGTTATTATTATTATTATTATTATTATTATTATTATTATTATTATTAATTTATTATTATTACTTAGATTTATACTGCGCGAAGTTCCATAGGAAGATGCTCACCTGCGCATTACATAATTTATAAAACAAGTGTATATACATAAGATAAGGAACAATTAAAATATGTACCTAATTAAAAAAAAGCAATCTTAAAAAGATGTTTCTTTAACAATTATTTAAAATGGCTCACTGTTTTTACTCTACGGACGTTGTTTGGTAATGAGTTCCATAAATTGGGTGCCGCTGATATAAAAGCACGGTCATGCACCTAACGTTTTTAATGATTTAAACTCTGGCTGTGAGAGTAGTAATTCATTGTTCGATCTAAGATGATATTTAGATGGTGCTTTTACGCGAATCAGTTCATTTAAGTACTCAGGAGCAAAGCCATGAATAAGTTATTAGCAAGATTCTAAAGTCTATCCGGAATTTCACTGGGAGCCATTGAAGATGCATCGGTGTGGGTGTTATATGACAGATAATGACAGATATGGAGACGACTGAAGTATTTCAACTGTAAAGGCCGATTTTTTGTCTAAAACTGTCATTTTCAGGCAAACAATATTGTGATGTAACTAATAATGTTTACATAACTTATTAACAATTAGCCAAGCTTACTTTTAATCTCAAAGCACGATGTCAATTATTCGTATATATATTTTGTGCCATTCAGCACTTGAATATACAGGGTGCCCCCCAAAAAAAGCAACCACTTAAATATGCAGAACATTAATACAGCTCTAAAGCGCAATAGATAAGCACCTCTGGGAATTGAAAATGGCTCTTAATCCTTCATTTACAATGTTAAAAGTCATTTTAGCTGAACTATGGTGCAAACCCAAACAATATTAATATTCTTGCATATTTAAGTGCATGGTTGCGTTTTTTTTGGGACACCCTGTATACGCGTCGCAAAAAATTAATTTATTAAAATTATCAGTGAATTTAGGTTAATTCGTAAGATGAAGTTACAGTTTGAAGATTTAGGCTAGCCATTACGAGATAATGATATGAATATTTTAAGTTGTAAATATTTCTTAGTATTGATATAATTATAAGCAGAAAGCCAACTTGACAAGCATGACAACGAATATATAAGTAAACAAAGTACGATAGGGTATACGTTTTATTTGCGATTATGTGTTTTAAAATAATGCTCAAACCGCATCCTGCCGAAATGCTTGTAGCTTAGAAGATATATTGAATTAGATATATAGAACGAGATATACTGAATACAGCAGGAATTATTATTACCCCATGACAGCTAAACTAGCGCTGGGTATTTGAATTAATTTTCCTTCGAAAATTTTCTCAGATGTACCCAATGAAAGTCTCCCGCACCTCTTCCGGAATCTCGTCCAATGTGAAGTTTATGTAATTTTCTTTAGCGCCAGTATCCCTTTCAATGATACCATCCAAGGAGGCTTCAACAGCTATACTCAGTTCGGCAACTTTATTTTCACTCATGCCGGTGGAAAACGTATTATTTTCACTGGAGTAAGCCTTGCTGTTGTAATGAATGCTTCCACCGTTTAGGTTCTTACGCTCGAGTTTGCTTCTTTTTGAATATTTACCTTTGCCAAGTTTTTGCAGTTTTCGTCTTGTTCCAGAAGGTAGAACGGTGAAAAAGAGAAACACAAACAGTCCTTGAAGTGTGTTGAAAATGCAGAAAAGGTATTGAAACGTAACTTTTGCATCACCAATCGCAAGAATACCGAAAAGCCAGGTCAAACCAAGCAGCACCATAATCGCGATTCCCCGCTTAGCTTGCAAAATGCCCGTTTCCTTGTGGTCTGAGGTGGCCTTTTTACCGGCGGTGAGCAATGATCGCATGATAAAACAGAACGCCACGATATTACCAACAAGAACGAGAATTGTTGGTGTCAAAAACGCCACAATAAAGGGCACGCCATGTAATCTAAAACTAAAAAAATGGAGTTTTCCTCAGTCAAATCATGTTTGTTTTATTTTTTATTAATCAAATGAAAGCTGTGGTTTAAAGTTTAAGTAATTTATTGTCAATTGAGTTACTGTACGTCATATTGATCCAGAGATACCAAAACTAAGTTGAGCAGTATAATTTATATGGGTTCCTGCCATGGTTCACAAGTCGAGAAAACTGGTTAAAGGATGGCGATGCGAACTCTTTGCACCCCAAAACACTGGGTCTATAGTGAGCTGTGACATTAATTTCCGGTGGCATAAAGCTTATTAAACTCATTCTTGAAAATGTAAAGTAGGTAGCTTCTTTTATAGAAGAGCAATGTCTATTATATATTGTCGGTGTTCATGTCTACATCATGTAGTCTATACTTACTAAGTTTTGTCGCCATATTTTTCCAGTGCCACTATCATTGTTATCGCTACGATTACTCCTGGAGAACCTAAAGCGTACCATAAATAATTATAGAATTACTTTACATTCCGTAGGTTTTATCGTTAAAAATCGTTTACTGTTATACACTGGCGGTCAACTGAAAAGAACTGCTCAAATGTTGCTATTATATCGTATGTAACAGGAATCATGGCAATCTATCTTTTATTGTACACTAGCGGTCAAAAAGAACTGTTTAGATATAAATTCATAAAAAAGAACTCAAGCAAATATATCAGAGCTTCAAAGGCATTTTGTATAATTCTCTTATTCCAAACAATATTTCAATAATGTAACGCAACCTACCACACTTCCAAGATATTGTCAAACAATGGTTTCAGAAAGAGGGAGTGACAGAAATGGATTGGCAAGCACAGTCAAAAGACCTTGAACCTATTGAAAATCTGTGGGACAATTTCAAAGGGATAGTGCAAGAAAGGAATTCATTTATAAAGCGTCCATGATTTATTCGTTGCTGTAAAGACTGTTCATAGGATGAGTTTCTTTTCACCGTGAAGATTACCACCTTAACAGAAAGTATGCCACGCCGGTGTAAGGCCGTCATCAATTATAAAGCCAAAGGAGGGTCAACAAAATATTAATATTTCATATAGCTTAGCATGTAATCTAGTCTATATTTGCTAGTATATATTGTTAGAGGGACAGTTACGTTCATTTGAGAGCATTTTAACTTGTTTTGAGCAGTTCTTTTTGACCGCCAGTGTAGTAATATATAGGTCTCCTTAAAAAATAGAACTCACATAGGTATAAAATTATTTTAAAAAAAATCAGCAAAGACATTTTTTGGGTTTTGGTTTGTCCTGCATTTATGTTTAGTGCACAAAATATACAAAATTCTGGTAGAACAGAAATTTTTAGTATTAAACTTTACCGAATAATAATAACGTCATTGTGAACGATGGTGTCACATAATTGTAGTCTCACATAATTGTTTATTTGGATTCCGCTTTTTTGGGACACTTCGTGATTAGCCTCAACGAAACACCACATTTGTGAAGTAGTTTGGTTACAGACGAGACAAGCGAGGATCTTCTCGCATTTCTTCAGCCAAGATAAATTTTTATAGTTGTGCAAAATATTAGGAGTTATAAAGACATGCAACAGAAAAATCATAAAGAAAGAAACTAGGCATTCAAAAATCGTACGCAGAGTTAATATCGAATTAATTGATAAATAATTTAATGAACAAAAATTCGAAGAAACAAATTAAAAAACAACCCGGTCGTTTTGTCGGTAGGTACTGTACGTACAATGAAGGGTGTATTGTTATAAATTGAGATTAGCTTGCATTGAAATAATGATCCATATTCTGACAATTCTTACCCCATGCAAACAAACAGCACTTCATCAAAAACTTGGATGGATGCGAATCTGCAAAGACAATCACAAATGCTCGATACATGTTATACGCTTCTACCGCCATCCACAAGAATGCTGCTAACAAGAAGTAATGCAACGCAATGGCCGCTGTCCGACAGCCGGCTAATGATGACGTTTTCGACTCCTCCGCTGCCGCTAAGAATACGACTATCGTCAACGACAAAGCAATGCAGAAGTTCAGCAAAATCTGGCTTGGAAGTTGGGTTCGAAGTTCCCTAATTTGGAAAAAAAGAATAATTTGTCATATAGACGAAAGAAGTGTGGAAAGGAATTACATTATTCATGCAACTGTTCTTTGTAACCGGAAGTCTAGATACATGCAAAAATATAAGAAAATAATTCCGATAAAATAGATATATTTTTCCTCTTAAATTGATTAATATTGATTTTTCTTTTACGACTGCAGCTTCCTATAGACCCATCACACTGACGTTATAATCATTAAAAATTGTCCTCCAGGGACCGGTGTTCGGAAGTCGTTTAGCTTAAACGGTGGATAAGCCAAATTTTAAAAATACGCTCATATATTTTGTGAATGACTGAACCATGCATCTTATGCATATAATATGTACTTCCATTGAAAATTAAACTATTTACATCCAATTATTTCAGCTCTGTTGTTCAATAAATAGATAATTTGTTTTCCATTTTTAATTTACCACCGTTTAAACTAAACGCCTTTCGAACAACCGGCCCCTTATAGTTTAGGACAGAATTGGCCATTCAGAGTCATGTATTTCTGAGTTAACTAGGATTTAACCATGCAGAATGTAGTTGAAGTGTTTTATACAACCGGCCTCAGATGTTTTCTTGTTTCACTGAAAATAATCGTTTTTCGAGCGGTGAAGGTTTATATAGCGATCAAAAGCAGTTAACAAAGCAAACTTTCTCAAACTAGTAAATAATTCTGTATTTTTCTCCAAATTTACCTTTTTTTTGCAAAATTTATGCTAATTTGTTCTACAGATGCTTAATGTGACGTCATGTGCAAAGGGTCTATTACTGATCTGTTTTTATAATAGTAGTAGTGTTTTTTTAACTTATCATACTAATATTCACTTTATCATTAATATAATTTGTGAATAATATAAATGCATAGCAAGATCATACATAAACTAGTATGCTAATGTATGCAGGTCAGTGTCCGCTCTAAGCCATCCAACTGATGAGTATGGTTTTAAAGGGAAGGCAATTAAAGATCTTTTTATCCCGTTAAAGGGAATGTTGGGGTCCTACTTAGAAACTGCATGTCGTGTAAACAGCCGTCGTAAGGAATTTTTCCTCAACCATATTAGGTCAAACCTAGTACATTTCTAAGATTGCCTAAATCGTGTTGCATTGAGGATTAAATCGGCATATCAAAAAGTGAACATAAATTTTTTGGACATCCAGTTATTTTCACGAATGAACGATGTATGCCAAAGTAATCCTAACTATATTTACCTCAATATTAGTATTGTAATTATTGTAAATGTGAGCCCGACCAGTGATAGCGCACATCCAACATAACTCACTACCCCAAGTATTCTATCGTGTACCGTTTTCTCTCCTGGATAAACATCCTGAGAAAGTGTGATAAAAAACACAAGGCATTTATATCATACGCGAATGAATGTGAATAGCTTTGAACAAAGCTCCTTAATTATACACGATAATATAACTAAGGAGCTTTGTTTAAATGCTATTAGCACCAGCGTTTTAACAAGGAGATTCACTGCTCAGGCTGCTCTTGCATACGAGAATGACGAAGAGCATCAAGAAAAAGCTGTTGAGGAAAGGTAAGTTTCTAAAGCCACGTTGGTAAAAATTAACGTCACAAAAAATGTTCATTGTTCACAGGAACAAGTGACGAATCAATGAGACTTGCAAAGGATAGTTTATCTAAACAGGGCTTATCAGATCAATAATAGTCTTACCATCAACATAGCGAAGTTGGTTAAATGATTGCAACTACAAAGCACTCTTCCATCATTAAGAACACCTTCAAACTGACAGCCTTCTTGTGACCAATTTCCTGTGCCTATGGTGAAATTCCAGTAGGAGCACAGTGTACTGTTCGTGTCGCCTTCTTCGATGCTTGATAATGCAAAATGCACTGCGTTATTTAAATTTTGAACAGACAATCCCTTGATCCTTCCAGAAATCACAAGACTATTCAAGCGACCAAACGTTCTCGTGGTATCCTCCAATGACACTCTGAAGAATTTCGAGTCTTTATAAAGCACAAAAATGACAGTATGGTTCGCAGCACTGGTATTAACAGTCGAATCGTTGAATATTGTTTGTGGAATCATAAGAGATGGTGGGATGCCATTATTTTCTCTTTTTGGTTCACCTGATACGTTGTTAACGCCTGAAAAATTTAGTCCGGAAAAGCTCTGCGTAAGCACAGTTTGTAAGTTGATGGCAAAGTTTCTTTTGTCTGCTTCGAGTTTCCCTTCGGGACCGGCAACTAATGAGTCTGCAAAGTTGTCCAAAATGTTGACAATCCTGTGAAGATCAGAAATTAAATTAAAAGTAGACACAATCGAATAAACTGATAAGTAAAACAATAAAAAAGCTGAGTTGAATGTTTCCAGATTTATTGGGCAAGGCTTAATTGCATTACCATCCAATATATTATATATCATCTTGTTTCTTCTCGTTTTATTTTCCACAAAGTTTACAAAACGCTTACAAAAGAGTTTACGAAATGACAGTTAAATAGCTGACATTCTTATTGAAATGCAAACTTTCTATTTCAGCCAATGAGAGAGTTGTTGATTACCAGTGGTGACTCGTGCATGCGCATAACTTACAAAACCACCCAACGTCGGCCGTCCATGACATAGAATTTGGACAACTTTGGACTCCGCTATGTTCTCCCGGGTTCCGGGTGTAATTCCTAATCTCCGAGCGGAATTAATACCCTCGCGCTATTATTAGACGCTCCACGCCGTTATACTACACTCATCGCTACACAATACCAAAACTGAAAATTGATAATGTTGAATGACACGCCCAAAATTTTGCAACAGAATAGGACTGAAATCTGAAGTGGAAACTAATTGGCGTTATGCGGTAGAATTGGAAAGAAAAAAAATTAGTTATTCTTTGCATAGGGCACTAATATTATTGGTTAATTCAAATTATTAATCTATACCCGCGTACCTCGACGAAGATTTTCTCTCCACTTGAGCTTTTAAGATATTTTCTATTTTGCTGTCAAGCACATTGTCTATTGTGTCGGTGAAATCGTCAAAAATCTACGAAAAACCCACAAACATATTATATTGATTGTCAAATAATGGTTGTCGACAGAGACTTGCAGCTGCGTGTGGGACTTGCACATGCGCACAAGATTTTCAGGTATAATTGCGGACTAAAGCCGTTTTCCACTAGCGATGTTTTTCGCCCGAAGTGAATTTATCATTCCCTTTTTTTTTGGATTTGAGCAACTCATTCCAGATGGTTGAGACCTGAGAGATCAGAAAGAGAAGTAAAATGTCGCTTTGCGCAAAAATTATGCAGGTCGAAGCTCCCGGCTTTATTAACAATTCTCGGAAGAAGAGGTGGATGTCCCTGAATGAAAGATGATGAATACATGGTTTATATTTAGAGAGCATGAAGCAAATTTACCGGGCATTTACCGAGCATGAAGTAAGTAATTGTTGAATTGTTTTATTACAATTATAGTAAAATTAAAAACGTAATCATTTCAGAAAATCTGCCTGCTTTAGAATATTTTTTATAAACGTAAAATAATGTCTGGACAAATGTATCGAAATTTAAAATAAATGATGTTTTATGACCTTTCATGTTTCATTTTGGAAAGCCCTTGTACCAAATTTTCTTTTGTGCTTTTACAAACAGTATTCAAGTGTGTCTCTTCTTTATGACTTACTTTTTCATCTTTCACTATTATAAAAAAATCTTGCAGCGATTTTGAAAAAGTTACAAGTTCAGTCGGAGGTCACTAAAGCAATCAGTGTCCATAATTTGATAATCATGATTCATACAACTTTAAAATTATACATATCGCCCTTATTCTTACGCGTATTCTATTCTTTTCGTTAAGAAAGTTTGGATTGAAATAGACGTCTAAATATTCACTTCAATTGCACACTTCATAGAACAAAGCAATCATCACACTAGCTTGATCACATGTTGTTGATGTTGAAATATATATAACTACAATGCAGTTACATTAAAAAACATAATCTAACCTCGTTTGCTTTTCCTTTCACTGCAGCAATATTTTCTAATACCGTAGCGATATTGTCGATATCTCCTGCGTTTAGAGTACTGTTCTGATCAACAATGGACAAGTTTTTCAATTCTTCGACTATTTTTACCACGTTGTTAACATTTACTTCTTCCTGAAAATTCGAGTGAAATTCGAGAACTGTTCAAGGGCAAGTTGTTTCTTTTGTTAGTTTTAGGCTTGAATACGTTTCAGCAGGAAAAATAAACTTGGCTAAATTTTGTCGCTGATGGAAAAGCTAGAAGAGCTTACTTAGCTGAAATTGTATTACCTCTGACAATCGAAAAATGTCTTTGCTTCTCTCGTTTTTAAATATGCACTTAGTGGCTACAGTAGGACCCCAAACACTTTCGCCACCTTTTTTGTTTGTATAAAAACATTCACGGCTGGCGAAAGACTCGTTGTTGTAGGGACAAGCAACCGTAGAAATGTTTCCAGTTGGTGTTTCTGGCCACAAAAAAATTCCATACGCTTCAGGTGAACCATCAACATCTCTTGAGCAAGAACCTTTTAAAACAGGCAAAATGTGATGCAGAATTGTAGCTTTATGGGACATTTTCAAATATGCTTCATATTATATTGCTTTACTAATAATTTAGATTTTCAAAAGGCGAAGCTAAACGCCGGACGAGGTCGAAAAATATTTTGATATTCGTTCCGCGTGTTCTACTGAAGATCTACTGTTTTTTTTTAAACTGATAATTTACACAGTGAATAACAGACTAATAATGAGTGTTTATATGTGCATTGATAAGAATATTTCTGTGAGATGAATTAGACACTCTAATTATATCGTTACACGAATGAAAATATTCATTATTTTTTCTATATTAAACGAAAAAGATCTAATGTTATATTGAATTATTTAAGAAATATTTTGCGAATGATTTGCAAAAGTTATTATAAATAAAAATGTTTTTATATATTGCTATAAATTGATTATAAAACCTACTTACTATTTTATACCACGTGATCAAAACAACCAATCAGAAGCCATTGAAATAATAAAATGGTTACATCGCATATTATTTTTGAATAAATGTACTTGCCAGATATGAAATTAGACACTTCAGTATAGTCAAGTGTTAAAATTACAATTTTAGTGCAGCTCATATAGACAATTCCTTTTCAATATGAGCATAACAAATTAACCATTGAATAATTTACCAACCTTGCGTTGAAATCGTCGTTTTCACCGAAGGACTGGAAGTGATACTGAAAGCACTACTAGGCGTTACATGAAGTACGGCTGAAATAGTTGTAATTGAGATGTCAATCACTGGCGCAGTAGTCACGTCCTTTCCCAGTGTATGTGAACTTTCCATTTTCAAAACTGTAGATGACTGAGTAGGTAGAATAACCGTGGTTGAAATTGCTGCAAAATTTCAGTGAGATGCGAATTTAGTAATAGTAGTAGGCACTTCTTCTTGATGTTCCCAATTCAAAATTGACCCAGGACAAAAATGGGAAGGAAAATATTAATCACATTATGCCATTGATTCTTTACACACCTGTTGCTGGATCCGTTGGAAGTGGTAGAGTTCTTAGTATTGAAGGCCTGGATGTGGCGTTGATTTTAATATATTCACTACCTTCGGTCACAGAAAGCGTTGTCCATTTAACATCAGACCAATTCGCAGTGGATATGCTATTTAAAGACGTTTTAGTGACTACGCCTGGTGGCGTATGTGAATTATTTCTCGTCAAAACTACGCGAGTGACTGCAGATGATAGAGTAGGTTGTACGACGGTCGATGAAACTTTTGCCATAATTAAAAAAAAACAAAAACTTCATACTTCATAGTATCTGGTAAAAATTGTTAAAGGATGTATTTCGGCCTATGATGTCTGCAAAAGTTCTTAAAAAAATATAAGTTCTCCAAAAGTGCTCAATGCGAATATCAATCAAAGCAGAATTCCTTACAGTTACACAAATAACGTCTTTAACTGATTTATTTCAAACTTTAAAATGCCAATAATGGAGCTGCTGAGCTCCGTTATTCAATGACTCAACATTAAAAACTCAAAAGGTTTGACAATATTAATCAATTTGACAGCCATTTTTGGCCAGTATTAGTTACGTAACAAACCGGTATAATTAGATATCGAATTGAGTCCTTAAACACGCAAAGCAGTCACATTAATTAGCAGTGATTTCTGACTCGTTAGCTATGAGCCAGCATTCGTACGTTTGTCGTTATATCAATTCAAATTGTATTGTAATTCCAACCAAAAAGGGAATGTGCAATGTTAAAAACAATATAACTTTATTATTAAACCCACCTGTAGTTTGGTTCGTTGACAAAGAAACTGAAGACCTGGATGTGATGTTGATTTCAACGAATTTTCTACTTGGTGTAAAAGAAAGTATTGCCGAAGAAGGACCAGACAGAATTTTAGTTGACACTCCAAGCTCAGACGTAGTCTTCATTTTTCCTTGGATGAATAGCATGCATGGTTGTAAATAGATAGCAATAGTTAATTAGGAGCTTTATCTGCAGGTAATTGACGTACGATTTCGTGTAAAGTTAGTAAAATCTCTATAGATTAGTGAAATGCGCGAAAAAGCCTTATCATTTTTAGAGAATGTGACGAGCAAGGCTTATGAAACCGTGAACGGCCAATTCTTCGCCTACCTGTTGCAGTCCAAATAACCGAAGGCTTGGACAAAGTGATTGTTTGCAAGTGTCTACTAGTTGGCGTTACGGATGGCAATACTGTAGTTGACCAGTTAGTTACAGGTGTTGTAATCACGTCTTGTGATGGCACATATGAATCACTGCTTGTCTCCAAGGCGACAGGATTACCTACGGATGATATAGCTGGAGCTTCGACTGTTAATGACATTTCTACAATAATTCCCAAAGACACAATAAAAAAAAATTATCTATGCTCCTATAAAAAGTAGCTATGAATTTAATTATAATTTGCTTCAATCATCGTAAGCCTAAAAAACCGTCAGACCAAATATTTACCCACCTCTTGTAGTGACAAGTACAAAATTCCTGGCTGTACTTGACACCACAGGAAGAGTTTTTAAGACAGCGTCTAAGAATATATTTTTACGTGCGTTGTAATCGCATCATCTGGTAGCATATGTGGATTCGTTATCCTCAAAATTACCGGATTAACCACGTGTAGATGATTGAAAAAATAGTGCAACTGAAGAAAATATTTATGCAATAACTCAAATACAGTATTAATGTATGGTATCAAAAAGTACCTAAATATAACCAAAACTGCAGCCAAAGATCTTAAGCTTATGAAACCGTGTGTATAAAAATATATTATGAAGACAAATTCTTTTCTTACCTGATTTAGGGACGTTTTTGAGAGATCTGAGTTCCGCATTGCTGGATGTAGCGTTAATTTCAATGTATTTACTTCTTGAAATAACGTCGGAGGAAACTGTAATTGACATGCCATTCGTAGGCGCTGTAAACACTGCTGGCGTATATGAGTTATTTGTCTTCAAAGGATAAACTGCAGATGACCGAGTATGTAGTACGACGTTCTTTGATATCTCTGCAAAAATACAATGCGATAAAATGTTTATGGCAGCGATATATCTCTTCCACAATTTCATTCTACAAACACGTAAACCTGAAACTTAAACGTTTGACTATAATATATTCCTCAAACATCTTGAGCGTATTGAAACAGTGAAGCGAATTGTTTGTTTACTTCTTGTAGACTAAAAGTATCGGATGCCTGGAGGTGGCGAGACTCAATATGTGTACCATTATTTTTCGAAAAATATGTAACACTATCGTAGTTAAAATGTTATTTACAGGCGTCGAAATCACATATGATAGGAACACATGTGAATCACTTGTGCCCAAAGCACCAGGGGCCGGTTGTATGAAAGCCGGATAGCGCTATCCACCGGATAGTGGTTTTTTCAATTGCTTCAAAATCGCCCGATATTTGCTACAACTTTGATTAAATCTTAGTATTCCTAAATTGAAGATCCTCTTTAATAATTGTTGCTTTCAAGCTGAAATTTTATCCCCTTTCGAGCATTTTTAGAACGGTTGAAAAAATCACTATTCGGTGGATAGCGCTATCCGGCTTTGATACAACCGGCCCCAGCACAAGATAAAACAATTTTCTTCTAAAATGTGTCAAAGCCTTTGAAACCGTAGGACAAGCAATTTACAGACCTGTTCTGAGGTTAATTGGATGAACGCTGAGGAAAGAATGCCTTGATGAGGTCTTTAGTCCAATGTGTTTACTACCTGGCGTCACAGGAAGCGTTTTCAAAATAACATCGGAGAATAATTTGGTTGACATGTTATTAACAGGAGTTGTAACCAAATATTCAGATAGAACGTGCACATGTGAATCACTCGTACCCAAAGTTAAGGAATTAACTGTTGACGATTGAATGGGAAATGAAGCTGTTGATGGTATTTCTGCAATAATTCAGTAAGATAAAAATACGTTTACTTGAAAAATACGCTTAAAATGCGACTAAATATAACCGTCGTCAATAATTTCAAGCTTTTGAAACCGCAGGAAGAATAATTTCCCGACCTAACCTGTTGTATGGTCAACTGGATGGATCCTGAGGTCGGAATGCTTTGATGAAGTGTTGAGTCCAATGTGTTCACTACTTGGCGTTAAAGGAAGCGTTGTAAAAATAACATCGGGCAATGATGTAGTTGACATGTTATTTACACGCGTTGTAAAAAAATTTTCAGAAAGCACATTTGTACCCAGAGGTACGGAATCAACTGTTGACGATTGAAGGGAAAGTGAGACTGTTGATGGTATGTCTGCAATAATCCAGTAAGATAAAATATGTTTACTTCTATAAAATGTAGCTAAATATAACTAGTGTCAAGAGTCTTAATTACGCCTTCGAAAGTTTGAGACGAATGATTTACCCACCTGTTCTATGGTGAACTTGATGGGTCCTGAAATCCGAATGCCTAGACGAGGTGTTGAGTCCAATGTGTTTACTACTTCGCGTTAAAGGTAGCGTTGTCAAAATAACATCGGCCAATAATGTTGTTGACATGTCGTTTACCCGCGTTACCCGAGCTACGGAATCAACTGTTGACGATTGAATGGGAAGAGCAGCTGTTGGTGATATTTCTGCAATAATTCAGTAAGATTAAAGCATTTTGCTACTAAAAAGGGGCCAAACATAACTAGCGTCAACAGTCTTAAAACATTTGAAACCGTGGGAGAACAATTTACCAACCTGTTGTATGGTCAAATGAATTGAATCTGAGGTCCGAATGCCTGGACAAAGTCCTGACTCCAATGAGCTTACTACTTGCCGTTAAAGGAAGGGTTGGCAATATAACAGCGGAAGGTACCGTAGTTGACATGCGACTTACAGGCGTTGTACTTGTAGTCACATCTCCTGATAGCACATGTGATTCACTTTTACCCAAAGGTACGGAATTAACTGTTGATGATTGAAGCGGAAGTGAGACTGTTGATGATACTTCTGCAATAATTCAGTGAGATGAAATACGTTTACTTGCATAAAATTGTTAAACGACCCCTTTTCTTTATGTGTTTTGGCTTCTGAATAATAGCAGGATCGTCGGGGTCGTATGGGGGACAGCTTAATAGTCGAAAACTAACACAGCGACAAGCTCTAATGTTTTCCAATTTGTAATTTGTGCAGTTCTTCTGATCAAGACATCAACTGCCTTTCTACATAGCTAGTTATTAATCATAATAGTGCATTGTTCATTGAGCATTGTGCATGTGCAGGTGAGCTGAGAATCATGTTACAAAATGCAGCTGAATAAAGCTAGCGCGTCAACAGCCTTAGGCCTTTGAAAGTTTTAGACAAATGATTTACCGACCTGTTCTATGGTCAACTTGATGGGTCCTCACGTCCGAGTGCCTGGACGAGGTGTTGAGTCCAATGTGTTTACTGCTTGCCGTTAAAGGAAGCGTTGTCAAAATAACAGCGGAGGGTACCGTAGTTGACATGTTACTTACATGCGTTGTAATCACATCTCCTAATCGCACATGTGAATCACTTCTACTCAAAGCTGCAAAATGAACTGTTGATGACTGAACGGAAAGTGAAGCTGTTGATGATATTTCTGCAATAATTCAGTAAGATTAAATAGTTTTACTTCTAAAATGTGACTAAACATAACTAGAGTCGATAGTTTGAAACTGTAGGTGGGATAATTTACCAACCTGTTCGAAGGTTAACCGGACGAATGCTGAGATCAGATTGCTTTGACGAGGTGTTTAGTCCAATGTGTTTACCACTTGGCGTTAAAGGAAGCGTTGTCAAAATAACATCGGACAATAATGTAGTTGACATGTTATTTACACGTGTTGTAATCAAATTTCTTGACAGCACATGTGACTCACTTTTACCCAAAGCTATGGAATTAACTGTTGATGATTGAATGGGAAGTGAGGCCGTTGATGATATTTCTGCAATTATTTTGTAACATTATAAATCTTTTTATTTCTAAAAGCGTGAACATTTTTAAGCTTTTCGAAACGTAGGAAGAACAATTTGCCCACCTGTTGCATGGTCAACTGGATGGTTCGTGAGAGCCGAATGCCTGGACGAGGTGATGAGTCCAATGTCTTTACTGCTTTGCGGTGAAGAAAGCGTTTTTGAAATAACATCGGCGGGCAATAAGGTAGTTGACATGTTATTTACAGGCTTTGTAATCATATTTCTTGAAAGAACTTGTGAATAATTTTTACCCAAAGATACGGAATTAACTGTTGTTGATTGAACGGAACGTGAGATTGTTGATGTTATTTCTGCAATAATTCAGTAAGATTAAGAATTTTTACTTCGATATAAAATATAGCTAAATCATACTTGCGTCAACACTCTTAGGCCATTGAAAGCGTGGGATGAACGATTTACCGACCTGTTCTATGGTAAACTTGATGGGTCCTGAGTTCCGAATGCCTGGAGGAGGCATTGAGTCCAAGGTATTTACTGCTTAGCTGTCTTGGTGTTACAGGGATGGTTTTTGAAGTAAAATCGGACAATACCGTAGTCGACATGTTACTTACAGCCGTTGAAATCACAGTTTCTGGTGGCACATGTAGATCACTGCTTGCATCCAGAACTGCACGATTAACTGTTGACGATTGAATGGGGATTGCAACTGGGGATGATATTTCTGTAATGAGAGACACGATTTTAGGGAGTTTGAAAGATGAACTCTTTCCTTCATTTTAATAATCTGTTAAATTGAAATCTTAAAGTATAAAAATTCTAAATTTGGAAATAAAGGAACGGGAGCATGTTTTAATGTCATGAAATCGATCGAATTCTTTTGCAAACGAAGAAGTTCCTCTCGAGCTCGTTGGAACAGAGCTTCTTAAATGTTACTAGACTTATACTTCATTAACTTCTGATATTCATGGATACGAAATCCATTTCTTAAATGTGAATCTGGTGTTAGTGTTCCTGGTTGCAGAAATTCTGATCACTGGAGCTGTAGCAATTTGGAGTTCAAAATTGAAATTTTTCTGAGCACGTCACTTTTTAGGGGTAAATTTTTCAGCACTTGCACGGACTATAACCAAAATCCCAACAATATATAGTATAAAATATTTTACGGTGCGAAAAGTAAAGGTGTAGAAGGTCTTGTGTCGAATGATTTCGACAAACCTCCCTCACGCCAGGTCTATAAATGATAAATATACGGTATACGTATGTAGCTTTGCTCATATAGCCGAGAAATCGATAACCTAAAAGTATACGTCATAATTTATATTAATGATATGTATATCAAAATTAAGCTCTTGATCTTTTCTTTCATAAAATTGGATAACTGAAGACCAAAAGGATAAACTACACTGCAAAAAATGCAGTCGATTTGAAATTACTGTAACAATCTGAAAATATTGTTGCAATTCAAGGGACGATGGTGCACAATGATAGCACATTTTTATTTGAGTGATGTAATATTCACTTTCTTCATGATTTAAGGAATCTAATGATATGTTAGTTCCTGTCCCTAGCATCAACTAATCTAGCTATGACTACAAAGCTACAAGTGATATCGAAATTTAGAATTTTGAGAAAAAGCCCCGGGGCTGCAAGAGGTAATCCATATTTCACATTATTTCGTTAACTGCATCGTTTGACAAGTTCACTGCTTAATATCTTCAGGCGAATACATCAAAACTACTATTAAACTAGACTAAATTAAATATTAAGTGATTATATCTTACCATAATATATCGATGTAAAATTCAAAATAAATCCCTCTTCGCGCATATTATTATCGGCGTAAAAAACAAGATGGAGCTTAGATCCAGAAGAAACCAGTCTTTTTGGAAAATTGTCTCCACAAAACCGGCCCAGTCTTGGCGCGTGCTTCGAATCACCATCATAAACGTCCAAATAATCCCACGCACAGGAAGGATGGCTCTCCAGCTAGAAGTGAAATAACTCCAAATTTGATATTGAAACTGTTAATTACCTGATTTGTACCAGATGATCAACCTACGATCAACCTCAATCCAATAAACGCGACTAAATATGAAATTAATCTCCTTTTACATTACCAGAAATTTGTGACATGGTGATTTGCATATAAACTAATTTGCATATAATTTTCAACAATAAAGGCCTTTAAATTTTACTGTAAAAATACACATAGCAAAAGTTCAACACCTAAAATTGCCGTTACCCTGGATGTTGCCCACTGTTTGCCGACCTCTGGATCAATAGAACAGCCATTTTACAACGCTTTGAAGATCAAATTACTTACCTTGGGTGTTTCTACGTTCCGCCAACCGACTGTATTCAAATGTGTATATACGCTTTGTATGGTTGAACTGCCTTACGAGACTGATAACATTTTTAATCTGCAACTGCAGAAAAAATCCGAACAATACAGAAAATTTCCTGTTAGGAATACGAAACACAATATCTTTAACAAAATTTCTTGGTATATCACACGTCAATTCATCAACAATCCGAATCGAAATGTGCGTATGAATGTGAGCTATTTCATAAGTTCGTTGAGAGAACATGGCCAAATTTTTGGGCAGTGTATTTTTAAATTTGGCGGACTGCAGAAATACCCAAGGTAAAAGATTCGGTTACCAAAACGTTTCTAAACAGCTATTCTATCCATCTAGAGGTCGGCAAAAAGTGCTCCAAGTCTGTGGCTCTGACGTTACGACGTTTTAATTTTTCACGCAATGCATGTATCTTATAGTAACTCGAATGCCATTATGTATGGATTAAATGCAAATTAGCGCACAAGCAACAGCCATATTGTCACCAATTTCTGGTAATGAAGATTTAGAGATCAAATTTGGAGTAATACTATAAAGGTGCTCGGGATCGTAATATTAGGATTAAAAAAGTGCAATATAATGGCAGATTCCCTGGGTACGAGGTTGCTATCTCACATAGAACACTATACGGTTTTCGAACCAGCGAGCTCAACCTACCTTGAATAGAGAAAACTGCAAGAGAACTTTCTGTCCAATCGTGCTAAAAATAGTCCAGGTGCAGCTCATGCTGTTAGGGTATCGAGACGGATAGTCGGGACTTTTGAGCGTACCAGGAGAGCACAAGAAACTTTGGCCACATGAATCTACACATGCAGAAGTATTCAATGAATGCAAAAACTCAAAGCCGAACAATTACGAGATAAGCAATAGGGGTCGATCGGCGGGACTGCTGAGAATTGTCAATATTGACATTGATAATTTGATTGATATATTAAATTTTAAATATTCTGACAAAGAATTCTGAAAAGTAATAATGATATTAGAAGTGATACGAGATTTCTCCATGAGTACATCTTGCACGACTTCTAATATTATTATTACTTTTAAACAGTGGCGTAACCAGCCTGGCAATTTAGTCATGCTATGCTAATATTTTGGTGTTCATCGACTGTGAAAACACTGAATTTCACATGAAATGAATAATGATAATAACATAAAATTTGCATAGCATGACTAAATCGTCAGGTTGGCTACGCCACTGCTTTTAAACTCTTTGTCAGAACATTTAAAATTAACAGTCAATAAGGTTTGGTAGGTTTGTGAATGAAACCTAAAGTCAAGTTTACGTTACAATAAATTTGAATCATGCGAAATTTTGGTACGTTTCACATCACAATTTAACGGAACGCTTTCCTTTCATACCATCATTATTCGCATTCGCAACGATTTTGTCGACGACGGCGTAAGTTCACTCAAAAAAGTTCCAACATTATCTATTGTTTAGATAATGTTGCAATATTTATAGCCGACAACTGATATAAGATAAACTCGAAACGAGAAAGTGAAGTGCCATTGTTTGACATACCTGTCGTATGGTCAATTGCCAGAGTTGCTGGGCGTACACAACCTGATGTGGTGGGAACTACATGTGATGCGGAGATATCATAAGGAAAAATTGCAAGTTTAATTAACCATCGAGATGTTAGCAGGGAGCTTCAGCCGTGACTAACAGTACGACCACGGGTACAGGATTCGCAAAAATCGATGCTTTCGGCCTACGTCATCGGACGACACTGGTTGTCTTTGGGCTTTAAAGACGAAATAAATCAACAAACTCGTACTCAAAAGCTCGACGACAACGATGTTTGGCTGATGGCGTAAGAAAACAGCACGCGAGAATGACGAATCTTGTACCCGTAGTCACTGCTAAAGCTCCCTAATTTCATCTGCTGGAAATCATATTTAGAGCCATGCATTCATTGCAAGACTGTCGATGTTTGGGCGGGCATGCAGCATGTTGACGATGATAAGTCTTGTAAAGATGACATTGATGGGGACATTCGGATTGGAACATTCGTCCGCTAAGCATATGACACCTGCTGTGTCTATTTCCGAGAAGTCAGATTTTGAGTTAACATAGTTGGGCTACTATATATTCTAAAAATTAAGTTAATGGATAACGCGAATTTAAACTTTACAAATTTCAGATGTTCTTTTACTGGTAAATAATAAGCACGCAAGTTAGTGCACGTTCTTTTTGCCAACCAGATAACTAAGGCTGCTCTCTACTGGTCCCTACTGGACAAAGCGTGCATTCTATTGATAGCGAACAAAAAAGATTCAAGATTAATGACACAGCATAGCAAACTGGGTTTTAATTGCTTACGTGGTAAAGAGGTGATATCGTCGCGTGGTATGCGTAAAATATCCACTGTCGAAGTTGTGGTATTTAAAAGGGTAGGAAGTGCGACGGTCCTTGAAATTTGTGACACAATCTTTATTGACGACGGTATCTTCGGCAAGAGCGTTGAATTTATATTCTTACTTTTAATTCGACCTATCAAATGTAACAAAAGGATAGCACTCAAATATATTCTTGCCATCGCGCTATTTCCACTCGTCGTGTTCTCAAATTGAGGTTTATGTTGTTCAGCCCTACCAATGCAATACAAATCTGGCGCAGATCATCATGCAAGTCCTTTAAAACAAAGAACAACTTGCATGCCTAATTAATTTCACCGTAAAAGGATTTCATGCTTCAAAAATACTTTGCGTATTTAGGTAATTGGTTTATTTTAGTATCACACTGATATCTTCTTCTGTCATTCGCCGTTGATGTATTATAAGTGATCCAATAGCTTTATTCTCATAACGCTATTTTATAAAAACATAATGCACTGGTGCTATATTATGGCACTGATGCCATCATGCCATTTACCTACTGGTCTATTACAGGAAATCCAAGCTAGACAAGATATTGTGTATTTTAGTCGTTCATTTACGATATACCCTAGCGTTCGACAAGAAAGTCCTCGAGGAAACGCTGTTTTAAGTTGAACACATATCTTACTTGGATACACCTGAGAAAATTCGCAGACGGCTGGCACCGTTTGGCTGCCTCAAAATTTCTTTCTTATCGTGTGATTATTCACTAAAGTCAGGAAATTGCTATATAGTCTTCACGAAACATAACTAAAACAGCGTTGATAAGGAATGATTCAAAAGCGCATATTTGTTACAGAGAATGGAATGTACATAAAAGGGTCATTAAATTTAACATTTTTTTAAATTATGATTATTATGTTTAAAGCGGTTCGATAGCGCCCTGGCCTGGTGGCATTAATGACACCTAAAACCAGTTGCTCCGTATAAAATAGTCAACTATTTCCAACGTACGTTACAAGTACGTTTATTTATTTGCTCATCAAGTATTTGCGCACCCAATCATACATAGGGCTATATATGTGAATAGACAATTATTTCTATTTTAGACTAACTTTCTTTATCTATCCAATATGACGAAGTAAAACGCATGCCAAAGATTCTTCACAGCAGGACAAGTATTCTATACTTTTTGCATTAATATCCGGTATTTACACCATTATTTACGAATTTGTGGTAAAATTTTGCAAAGTTTTGTAATTTCGTTGTTTGTTGTCTATGCCGGCCAAAACTGAAAGATTGTCTTTTAAAAAAGTTGAGATTTTGTTGTAGAAATAAGACGAACGAGCCGCCGATGTGAATCCAATTTGGCAAAATTTTCAAATATAAGGAGTACTATTAATCCCTCATTAAACAAGCAACATTAATAATGATTTTATTTAATTTTAGCATAATAAACCGTAATTTTTAGCGGTTTATACGTTTTTTGGAACATAATTTTTAATGCAAACATGATGATTCTGGTCAATGCACAGTATTTGTCAATATTTTGGTTGAATCATGCTAGCAATAAGTCTTCCAAGAAATAAAAACGAATCACTTTTAAGAAGTAATTGATTATTTCTAGACTACATTCTCATATTTGTGTTCCAATGAATTCGGCTCCTTGGTCTCTGTTTACTGACTGCATTGTGCGCTTCCTTTTTAGAAAACCCTGTCGTTTTGTTTACCTTAAAAATATGCCTGGAATGTAAACGTTTGTCTGGTGTTGTCTTGTGCAGATCGAGTGGCTGCAGAGAGATTTCTCAATCATCCTCTTCACATTAATGCATGCATTTTATCTTAAAGAGTATCGCCGATGTAAACTTAGTGTGTTTTATACATGCAGTGTGCCTTAGAAACGATGATAATCAGACTTTAACATGCCATAATGCATCATTATTTGCAGCCATTTGCATTTAATTGGGAAATTTTTGTCTGTAATTCTAATCGGTTGAAAGGTATTCGTTTATGTCTTGCTTTTATGAAACATTGAAAATTGAATGGTAGCTACTATTGGAAAAGTAAGAATTGTACTATTTGATATTAGCGACTGCTCATTCATACTACGTTAGGATTTCATTATATCATCTTCCACAAAAGTCTGTTATGAAAGTCTGATGAATATAACACTGTAGAAAAATCTGAATGGCTAAAGCTTGCTAAATGCCAATCATTTTTACAGAAGACCAAACTTAACTCCGATAATGGCGGTAAATAAGGTAAACATCGAGAGCGTGCAGCTAAATATTCAGAGCGGGGAAACGTGTTTTCTACGAACCCGGACACTCGTAGTCCGTAATTCCGCGCGCCGTGTCTGCACCTGGCGCTGTTGGGAAGATTTCAAACGCCCACATAATGATGTTATTGCTTTCAATTTTTAGCAACCTGGTCACAGCGCAAGGAACAAACAAAAAGACACTTGAGTTGGAAGCTTTTAACTAGTTGGTGGTCATTATAAACACGTTGAAATGTTTGCCCGCCCTTGTCTGGCGAGCTGATTGCTAAATATAGGGTAAACATCGCAAGTTTGAGTGCTCTACATCCTCCTCATATAGAGACAAGGAAGGCAAGATAACATTACGCAATCTCATAAACATTTCTTACCTGACCACCTTCTTGATTATCGGTGCTTTGCAAGTAAACAGAATATTTGTTCTGACAAATCGACAAACCCATCTTCGCATCCTCTTTCTCGTTACATATAGTTCAAAAACTCATGTCCACGTACCAAAACTAGGAGGAATTCTGTATTATTGTACTGAAATCAGTGAGCTTACTCGTGGGAGGCAAATAGTGTATAGACATCTAAATACAAGCTGAGAATACACTCTGTTGTTCTTATTGTTCGAATATTTCTTATTCTGTGTCACGTACACGTTTACCCACGTATAGTGCAAAAGACGTGTACTTGCATGGCGATGAATCTCTGAGCAAACGTGTTCGCTATAAGCTGTTGCTCTCGCAAATTTTCAATTCAAATGTGGTTTAATCGATGCAACGATTTTGTATGATTAACGAAGTGGAACTACGTAAACATGAATGACCTGGGCCGTCTTGCCTGAATTACGGAAAATCAAATGGACACGTACTGTAATTGATAAAAACCGTGGCGGGTGTGTGAAAAACGCTTATCATGATAGCGAATTTATTGCCAATTTCCGTTTGTCTTGTAGCGTAAAATGTTGCGAAGTTCGTTCCCCATCACCCCATGCAGTTCACTTTCAATGCAGTACAGCTCCCGAGTTCACAAACTTTCCAGTCAAATTGTGCATGTCGAATCAAGGAGCTCTATCATCATCACTGGATAATTTATGAACTTGGAAACTCGATAATTGCAGTGGGGAGCAGACATTTGAACTCTCCAAGGAACGTCACAACATCACTCATAAGAGCATTATATAATTGTCGCGTCAAAACGTTTTGTCACCCGGAACGGCGCCGTCAATGATAGGGAATACTCAGATTGTTGCAAACAATTCGTACAGTATATACAGTCAGTAAACAGTAGCTACATCTCACGGGTACGTCCATGCACCCGCGCGTACTCCGTACTCGCTATGCGATTGGTAACAGTCAATAACTGTTATGAAAATAAACAGCAAAATAACTGTTATGAATAAACAGCAAAATAAACAGCAAAAATAAACAGCAAAAATAAACAGCAAAATAACTGTTATGAATAAACAGCAAAATAAACAGCAAAAATAACTGTTAAAATAAACAATAAATAAATAAACTAATAATAATAATAATAATAATTAATAAACTGTTAAAATAAACAGCAAAATAACTGTTATGAATGTAAACAGCCCTCAAGTGATTTTTTAAAAATATACATTGGCTGGTAAATCTGAAGATTTTTGTGTGGGTTAGTGCACCAGGAAGCAAAGTTGTGCAATGCAGACATTTTGAGGTGTTGGTCCTTTCTTTTCTAATTGATTAATGATCAACAAAGACTAAATTTATTGTAAAAATATTTCTGGAATGGATCCAGATTAATAATAGCTGATATTGATGGAAATTTTTTGATCATCTTCTGCAACTGTTCACGCTATACCCTTTCTAAAATGCAGCAACAAAATGTGTTATTTGTGAGTTTATATCACCAAGAGTACTGCACTACATGAACATTGAGTTAAAATGCAAATCAACAGGTAAGAGAATAGGAATGCATCAGTGTCGATGTGTCAGCGATCAGAGACTAACAACAATCGTACCGACTCTCATAATCATCTGAGACAAGGTCTATGTTATTAAACACCATCAAAATTCAAAACAAAATAATTATAAAATGTAGGCCAACCAACCTCTTGCAAACATTCAATAACTTTGCTCATGTAGTTTACTTGGCAGCCGTAAGGCTTGTATGGGAAATCAATTTCCACTCCCCGTACCTTGATCACTGGCATGGTTGAACGGTGAGTCTAAAATACTACATTTTGTTGAAAAAGTATTCGACTTTAAATTCTACAAAGTAACAAAAGCAAACGATCATGAGCAAATGCTTATTTTTTTCACAATTTGCGCCATTTGTCTTCGTTAGTACTTAGTACTCAGTCTTCTCAGGACGGGCACTGAACTCATGCTTAACCTGGATGGTAGAATAACTTGTAAAATAGCGGTAAAGTCTGTAATCTAAGAGCTAAACGCTAGCTTAAAGTCGAGTAAACCTCAAATACATCTTATGCATAATGACGTATCAAGCCGTGACGCCTGCAGAGAATTCTTGCTTTAGTAGTCACTGCAAAAATTCAAACTTACTATGCTATCATAAATTATACTGATATATATTTATTAAAATTTATATATCTTACATATTCATAATTTCATGCACTTGACAACTATTTACAATTATGTTTGCAATTGATCTTACACAGACATTTGCACAGCCAGTTCTCTAAACTAGTTTAATAATGCTCCTTTACTCTCCTGCAATCACAGTCAGACCATTGGTCTTATAATGCACTAGAGACTTCTCAGCAGAATACTCTCAGACGATTCATAGGTAATTGTTGACACTTGCCGTAACTTTCTGGTTGATCAAAGCAGCTCTCTGCCAGTGGCTGCCACATGGTTATGTTAGCTTTCTCCGGAATGGTGCAGGTCAGGTGAATGTCCAACTTCGATTGATCGACCATTGAAGGAGGAGAGTACCAAAAAGAACAATTGGCACTAGGATGATTCACCAATTACCGAGAACATGAATAAGTTCATTGCTTTATAAGTTCAGAGCATTAGCTTAGTTCGTCAACACTGTTTGCAAATATGTTCTTCCTACTGGCCACCAATCAGATGTCTTATTTGATGGCAGAATGGTATGACAGGATATTCAGTTTGGCGTTCGTGGTTCCGGGTTCGCGAAAACGGAGCTGGCTCCGGGTTCGCGAACCGGTTTCATACAAACCGATGTGGCCGCTTCGCTTTTAATGGAAATCGAAAAATTTAAAAAGGCTTTTTTTCTTTGTTATATTGTTAAGAACATGGCCGAAAATGAGAGTTTTATTTCATTTCATTTGCTCGCAATAGCTCCGTAAAGTTGGCTAATTTTTGCACAAAGTTGACTGGTCAGCGGCATGGGCGACGGCATGGCTTTATAAAAGTTCGATTTACTAGCTTAGCTTTTTGTAAAAACTAAAAGATGGCCATTCGAGAGAAAGCCTGACTTATGAGAATATCTAGACTTTTAACCTTCTTCTAGCTTGCGAAATCACGACAGGCAACTTGTTTAAAGTCTAGCCGTTTGATTTCATGCATGTACCCGTGACATAAATGTAATCCCTTCGCGAAGGCAACTAACCCGGTTTCTGCAAATTTTTGTTTTTCCACATAAATTTTTCCACATATGATCAATGTCAATGTAAATGTCATATGATCAATATAACAATTGATCATATGACATTTACATTGACATTGATCATATGACATTTACAGTTCAATAAACCTATGTGGAAAAACGCAGTAACCGGGCTACGGTTGCCTTCGCGAAGGGATCCGGATTAAATTTATGTCACGGGTGCGTGCATGAAATCAGACTTTACAGAAGTTGCCTGTCGTGTTTTCGCAAGCTAGAAGTATAAGGATATTCTCATAAGCTGTCTCTCGAATGGCCATCTTTGAGTTTTTACAAAAACTCGTCGTAAAGCTAGTAAATCGAACTTTTATAAAGAAGCCGCTGACCAGTCAACTTTGCGCCAACTTTAAAAAAAGCCAACTTTACGGAGCTACTAAATAAGACTCTCATTTTCAGCCATGTTCTTAAGAATATATATATAACAAAGAAAAATTAAGGCCCTTTTTAAATTTTTCGATTTCCAAAGCGAAGCGGCCACATCGGCTTGTATGAAAACTAACCACTCCAGCTCCGTTTTCGCGAACCCGGAGCCACAAGCCTGGAGCCGAATATCCTGTCATCAGAATGGTAACTACTGGTCGCAATGGCTGGCCGGCTCATCGACAGTGATCGGCCATTCCTGGTAATTTTCTTCCATAGACGTCTCCAACAATTCCTGACTGTTTATCTGGGATTGGTTCGATGACTGGCCAACAGATAACTGGCCACTGATTGTTGGCGATTTGCTTCCAGGTGATTGGTGAAGAGCCTGGAATGACGTTTGTTTTGCCATCACAATGGCAGAGACGTCGTATGAACCACGACGTCTGTGGAAAATACGACGGAAAAAGGATGACAGTCGTTCAGTGAATGAACGCTTTACTCGCAACCTTGAAGAGAATAAAACATAATTTCTATGATTGTTGCTATAGACCCCTAATCCTGATGATTTGAAGAATATTGTCATGCTAATAGACACAGCAAAACCACTTTCACAACTACACAGCCTTGTTTCAAAACGTAAACGATTAGACAGAATTACAAATAACGTTGCAAAGGCTTCGCAACCAGCAAAGGTGGATAGTAACAAACATCAAATGCATGATTTAACAACTCAGTACTCAACATCAGTAAAGCACGTTTACATCGTCGCTGCGACCGCTGACCAGGAACCTAGGCATATTGTTGCACTATTTCGGCATCACACCGTCTCCGAAATACATATTGATATTAGTTGAAGGTGAAGTTACTCACCAGGAGTGCTTTGCAACTTTCTTTATACTTGGTCGGGCCGCTGGGTCCATGCTAAATAATTTTCTCATTAGGTCTTGCAAATCTACAAATAAAAAATTGGAATACAAAATCCTGGATGGCCTTGTCATATATATGAGAAAAACGAAAAACAACAAGCAAGATCTAAATATTCTTAGCAACAACGGTTGGTGTGATTGATATGCATTCCAACTTCAAAAGGGAATTCGGGAATATATGTATGAATACTGATCTCTATATTTTCCGGCTTTCTCTAACCTGTTATAATTTCATTAATTTAACTCACCTTCAGATAAATCATCCAGTTTTGGCGGTCCTGAGATAACATCTGCAAATGTTGTGTAATCCGTAAAAGGTGGTTCGCCGTGCAACATTTCATATATCATGACTCCAATAGACCGCACAGCTTCCTTGCAAGGATCATACAATTCATGCAGAATATATTCCGGAGGCATATTGTATGGAGTGCCTGAGGGAATAAAACATGTACAATGCAATTAACCAGTCTTTTGACTGATGAATGGAATAAAACTATTAAGCAATGACCGGAAAAGTTGAAATTTAAGAAAATGAGAAATATTACTGGGGTTGATAGTTTTACAAAAGATGAAACCTGACTAAAATTAAAGCCAGTATTTTGAAACCTGAAAAAGTAAATTTTCACAGGTTCGATCAAGGATTTTTAATAATATAGCTGATGAATTGCTACTTTGGAAGAGAAATTGGAAAGACAAATTTGTTTTATGATAAAACAATCTCACGCTAAAGGTGTGAACGTAATTTGGTGATTAAAACTCAGACAACAGAGATAACAACCTCGTACCCAGGGTCTTTTTACCTCCGCTCCAAGGCCCACGCTGGTACGAGGTTGCAGAGGTAAATTATTCATGACATTCCAGGAAAGTTTACTCACCACAGAATGCGTCAACTAGGTTGCCAGGTTTATTATAGCCCGCAAATCCAAAATCAAGCAACTTGATTTCACCAGTATCAAAATCATAAAGGATGTTCTCCAATTTCAGATCACGATGAACGATGTTCTTCTTGGACATCGCCAATACAACGTTGACCAACTTCTTCATGCATTGTTGAGTTTCATCCTCGGTGAAGAAACCTCCTACGTCCCACATGAGGCTTCGGAGATCTTTGCAATGAGTCGGTCTTTCGCAAATGATCACAAATTCCTCAGATGATAAAGACTGATAATGATAGAACTTGATGACATTTGAATGATCTTTCATCTTCTTCAGGAAATACACTTCACTTGGTACATCACCGAGGTCTTTATCCTGTTAAAGAACAATTGTAGGAGAATTCGATATCGTTGTTTAGCAAACGAAGGACAACTGTTCGATAGGGTGTCCGAGTACAGTACCCGTTTCTGTCCGCTGTTTCAAAAGTGATGGACAATGCGAAAATGATTACTTTTCTTCATGCTACACAAATCTTTGATACAATCAAAGAACCATTGCTGATTTCACGAAAATTTAGGTAACTTAAATTAATTTTGGATTCAGCCTGGAAATTAGATACCTCTTTGATTCAAAATGGTAATTCAACGTCGTCATGAGTGGAAACGGAAAACAAAATTAATCATTTAATATGTTTGCAACACTCAATTTTCACGGACTGTAAGCTATATCATCTCCTATGCCCAAAACTTCAACCTCGTGGAGTTTCTACGACCTTACTGTTACTCACCTTGCGATACTCACGAACCGTTTTATAATCTACAAATTTCAGGGCGACCTAAGAAAAGAAAAAAATTAACCACTTACATCGATGGTTTTCCTGAAAAAATCAAATGACTGACAACTTAAAAAGATTTGGGTATCTTACTTCATATCAGAAGCATGGAGCAATATGGCAAAAATGCCGAGGAATGTTTGTTTTTAGGAAGGAGAGACATTTGTAAGAATTACCGGTGTTTTTTTAGTTCCTTTTATGGCATAACCCTTGAAAACTCCACCAAATCCACCTTCGCCAATCAAGCCATTTTCGATATAGTATTAAATCACACCTGAAAGTCAAAAGCAATTGCTTGTTAATACAAAATAACTAAAGAAATATGTAAAGTAAAATGGATTTTAGAATAAAAAAACAAATGCTAAAAAAATAGGTTCGTGATTTCTATAACGTTAGAATCGACTTGCCTTTTGACTTGCAAACTTCAACAAGGTTTTCCCCATCGACAACTCTAGTGACGCGTGGCACATTTGAAGGTTGGGAAGGTTTGACTTGGCTTTCTTTCATGATTTTCCACTTGATGAGTTTTTCTTTCAAAATGTTACGCTTTCTCTTCACGTCATAGATGCTTAAAAATATAAATTGAACATTTTTTTTTATATCTAAATTGAAGAGTGTAATGGGAATATTTTAACAAATACAGCTGTTGTTAACTTGTTTGTTTACTTTACGGACTGCATGTAGCTACACCATCTTAAATTATCAATAAATACCGCGCCTACCTTTCATTTGTGCTATCTGGAATTGCAGTTGAGCAAGATTGAAGCTATAAACATAAAGAATATCGTTATGGATTAGTGAGTTGACTTGTGTGTGATTATTTCAATTTAATTGCATTGGTATCAAAATATTATTGAACAAAAATTTGTTAAAGTGAAAAGTACTGAAGTTTGCCGATCTTTAATTGTTATTTTTTATAAAGTTTATCTTCGAAAAAAGTTTTGGAATGTAAGCTGCTCATTTCTTACCATTTGTTGAGACGACTGTGAGATTTGGAAGAGTTCACCGACAGAATGTTGGCTTCTACTGTGCATTAATGAAAATAAAGAATATTTAGTTGAAGAATGAAAGATGAAGAATATCGCATTTAGAAATTGCTGCCCTATTTTTTACTACCTACTTGTCGGTACAAACATGAAGCTAAATGTTTGTCGACGTATTTAATAAAGGGTGACCAGAAATATTGCGCTAAAGATAGGCGCAAACAGGGGCGTGTTTTAAAGGCTGGCGCACACTTCGCTACTTAGTCAATGATTTTCCCCCAACTTAGCAATTTTCCGCGGCCATTAAGTAGCCCCACTAAATTCGCCTTGGAAAACGCATCATATATAAAACCCTCAAACTAGCACTTTAAAGACTGAAATCGTAGATAAATAAAATCTTACCAATCCCAGGAATACTCCATGTCAAAGAAGCGTAAAAACTGAAATAGTAAATTTCAAACAAACACTGCATCAGTTGTGTCATATTCAGATGAACGAGCAATGTTAAGCGGATAGCAGCTCAATACGAGAGAGTTGGATTTATCAGTTTCAAAGTCTGGTTAAGTAGAGACTTGAACTGACTTCTCAAGCTCAAACAGCAAAAACGCGCCTTTGAAATAATAACATGTGTCATTTCAATATCTCATAACCATACTACTTCCTAGAATATTCATTCAGGGACTTTAAAACATCGATTAGGGTAATTTCCTTTGTTTCGAATCATGAATTATATTAAGAATAATTTAGAGTACAACCTAAAATTATCCAACTGCTTAGGAGATCAATACGTGATAAAAAAACAAACTTATTTTTCAATTGATAATAAAAAAACTCTTTACCTCAGAATACTCCGAGACTTGAGACGCGTTTATGTAATCAAATGAACACTGGACACTACCAGCACTAAAAACGATATTTTGTATTAATGTAGGGGACTTGAAGTGGTAAAAGTCTGTAACCTCACCAAATAAAAGAACAGGTTTATATATTCAGAAGGTAAATCAATTACGTTTATTTAAGTCTTATATTACGTAATATATTAAGTTTTACTCATGCATCCCAAATTCAAGCCAGGAATAGTCGAGAAAAAAGTTGTTAGGTATCGTTGCCTTGTTAGAATTCAAACCTACGCCTTTGCGATGGCGACATTACCATCGTAAATACCCACTAACATTGCTTGCTCCTATGAGCTACCCGTGTAGCTTAATAGCAAGATCATTGCACCGGCGCGTCATAAAGAAGAAGGTTTGATTTCTGCCGAAGGCCATTTCTCACAGGCATCGGAAAGTTTGCTAATTTTTTTCTCCTACTGACACTAGAACAAATTCAGCATAAACTTAACATCTCCCCCTTGGCCTTGCGTTGAAAGATGAGGTTAGCTAAATGGGTAAGAAGCGCTTGTATGGTTTGTCATGACGCAAAGAATACCTTTTTATTATTATACTTTATAGTAAAATATTTCGTATTATTATCATCGTTATTTTTTCGTATAACAGATGAATAATATTTCCCCAAAATGAAGACAAACACGTGTCAATATAATAAAACATCCTTATGTTATAGCGAAGCTATGTAAATAAAGATCATACCTCAGAGATCTCTCAAACGTTTCTTCTTCAAACGAAAATACTGATTCCTCCTGTGAAAATTAGAACGTTTATAAGCTTATTAAAGTACTGCTTTAATTCCCGATTTTCAATTCATTCTTAAAATCACAGAACCGTCCACAAAAGAAAATAACTAATTCATACCTTATAGGAGATCCGAGAATCATTAGAATTCATATTCCTGGACAGAGGGGAAAGAAAAAATGCGTGAATAATGTTAAAAAGTTTTAAACAAAAATTCCCTTAAAGATCGAAGCGCAGTCTTAAACATCTAGAGAGCGAGAAACACGCAGAACGCAATTCTAGGCCATTCATACGCCTAAATGTAAAAATGTTATACAAGATGTATGAGAGTATTTTTAAACTTTGGCTTATTCATGCACCGTTTGAGCTAAATGCCTTTCGAACAACCGCTCCCAAAAAGTTTGCTAAATTTTTTGTCCTACTGACAGAAAAAAAAATTCCATATAAACTTAACATCTCCCCCTTGCGTTGAAAGATGAGGGTAGCTAAATGAGTAAGAAGCACTTGTATGGTTTGTCGTGACGCAAGGAATACCTTTTTATTATTATACTTTATAATAGAAAATTACGTATTATAATTATCGTTATTTTTTCGTATCACAGATGAATAATATTTCCAAAAAATGAAGACAAACACGTGTCAATATAATAAAACATCCTTATGTTATAGCTATACGCAATGTAAATAAAGATCATACCTCAGAGATGTCTCAAACGTTTCTTCTTCAAAAGAAAATACTGATTCCTCCTGTGAAAATTAGAACGTTTATAAGCTTATTAAATTACTGTTTTAATTCTCGATTTCCAATTCATTCTTAAAATCACAGAACCGTCCACAAAAGAAAATAACTAATTCATACCTTATAGGAGATGCGAGAATCATTAGAATTGATATTCCTGGACAGAGGGGAAAGAAAAAATGTATGAATAATGTTAAAAAGTTTTAAACAAAAATTCTCTTAAAGATCGAAGCGCAGTCTTAAACGTTTACAGAGTGAGAAACACGCAGAACCCAATTCTAGGCCATTAATACGCCTAAACGTAAAAAGGTTACACAAAAATTCTGATTACAAAGCCGTGAATTGACGTTGAACGGGCGTTTGGATTTACGCGCGCGTTTTTATTAGCGCATGCATTTACTTTGTTCGTTGCGCTGAGCTGCCGTATTTTTAGTATAGTTTTGATTTCCATTTCTCAAATCAAATCTCAAAACTTGTTTACGTTGTCACTTTCGACGGTGAACTAAATTCTCTACCTTCCGAAAAACAAACGGAACTGTGTAAACACTTTTCTCTGTTTATATTTTATAAATTAAGCCACTTGATAATACGCAAAATGAATTAAAACAAAAAATGTATGTAAACCACAATTAATTTTACACTAAACAATAAAATCTTTAATATACTTACATATTTTCTCGATAATTTCAATGTAGAATATTGAACAGCAATATAACAACGCCTTTGAAAACAATTTGCAATGAACTAACTTTGCGAAATGTGAACCTCTCGAAAAATTTCGACAAGTGAGCGGTCCTTTGTTGACGTAGATAATTAATACTTTTGCGCCCGTGAGTTTTGGTGAGCAAGCGAGACATTCAGTCAGCGTTCGCTATTTCCTCGTAATATGGAAAATGCTATAGTATAAATAAGTACATATAATTATTTTATGTAAGCACATATTTATGCTGAAGTATGCAATCTACAATCTTGTGGTAATGTACAACGATTTCTTAAGCCTCGTTGACTCTCATTTACACCAGAGCGTTCGAAAAGTGCCTATAACATACGTAGTGATTCTTTCCTCAAAGGCGATTTATCTTGAGCCATTTTAGCCGAACATCAGATTTACAGTCCTGTTCGTCGTTTTACATTACGCCACGAGTTGTTTAATTCAAAATTATAATGTATCTTCAGAATGTGTGCAAGGAAGAAGTTCTGTTTTAAAACATTCGCCGGGTTAATTGAACTTACTCAAGAAACCTTTTGCTCAGATTTCATATTTTTAGCTTTAGGAACCTATCTACAGGTCTGTACCAATTGTGGCTTTTTTTCCGGGGGAAATCGGCTTTAAAAGCAGTCAAATCGAAGAGTTGAGTCAAATACCTTTGCAACAATTAATAATTGTACGGCATGAATACAATGTCAGCGTTTTTCCTTTGTTTTCGTGACATGAAGTAAGGACAGCGACTGTAAAAATAATAAATATATCAAAACGATCAGACTCAAAACGACTTACACGCACTTGTCGCATTTATTGTCACCATTGTACAAGAATCATCTACAACAAGAGATACAGAAATTAACAATAAGTTCCTGTTTAAATGAGCTTGTTAGGCATGCAACAAAATGCAGGCCCGTTCTAGACGTCGCACTTTTTATTTTGCGAATTGAAAACAAAAACAGACTAAAGACTCTAGGTTCCGAACATGAATAGTTTGACGTCTGCGTACGGGCCTTATTATAGTTAATTAAAAGAAGACGGGTGTGATATTAAGCGCCTTTTTTGACTCATTCTTGGACCATATAAATTCATCACTCTAGTTAGATTGACAGGACACAAGTTAGTGGGGAAAGCCCTTAAATTTGAAGTGTCTCTTTGCAAGGGAATACCAAACAATCTCTGACGATACTGTATACGCCAATGGCAATGGCCGAATAACCAAATAAAAACATTTCTTAGTGGTAGTACCTCGTTCAAGCATATTATAGTAATGACACGTCTTTGATAACACTTTCGTACGTACTTATCGACCGTGCAAGAAAATGGGTACATGGTATGTATTTGAGCTACATAACTCCAACGAAGTCATTTACACTTGCCTTGGCCGTGTGCGTTTCTTGTTCAAGAACCTGGGGATGAATGCACAGCTGGACACGTGAACCTAGCACGCATACTTTGGGTCTGAAACAAAAATCAATAGAAAATGTGTAAGTTGCGAATGAGTTCTTGATGTGTAGATGATTTTTGGAACTAAATATTCCGGACCTTTACGGAGAAACGTGATACATTAGGAAGCTTCTCTAACATTTAATTAAGACGGTTAGAATATTTATCTAAATATGAGCTAGATAAGCAGGATATGCTCACATGTAAATAATCCAAGAACAAATTATAAATATGGCGGTGAATATATTGTGAAGTCAATAAATGTTATGAACGAGTATATTTTAGAAGACAAACATGTTGACTTATGGCAAAATTATCTTGCTTATTTGACGTCAGATCGTTTGATAAAAGGCTAAAGGCTAATTGTAGAAATCGGAAAGAAAATAAAGCGAACAAGTAAGAAAATCTTAGAAATTATACTTAAAATCTTTGACAATGTACTTTCTGAGCGCATGTAAAACACAATTGCTCATACTACATCATTTCTGTTGTTTGGTCATGTGATGAAAAAACGTGCAGCTATTGGTTCTTTGATTAATTATAGTGTCTAGCTCGCATTCTGATTCGTTCCTGAGTTCGGTACAGTTGCTCCATTTTGGCGCGAAATCGTAACATTCGCATTTAAGAACCGCCGTTGAGAAGTATATCAGGAGAATGTTTACTATTTATCCCTTGGTAAGAAATATAATATCAATAATACAGTTTCAACTGGGTTCCTTCGCCATTTTTACATTTTTTAGCCCGTTGTTTTATTGAAAATGTGAAATATTCCTAAACAAGTTCGAAATTCTAATTATTGAAAATGGCAACAAAATCTAAAAGCAACACATACGCCATTTTTTAGGTAAACATAATTAATTTTCATCAGATTATATGAAGATTCATGAAGATGTTGTTTTGAATTTGTGTTTTTTCTAACCTTTTACAGTAAGTTGTGTCTAGTTATTAAGGGCACAAATCACAATGTAAACAAAGTTATACGAAAGTTGAACGACTTCAGATTTACCTGTTGCGCTTGGAATTTTCGTTAAAAATCGTTCCGTGTATCAATTTCGAGACTTATTATGGGCTGTACAAAAGGATACCTGAACTATAGTTCTTGGTACTTTATTTTCATTAAAATTTAAGCAAATGCCTTTATGGACTTTATGCCCAGATAATAGGCAATTATGCATTCAAATCAGACTCAGATTTTACAATAGTTTACCTTCACTTCACTTTACATTTACCTTCACTTTCTTCTGACATCCAGCCATCAGCTGCTTGCCCAAGGTTTCTTTCTAAATAATCACAAAACTGGCCACTTGCTTTATTTTCTTGAACCTTCATACTCAGTTGCAAGCGAGCCACAAACGTGTCTCTCCAGGCCAGTGTTGCACAAAGTAAACATAATGTCTTTCCAGTTCCTGTTGGTGATTCTAAGATACCATTTTTACCCTAAAAATGCTAGGACGTTATTATCTGCAGAAAGCTGGCTATTTATGTTATAATGTATGGTGGTGGTATGGTGGGGTGAGCCACAATTAGGGGGTGAGACACATATAACACTAAAAGAAAAAAATACACAGCTTTTTAGTAATTGTTGATAACTTGACTCATATATTAATGACAAACTCAAAAATAATTTACATTAATGCAAAAGAACCCTTAACACCTGATGATATATTAATCATTAATTACATTTTAGCAACATTTAGTACAAAACTTTAAACTTTAAAGATGGAGGAGCAAAGGTAAGATATTATAACACAAGACAAATAAAATAGTAGACAAAAAACTTGATACAAAAAAAATCATTATATTTGGGTGAATTGCCAGATAATGTGCTGCTATAATTTTCAATTTTTTATTCTTGTGGCTAACTGTCATGTAAAATTCTTTTGTTTGTACAAAAGTCGAAATGATGGAAATTAGAGACCTGGATGTACAAGACATTAAGGGGCTGTTAAGTTTACCTGAGCCCTAGCAGAAGCGTCATGTCAGGGCTAGCCCAACCTGAATGGCTGTTTTTCACCTCTGTTTACAATCTAGATGTGGGGCTAGAATTTTGCATGTAAAGTTTACATGCAAAATTCTAGCCCCACATCTAGGGCTGAGTCTGGACGGCACATTTTGGCACCAAAAACAAAATGGCCGGCAAAAAAACACAAAATTGTTATTTTCACTATATCATTTAAAATATCTTTACTTTTCCTAATGATTTTTCAACAACATACCCTGTTGTTGCTTTGAAAAATTAATGAAGAAAGCCGGAACCGTCAAATAGTGTCATCCCTGACGTCAAATCTTTAGCTAGCTGGCCCTGTTACGTTTACATGGAAAATTTCCAGCCCTACCAGGTGAGATCTCGGGTAGTCAATAGCGAGATCTTGCCTGGTAGGGCTGGTCCTCCTCTAATGAAAACAAAATTTTTCTTTAGTATGGATTCATAGTAGCACGAGCTATTTTGCTTGGTAGGGCTAGCTAGCCTTCCCTATAGGGCTCATGTAAACAGCTAGCCCCTAAGTGATTTTTTAACAATATACATTGGCTGGTAAATCTGAAGATTTTTGTGTGGGTTAGTGCACCAGGAAGCAAAGTTGTGCAATGCAGACATTTTAAGGTGTTGGTCCTTTCTTTTCTAATTGCATGATTAATGGTTAACAAGGACTAAATTTACTGTAAAAATATTTCTGGAATGGATCCAGATTAATAATAGCTGATATTGATGAAAATTTTTTGATAATCTTCTGCAACTGTTCACGCTATACCCTTTCTAAAATGCAGCAACAAAATGTGTTATTTGTGGGATTATATCACCAAGAGTACTGCACTACATAAGCATTGGGTCAAAATGCAAATCAACAGATAAGAGAATAGGAATGCATTAGAGTCGATGTGTCAGCGATCAGAGACTAACAAAAATTGTACACAAGACTCTCATAATCATCTGAGACAAGGTCTATGTTAAACACCTTCAAAATTCAAAACAAAATGAAATGTAGGCCAACCAACCTCTTGCAAACATTCAATAACTTTGCTCATGTAGTTTACTTAGCAGTCGTAAGGCTTGTATGGGAAATCAATTTCAACTCCCCGTACCTCGATCACTGGCATGGTTGAATGGTGAATCTAAAATACTACATTTTGTTGCAAAAGTATTCGACTTTAAATTCTACAAAGTAACAAAAGCAAACGATCATGAGCAAATGCTTATTTTTTTCACAATTTGCGCCATTTGTCTTCGTTAGTACTCAGTCTTTTCAGGACGGGCACTGAACTCATGCTTAACCTGGATGGTTAAATAACTTGGCTGTAAAGTCTGTAATCTAAGAGCTAAAAGCTAGCTTTTAAAAACTCGAGTAAACCTGAAATAGATCTTATACATAATGACGTATCAAGCCGTGACGCCTGCAGAGAATTCTTGTTTTAGTAGTCACTGCGAAAAATTCAAACTTACAAGTTACAATGCCATCATATAATGATATATATTCATAATTTCATGCACTTGACAACTATTTACAATGATGTTTGCAATTGATCTTATACAAACATTTGCACAGCCTGTTCTCTAAACTAGTTCAATAATGCTCCTTTACTCTCCTGCAATTACAGTCAGACCATTGGCATTCGTCTTATAATGGCTGAGAGACTTCTCAGCAGAATACTCTCAGACGATTCATAGGTTATTGTTGACACTTTCTGGTTGATCAAAGCAGCTCTCTGCCAGTGGCTGCCACATGGTGATGTTAACTTTCTCCGGAATGGTGCAGGTCAGGTAAATGTCCAACTTCGATTGATCGACCATTGAAGAAGAAGAGTACCAAAAAGAACAATTGACACTAGGATGACTGACCAATTACCGAAAACATGAATAAGTTCATAGCTGTATAAGTTCAGAGCATTCGCTTAGTTCGTCCACACTGCTCGCAAATATGTTCTTCCTACTGGCCACCAATGAGATGTCTTATTTGATGGCAGAATGGTATGACAGGATATTCAGCTTGGCGTTCGTGGCTCCGGGTTAGCGAAAACGGAGCTGGCTCCGGGTTCGCGAACCGGTTTCATACAAACCGATGTGGCCGCTTCGCTTTTAATGGAAATCGAAAAATTTAAAAAGGCTATTTTTCTTTGTTATATTGTTAAGAACATGGCCGAAAATGAGAGTTTTATTTCATTTCATTTGCTCGCAATAGCTCCGTAAAGTTGGCTAATTTTTGCACAAAGTTGACTGGTCAGCGGCATGGGCGACGGCAGGGCTTTATAAAAGTTCGATTTACTAGCTTAGTTTTTGTAAAAACCAAAAGATGGCGATTCGAGAGAAAGCTTATGAGAATATCAGACTTTTAACCTTCTTCTAGCTTGCGAAATCACGACAGGCAACTTGTTTAAAGTCTAGCCGTTTGATTTCATGCATGTACCCGTGACATAAATGTAATCCCTTCGCGAAGGCAACTAACCCGGTTTCTGCAAATATTTGTTTCTCCACATAGGTTTTTCCACATATGATCAATGTCAATGTAAATGTCATATGATCAATATAACAATTGATCATATGACATTTACATTGACATTGATCATATGACATTTACAGTTCAATAAACCTATGTGGAAAAACGCAGTAACCGGGCTACGGTTGCCTTCGCGAAGGGATCCGGATTAAATTTATGTCACGGGTGCATGCATGAAAGCAGACGGCTAGACTTTAGAAGGTTAGAAGTATAAGGATATTCTCATAAGCTGTCTCTCGAATGGCCATCTTTGAGTTTTTACAAAAACTCGTCGTAAAGCTAGTAAATCGAACTTTTATAAAGCTGCCGCTGACCAGTCAACTTTGCGCCAACTTTAAAAAAAAGCCAACTTTACGGAGCTACTAAATAAGACTCTCATTTTCGGCCATGTTCTTAAGAATATATATAAAAAAGAAAAATTAAGGCCCTTTTTAAATTTTTCGATTTCCAAAGCGAAGCGGCCACATCGGCTTGTATGAAAACTAACCACTCCAGCTCCGTTTTCGCGAACCCGGAGCCACAAACCTGGAGCTGAATATCCTGTCATCAGAATGGTAACTACTGGTCGCAATGGCTGGCCGGCTCATCGACAGTGATCGGCCATTCCTGGTAATTTTCTTCCATAGACGTCTCCAACAATTCCTGACTGTTTATCTGGGATTGGTTCGATGACTGGCCAACAGATGACTGGCCACTGATTGTTGGTGATTTGCTTCCAAGTGATTGGTGAAGAGCCTGGGATGACGTTTGTTTTGTCATCACCACGGCAGAGACGTCGTACGAACCACGACGTCTGTGGAAAATACGACGGAAAAAGGATGACAGTCGTTCAGTGAATGAACGCTTTACTCGCAACCTTGAAGAGAATAAAACATAATTTCTATAATTGTTGCTATAGACGCCTAATCCTGATGATTTGAAGAATATTGTCATGCTAATAGACACAGCAAAACAACTTTCACAACTATACAGCCTTGTTTCAAAGCGTAAACGATTAAACAGAGTTAGAAATAACGTTGCAAAGACTTCGCAACCAGCAAAGGTGGATAGTAACAAACATCTAATGATCTAACAACTCAGTATTCAATATCAGTAAAGCACGTTTACATCGTCGCAGGGACCACTGACCAGGAACCTAGGCATATTGTTGCACTATTTCGGGATCACACCGTCTCCGAAATACATATTGATTTTATAGTTGAAGGTGAAGTTACTCACCAGGAGTGCTTTGCAACTTTTTTTATACTTGGTCGGGCCGCTGGGTCCATGCTAAATAATTTTCTCATTAGGTCTTGCAAATCTACAGATAAAAAATTCGAATACAAAATCCTGGATGGCCTTGTCATATATATGAGAAAAACGAAAAAACAACAAGCAAGATTTAAATATTCTTAGCAACAACGGTTGGTGTGATTGATATGCATTCCAACTTCAAAAGGGAATTCGGGAATATATGTATGAATGCTGATCTCTATATTTTCCGGCTTTCTCTAACCTGTTATAATTTCATGAATTTAACTTACCTTCAGATAAATCATCCAGTTTTGGCGGTCCTGAGATAACATCTGCAAATGTTGTGTAATCCGTAAAAGGTGGTTCGCCGTGCAACATTTCATATATCATGACTCCAATAGACCGCACAGCTTCCTTGCAAGGATCATACAATTCATGCAGAATATATTCCGGAGGCATATTGTATGGAGTGCCTGAGGGAATAAAACATGTACAATGCAATTAACCATAATAAAACTACTAAGCAATGACCGGAAAAGTTGAAATTTAAGAAAATGAGAAATATTACTGGGGTTGATAGTTTTACAAGAGATTAAACCTGACTAAAATTAAAGCCAGTATTTTGAAACCTGAAAAAGTAAATTCTCACAGGTTCGATCAAGGATTTTTAACAATATAGCTGATGAATTGCTACTTTGGAAGAGAAATTGGAAAGACAAATTTGTTTTATGATAACAAAATCTCACGCTAAAGGTGCATGGGAACGGAATTTGGTGATTAAAACTCAGACAACAGAGATAACAACCTCGTACCCAGGGTCTTTTTACCTCCGCTCCAAGGCCCACGCTGGTACGAGGTTGCAGAGGTAAATTATTCATGACATTCCTGGAAAGTTTACTCACCACAGAATGCGTCAACTAGGTTGCCAGGTTTATTATAGCCCGCAAATCCAAAATCAAGCAACTTGATTTCACCAGTATCGAAATCATAAAGGATGTTCTCCAATTTCAGATCACGATGAACGATGTTCTTCTTGGACATCGCCAATACAACGTTGACCAACTTCTTCATGCATTGTTGAGTTTCATCCTCGGTGAAGAAACCTCCTACGTCCCACATGAGGCTTCGGAGATCTTCGCAATGAGTCGGTCTTTCGCAAATGATCACAAATTCCTCAGATGATAAAGACTGATAATGATAGAACTTGATGACATTTGGATGATCTTTCATCTTCTTCAGGAAATACACTTCACTTGGTACATCACCGAGGTCTTTATCCTGTTAAAGAACAATTGTAGGAGAATTCGATATCGTTGTTTAGCAAACGAATGACAACTGTTCGATAGGGTGTCCTAGTACAGTACCCGTTTCTGTCCGCTGTTTCAAAAGTGCAGGTGGACAATGCGAAAATGATTACTTTTCTTCATGCTACACAAATCTTTGATACAATCAAAGAACCATTGCTGATTTCACGAAATTTTAGGTTAACTTAAATTAATTTTGAAATTCAGCCTGGAAATTAGATAACTCTTTGATTCAAAATGGTAATTCAACGTCGTCATGAGTGGAAACGGCTAACAAAATTAATCATTTAATATGTTTGCAACACTCAATTTTCACGGACTGTATGCTATATCATCTCTTATGCCCAAAACTTCAACCTCGTGGAGTTTCTACGACCTTACTGTTACTCACCTTGCGATACTCACGAACCGTTTTATATTTTACAAATTTCAGGGCGACCTAAGAGAAAAAAAAATTAACCACTTACATCGATGGTTTTCCTGAAAAATTCAACGGTATGGCTGACAACTAGTAAGATTTGGGCATTTTACTTCATCTCAGAAGCATGCAGGGCAATATGGCAAATAATGCCGAGGATTGTTTGTTTTTGGAAGGAGAGACATTTTGTAAGAATTACCGGTGTTTTTTCGGTTCCTTTTATGGCATAACCCTTGAAAACTCCACCAAATCCACCTTCGCCAATCAAGCCATTTTCGATATAGTAGTATGTCACACCTGAAAGTCAAAAGCAATTGCTTGTTAATACAACTAAATAACTAAAGAAATATGTAAAGTAGAATGGATTTTAGAATAAAGAAACAAATGCTAAAAAAATAGGTTCGTGATTTCTATAACGTTAGAATCGACTTGCCTTTTGACTTGCAAACTTCAACAAGGTTTTCCCCATCGACAACTCTAGTGACGCGTGGCACATTTGAAGGTTGGGAAGGTTTGACTTGGCTTTCTTTCATGATTTTCCACTTGATGAGTTTTTCTTTCAAAATGTTACGCTTTCTCTTCACGTCATAGATGCTTGGGAATATAAATTGAAAAATTTTTTAATAGATCTAAATTGAAGAGTGTAATGGGAATATTTTAATAAATACAGCTGTTGTTAACTTGTTTGTTTACTTTACGGACTGCATGTAGCTACACCATCTTAAATTATCAATAAATACCGCGCCTACCTTTCATTTGTGCTATCTGGAACTGCAGTTGAGCAAGATTGAAGCTATAAACATAAAGAATATCGTTATGGATTAGTGAGTTGACTTGTGCTTATTGTGTTCGTATCTAATTGCATTAATATCAAAATATTATTGAACAAAAATTTGTTAGAATCAAAAGTACTGAAGTTTGCCGATCTTTCATTGTTATTTTTGAGATAAATTTAATCTTCAAAAAGAGTTTTGGATTGTAAGTTGCTCATTTCTTACCATTTGTTGAGACGACTGTGAGATTTGGAAGAGTTCACCGGCAGAATGTTGGTTTCCACTGTGTATTAATGAAACTGAAGAATATTTAGTTAAATAATGAAAGATGAAGAATATCGCATTTAGAAATTGCTGCCCTATTTTTTACTACCTAATTGTCGGTACAAAAATGAAGCTAAATATTTGTCGACGTATATGATAGAGGGTGCCCAGAATTATTGCGCTAAGTTAAAGATAGGCGCAAACAGGGGCGTGTTTTAAATTTTGATCGAGGCTGGCGCACACTTCGCACACTTAGCAATTTTCCGCGGCCCTTGGATGGCCCCACTAAATTCGCCTTAGAAAACGCATCATAAAACCCTCAAACTATAGCACTTTGAAAGACTGAAATCTTAGATAAATAAAATCTTACCAATCCCAGGAATACTCCATGTCAAAGAAGCGTAAAAACTGAAATAGTAAATTTCAAAGAAACACTGCATCAGTTGTGTCATATTCAGCCGAACGAGCAATGTTAAGCGGATGGCAGCTTAATACGAGATAATTGGATTCATCAGTTTCAAAGTATCATATAACCAAAGAGCAGCGTGGCAGCGTCTTCTAAATAACTGTCCTGACGAAGGCCCTAAGGTCGAAACGTCGAGAAGTGTTTTGTCTATTTAGGCAGTTGTTATACCACATTTGGTGCATTTGGTGCAAGTTGTTTCAAAGTCTGATTAAGTGGAGAGTTGAACTGACTTCTCAAACTCAAACAGCAAAGACGCGCCTTGGAAATAATAACATGTGTCATTTCAAGATCTCATAACCATACTACTTCCTAGAATATTTATTCACGGATTTTACAACATCAACTAGAGTAATTTCCTTTGTTTCGAATCATGAATTATATCAGGAAAAAATTAGAATACAACCTAAAATTAAAAAGTTCTTTACCTCAGAATACTCCGAGATTTGAGACGCGTTTATGTAATCAAATGAACACTGGACACTACCAGCACTAAAAAAGATATTTTGTATTAATGTAGGGGACTTGAAGTGGTAAAAGTCTGTAACCTCCCCAAATAAAAGAACAGGTTTATATATTCAGAAGGTAAATCACTTACGTTTATTTAAGTCTTATGTTACGTAATATATTAAGTTTTACTCATGCATCCCAAATTCAAGCCAGGAATAGTCGAGAAAAAAGTTGTCAGGTACCGTTGCCTTGTTAGATTCAAACCTACGCCTTTGCGATGCTGACATTACCATGGTAAATACACACTAACAACGCTTGCTCCTATGAGCTACCCGGCGTGTAGCTCAAGAGAAAGATCATTGCAAAGGCATCATAAAGGAGAAGGTTTGATTTCTGCGGAAGGCCACTTCTCACAGGCATCGGAAAGTTTGCTAAATTTTTTCTCCTACTGACACTAGAACAAGTTCAGCATAAACTTAACATCTCCCCCTTGTGTTGAAAGATGAAGGTAGCTAAATGAGTAAGAAGCGCTTGTATGGTTTGTCGTGACGCAAGGAATACCGTTTTATTATTATACTTATAATAAAATATTACGTATTATTATCATCATTATTTGTGACCTTCCACGGGAAAACATACGTTAACGCTATTTCGTTCGTTCGAAAATATCGTTCGTTATCCGTTCGTTTGCCGTTCAAACGCTTGAAGCGTTCGTTGAAACGATTTTCGAGATCGTTCATCGTTCGAAATTGCCCGTTCGAATGCTTAGGAAAAAACGTTTGAAAATTGGTCTAAAAGCGTTCAACCGTTTGATTTACCGTTCGTTGAAACGTTTGCCGGAATTTCGTTCAATCGCATTGGATTTGGTTCAACATATTAGATTAAACATTTGCAATGTTACAACTTTGTAGAAGAAAGCGCAGAATGTGCTACACAGAAATACTCCCAGAAACGTATTTAGTTCCTTAGTAGAAGGCTTGTAAAGGAAATATCCCTTTAGCCTAATCGCGAATGCTATTTTGTGCGCTTCATGTTATGGTTCATGCTTAGCGTCATGATCATGCAGACATGAAGGCTATTAACATTCAGTGCATGCAATTATTTCATTAGCGTCAAATTTCACGTCGTAAGCTTTCTTTCAAAAATTTATCGTCTTTTGAATTTCGGTAATGCACTAAATGGTTAGAGTTTGTGCTTTACTATACTTCTGTAGCTTCCATAAGCCAAATTTCACCGCGCGCACAAATAACGTCGCAAGCAATATATTAGCATTTACGAGCCATAATATGCCTTGGCAAGGTGCTAATTAGGTTGCATAATTGTCGGAAGTCTCTAAATGTATGTAAACAGACAAAACCAGATTTTAAAATGAATTGAGGGATTTTGCGTGTTACATATTAATATCGTACTTTTGAACCATGTGTATTTAGCTAATTTATTTACATCTGATAAACTTATCTAGCTTGAAATTCGTTGTTTTTAATGCAGTCTGACATAGCTACAAATTATACAACAATTGAAATACCCTAGCTAATATTTGAAGACATAAATACAGTGACCCAACGCGCGTTCGGTAGGGTTACGACGCGGAGAACTAAGAGATCCCCATTTATTGGGGGCCAGGATAGATAACGAAACATCATAGTATAAGCAAAACGTGATTTATGACAAACAGCGAATTAAGGGACCCCGCAGTACCAAGTATAGCTCAAGACCCCATCCTCGGCTCTGTTCGTTTCGCCACTGCATGAATATCATAGCAATTTAAATATGTACGTGCATCTAGTCTAAAACTGGAGCCGGAGCAACAAGATCCTCAGTGCCCCGCTTACAAAATTGTCTTATTTCCTTAAAAAGGTATCTTTGTCTCCCCAGATCTAAGCCATCTGGCTCGATCGTTGCTGGCATGTTGAAAGGTGGCAATTGCATAAATATAACTTATGGCATAAATATAACTCATGCATTGTAAATATTTATTTAGACTCTTAATTCACAAAAAAATACTTCATATATATTGATATGTGCACATTTCAGCACAATTCACTCCCCGTGTATATTTTGGTTGTAATTTGATTTCTCTCGACTTGCTCCTCGAATCGGAAACGTGGAACGCGGAAAAGACTCAAATCGTATAAATGATAGAGACTGTATGAAAGTAATGAACCTATATCAATGATGTTCATTGTGTGACATTGTTTATTACAAAAAAAATTCCGTGTTTTGTGAGGTTGAGTTTTGCGCTATGTTTTAAAGTGCGTGCAGTCCTTCCTTGCGCACAACTGGGCTGACATGCACAAGCCTAAAGGGCAAGTTGCCAAGCTAACGTTTACAAACATTTAAGTTTGACCTTTCAGATATTTTGCTACATATATTTCGCTATATATAATTCATCAGAAAAGGAGCATTGGAATTTATCTTGCTTGGACAACATATCAGCTGTTGGGAAACAGGAAAATTTTAACTAATTTTGATTTGGGCTCCTTTATTGGGAAATTACATTCCGGATATTAAATTGCAATTATGCATGGTCATTGCACTTTGACGCCTGCCAGCTAGAGCGGCAAAATGAGCAAATTTGAAATGGCGCCTATCAACTGTTTATGCGTGCATGAGCGCGCGGGTAAAGATCTTTACCAATAATTTCGCGAAGACTGTCCCAAATACTCGGTGGATATTAGCATCTATGGAGAAGTCAAGGCGTTTTAGCGCGTGCATATATAAAGGTTAATACCAGGTATGAACACTAAATGAAACATTAGCTATGATATAAGGAAAGTCATGACTGGGCCACTTTATTAGGCGCACTTGCAATTATTTTCCTCCAAGCATTGAAATCCGGCTTATCAATGAGATCATCAACAGAATTCGTATGACGGTTGGCTCGATTTAAGGTATTTTTTCTTCAGTGTGTTTGCTTGGCTAAACTGTAGCTCTCTATTGATCCATGCATATATCGCGAAATATGACACGCATTCGAAGTAAGATTTCATATAGATGATCATGCAATTGTATATAACAAGGCGTTCTCAATTGCATTTTATGTATATGTTAACGCGAGTAAAATGTATTCGGATATAAATGCGCACTGCAATATAACCCTTTAGATTGCTTATCATGGCCGGTGAAATCAAGTTGGGCCACGATCATCCAATCATTCCGAACAAACATGACATGAAAGGTTGCCAGACCTTTAAAATGGCTTGGCTGAGGTTAGAGTAGTTGTTAGCTTGGTGGTTACAATTTATAGGATGCATTTACTTACATTGAAACAACAATTGTTTACAAACTTTGCTGACATTTTTCATAAAAAAAAGGGTAGATGCTACCTCGAAATATATATAATTATATGATATAAAAAGATTTCGCCAGACAAAATGGATTAATGCTTTCATGCATGTCTTAATTAATCTTGATTAGTTAATTTTACTGTAAGCAGGAGGCACAAATTGTGTCACAAGTAGATGTCTCGAAGATCTTGAGGATCGTTTGTTTCTTAAAATGGTGAGTATAAACTCCCCTGTGCATGCGTTTGGCATTGTCGTTTCTATATGGGCGTCAGCATTGCTATATGCTTTGCAGAAAATTATTTGCACTCTTTGTGATTTAAAAACACGGTTTCTATATGGGCCGTCTGCTATTGCTATATGCTTTAGTGAAAATAGTGTGCAATTTTTCTTGCTGCCGGGGTTGAGTATTAAGTTGCTTTGCAGGGCGGATTTTCGGACCTTCAGGATTGCGGATTGCCGCGATCGTTTGAAATGAAGATTCGAAAATTATCCCATTAATTTACGCGTTCTATTTCTTTAGGTCACTATTGTTAGGCTCATGCAGCTAGCATAAGTATTTACACAGTTAACTATGTAGATGGTCGAATATTTGGGGGGAAATAAAATATTTCCTGATGAATATAGTGACCACCAAGAATTTAGTTAGCTAATTTAATATCACAAGTATTAATTAGCGATATACTGGTTCATAAGTCATAACACATGCAAACGTCATCGTATGGTCACAAAACATATCACTTATATGAAAAAATATGGCGGCAGAAATAAGGACATTGCAGCTTTAGCTTTGCGAACAAAATATGGCGATGGTGCATGCAGTCGATAAAATAGATTATTATCATATTTTAAAATATTCTTAAGGTATAATGATGCCCTTAGTTGCTACTGACAGTACTGTGTAGTGTGTACAGGCGACATTCCGCGACAAGCTTGACCGCAGCTAGAGGCTATTGCCGCACGGAACATATTGTGTGCACTAGGTAAATATTCAAGCTTATATTTTAAATATTTTATTACCGCGCAATGCATTGCTGAAATTTAAATGTGGATTTTCACGTGCATAAATGGTTTGGATATTTAATGTAGTAGGCTATTGATACCAAATAAGTTTTGACAGCATGCAAGCACACGTTACTACGCTGGTTCGCATACAAACGAACTTTCCGTATGCGATATTCTGTATAACTGTTATTAATGTCTGGTTATCATCTGTAAACAACTTGATCCTTGCGCTAATTAATTTAGTCGTTTGCGCGTCAAAGAGTACAAGTAAAAGTGTACAATGGAATCTCTTGTGTTTAGTTTAACATAAAATATGTATCCAGTAGCTGAAACTCAACCAAACTGAGACGGTGACCGATGACATTGCCTATGATATTATTATCGAAGCCAGGCCATTTATGGCAATCTTCGTTTACTCTCGGTTTAGAGCCGTGTTAATAAAACGGATGCATGCATGATGTGTTTATATATGTCCTTAACCACCCATGCATACATATAGTTTGTCCGTGGAGAGATTTACAACATCTGTAACGTTGTTGCAAATAAACACGCGCTGAATATTTTGATGGGTATAGTTGCAGATGATGCATTGATTAATTCGACATAACGATGATAATTTGTACTAATAACTGAAGGCTTTCTAACGAATAAACCCGAATTTTGATGCAAAATGCAAATGTATATATGTATATAAAGTATATAATATTGTGATTTAGGTAGTATAGCTAATAATTTTAGTTAAGCATTAAAATGAAGGTATAGCTTTTTATGTACACGCATATTTGCGCCAACACATGTTACGTGTTTGAAAGTATTTCCTATTCTTTTAATTAGTCAATAATATCTTGCGTCAATCATACGCGCAACAGGCGTTCAGACTAGATCGTTAAAACCGTTCATAAAGATAAAACGTTCAAACGGCTTCAGATTGAACGTTTATTTATCCGTTCGTATTCTCGACTTTAAACGTTCACTTTTTTAGCTGAATTCGTCAAAACGTTTTTTGGGTTCGTTGAAACGTTATGACAAATCGTTCACTACCCGTTCGTTATCCGTTCGTTTTGCCGTTTCAACGAAATATCGTTAACGTACGTTTTCCCGTGGAAGGTCACATTTTTTCGTATCACAGATGAATAATATTTGCCCAAAATGAAGACAAACACGTGTCAATATAATAAAACATCCTTATGTCATAGCTATACGCAATGTAAATAAAGATCATACCTCAGAGATCTCTCAAACGTTTCTTCTTCAAACGAAAATACTGATTCCTCCTGTGAAAATTAGAACGTTTATAAGCTTATTAAATTAAGTACTGCTTTAATTCCCGATTTCCAATTCATTCTTAAAATCACAGAACCGTCCACAAAAGAAAAACACTAATTCATACCTTATAGGAGATCCGAGAATCATTAGAATTCATATTCCTGGACAGAGGGGAAAGAAAAAATGCATGAATAATGTTAAAAAGTTTTAAACAAAAATTCTCTTAAAGATCGAAGCGCAGTCTTAAAAATTTAGAGAGCGAGAAACACGCAGAACCCAATTCTAGGCCATTCATACGCCTAAATGTAAAAATGTTATACAAAAATTTTTATTACAAAGCCGTATACAAGATGTATGAGAGTATTTTTAAACTTTGGCTTATTCATGCACCGTTTAAGCTAAACGCCTTTCGAACAACCGCTCCCAGAAAGTTTGCTTAATTTTTTGTCCTACTGACACAAAAAAAAATTCCATATAAACTTAACATCTCCCCCTTACGTTGAAAGATGAGGGTAGCTAAATGAGTAAGAAGCACTTGTATGGTTTGTCGTGACGCAAGGAATACCTTTTTATTATTATACTTTATAATAAAATATTATATGTATTATTATCATCGTTATTTTTTCGTATCACAGATGAATAATATTTCCCAAAAATGAAGACAAACACGTGTAAATATAATAAAACATCCTTATGTTATAGCTAGACGCAATGTAAATAAAGATCATACCTCAGAGATCTCTCAAACGTTTCTTCTTCAAACGAAAATACTGATTCCTCCTGTGAAAATTAGACCGTTTATAAGCTTATTAAATTAAGTACTGCTTTAATTCCCGATTTCCAATTCATTCTTAAAATCACAGAACCGTCCACAAAAGAAAATAACTAATTCATACCTTATAGGAGATCCGAGAATCATTAGAATTGATATTCCTGGACAGAGGGGAAAGAAAAAATGCATGAATAATGTTAAAAGTTTTAAACAAAAATTCTCTTAAAGATCGAAGCGCAGTCTTAAACGTTTAGAGAGTGAGAAACACGCAGAACGCAATTCTAGGCCATTCATACGCCTAAATGTGAAGATGTTACACAAAAATTCTTATTACAAAGCCGTATACAAGATGTATGAGAGAATTTTTAAACTTTGGCTTATTCATGCACCGTTTAAGCTAAACGCCTTTAGAACAACCGCTCCCAGAAAGTTTGTTAATTTTTTTCTCCTACTGACACTAGAACAAATTCAGCATAAACTTAACATCTCCCACTTGCGTTGAAAAATGAGGGTAGCTAAATGGGTAAGAAGCACTTGTATGGCTTGTCGTGACGCAAGAAATGCTTTTTTATTATTATTTATTAATAAAATATTACGTATTATTATCATCGTTATTTTTTCGTATCACAGATGAATAATATTTGCCCAAAATAAAGACAAACACGTGTCAATATAATAAAACATCCTTATGTTATAGCTATACGCCATGTAAATAAAGATCATACCTCAGAGATCTCTCAAACGTTTCTTCTTCAAACGAAAATACTGATTCCTCCTGTGAAAATTAGAACGTTTATAAGCTTATTAAAGTACTGCTTTAATTCCCGATTTCCATTTCATTCTTAAAATCACAGAACCGTCCAAAAAAAAATAACTAATTCATACCTTATAAGAGATCTGAGAACCATTAGAATTCATATTCCTGGACAGAGGGGAAAGAAAAAATGCATGAATAATGTTAAAAAGTTTTTAACAAAAATTCCCTTAAAGATCGAAGCGCAGTCTTAAACATTTAGAGAGTGAGAAACACGCAGAACCCAATTCTAGGCCATTCATACGCCTAAATGTGAAGATGTTACACAAAAATTCTTATTACAAAGCCGTGAATTGACGTTGAACGGGCGTTTGGATTTGCGCGCGCGTTTTTATTAGCGCATGCATTTACTTTGTTCGTTGCGCTGAGCTGCCTTATTTTTTGTATAGTTTTGATTTCCATTTCTTAAATCAAATTTCAAAACCAGTTTACGTTATCACTTTCGACGGTGAACTAAATTAGCTTCCTTCCGAAACAGAAGCGGAACTGTGTAAACACTTTTCTCTGTTTATATTTTATAAATTAAGCCACTTAATAATACGCAAAATGAATTAAAACAAAAAATATATGTAAACCACAATTATTTTTACACTAAACAATAAAATGTTAAATATACTTACATATTTTCTCGATAATTTCAATATAGAATATTGAACAGCAATATAACAACGCTTTTGAAAACAATTTGCAACGAATTAACTTCGCGAAATGTGAACCTCTCGAAAAATTTCGACAAGTGAGCGGTCCTTTGTTGACGTAGATAATTACTACTTTTGCGCCCGCGAGTTTTGGTGAACAAGCGAGACATTGAGTCAGCGTTCGTGAATATTGAGAATGTATATTGAAAATGTTATAATATAAATAAGTACATATAAATATGTTGTGTAATTAGGTACATGCTAAAGTATGTAGTTTAAAATCTTGCGGTAATGTACAACGATTTCTTAAGCCTCGTTGACTCTCATTTACACCAAAGCGTTCGAAAAGTGCCTATAACATACTTAGTGATTCCCTCTTCAAAGGCGAGTTATCTAAACCCATTTTAGCCAAACATCAGATTTACAGTCCTGTTTGTCGTTTTACATTAGGCCACGTTAAAATGATTTAAAAAGTTAGAGCTATAGAGTTGTTAAATTCAAAATTATAATGTATATCTTCAGAATGTGTGCAAGGAAGAGGTTCTGTTTTAAAACATTCGGCGGATTATATAAACTTATTCTTAGATTTTATATTTTTAGCTTTAGGAACCTATCTAAAGGTCTGTACCAATTGTGGCATCGTCTAAGTTATTTTGCTGCGACTTTTCACTCGTGAGTAGGTTCATTTCAAGATTGCGATTTTTGCCTGTGCTCTTTTTCCGGAAGAACTTTAGCAGTTGTTGTCTTGTCGAAGCACGTAAAATAACGAAAAATATAAACACGAACGTTCCTTGAAGTGAGTTGAAAATGCAAAACAAATACTGGAACAGGAGTTTAGCATCATCATTGACGAGAATGCCAAAAAGCCAAGTCAAACCATGATCGCTATTCCTTGTCTAGCTTGCTGAAAACCCCGATGTTTTGCGATCAGAAGTAACTGTGGTACCGGAAGTAAGCAATGAATACATGATAAGGCAGAAAGCCACTGTATTACCAACAAAGATCACAACGGCTGGAGTGAAAAACGCTATAATGAAAGGCAAGCCTTGTAGTCGAAAGCTGTAAAAGGGTAAGAAACAATTTTTGAACGCATATACAGATCGATAAAAAGGAAACTATTAAATGTTACAAATTGCTCCTATGTTTAAAAATAAAATTGAAAAAGAGAAGGTACAGAAGCACGCCGAAGTACCGAATCTCTCAGAATTTCTATTATTTCAGTCTATGATTGAAGTGCTGCCATTGAGCAATATATACTAAAGTACTCCTTACCTATAGCCTTTCTAATTTTCCCTTAGGGGTTATAAATATTTTTGACAAAAACTTACCGCAAGCAAATAAACAGCACCTCATTATCAACTTGAAAGGCGACGAATAAGGAAACACTTTGATAAAACCGAGATACATATTAAACCCTTCCATGGCTATCCACAAGAATGCTGCTAACAAGAAGTAATGCAAGGCGACTGCCACTGCTCGACAGCCAGATACTGGTGACGTTTCCAGCAACCCGGCATACACCAGGAATACAATTATCAGCAACGACAAAGCAATGCAGAAATTTCGCAAAATCTGGCTTGGAATTTTTGTGCCAAGTTCTCGTAAGTATTCGTTACGACTTATGAGTTATAAGCGAAATAGTCTCACAAAACAGTTTGTAAACAAAGAACAACAATCATAGCTATACATACACAGATGCTTATATAAGACATGAACGTGTAGGTTGGAAGAGTTAATATCGATTCATTATTCTTTTTATCAACTCATTATTCTTAAGTCCGTTTCACTTGCGATTTTTGCTGCGATTTTCCTCTTTTGCTAGATGTGAATTAGTGATTACGAATGCTCTGATGCCTCTAATGCCTTTTATTTGAACATCAGTAACAAGCTCACTCGTTCACATCTATCAAAAGAAGAAAATCGCACTAAAATCGCAAAACAGATGGCTAGCATTCGTGAAGGAAATAATTTTCGTCTGCCAGACTGGAAGTGTTGACAAGCTTCAGTTGAGCCAGCAGATTGATAACGAAGATAAACTAAAATTATGAGAAGCCGGGTACGTTGGAGGACAGGTAGGGATAGTTTGTCTGTATCAAGGTGTTGAGAGACGGGGGCAGCATCAGATCAACTGAGTGGCTGTACTCTCTATCCCGGTGTGGAGGACTTACCACTGTCATACTTATACTCATAATATTGATAACATTCGAATCTGTATTCAGCTGGAATTCAAAAGTATATTTTTTACGCGGTTGATTTGTGGGAAGGCCAACTTCACAAAGATGTTTTGCTAAAGCCAAAACAACTTATAATTTCTCTCAATGGCACAAGGTATACAAAATACATGCTAAGCACCTTATGAGTCGGGAGTTTATTTTTAGATGTACGGACTTTCATAAAGTCAGTATCGGCCTAATAAATTGAGAAAAATCTTGTAAATAAAATAAAGCTTGGAATTTCCGCATTACACGAAAATGGTTTCAAGAGTAAACATGAAAAATATTAGATATAATGTCAGGAACATACAATAGCAGTCAAGTCATAGTATTTTCAATACGATTAAAACTAACTTTAATAATTATACATTCACGTACATTGTGCTACTTAATATATTCCCTCCCTTCACCCCAATTACAATGTTGTGGGAGAGAATCGAAATTAATTAATATAGGATTAAAACATCTAACTTGAAATTACGATATCGTATATGTTGTTTCGAAAGTTTGTATATTTATAATTCCGTCTGGAGAATTCGATGGGTAATACTCCCTCCCCGGGATGACATATCTCTCGGGGACAATTTCTGTATGAATGGAAAGTTTACATAAACAGCGGTTACACATCTAAACCAGCATTAAGTGTTGGATTACGTATTGGGTTCGATTCTTATGATGAAATATGACTCATTTTTTTCTATTCTTTTTCGAGCTAATCTTTGGTTTGGTGTCAACATGATCTTTCGCGCGTTCAGAATCGGATTCGTTAGTCTTCTTGGAAGAGGTTGAAATAACTGATACATCAAGGCTTTTGTTAGAAGATTTTGATTCACTCGTGCCTGTGGAAGCCGTATTATTATCAATATATCCCTTGTTGAAAATGAAATGAAAGCTGAATTTCTTCTTTTTAGGTTGGCCTTCACGACTTTCAGATACGATTTTGCTTTTGACGAGTTTCTTCAGTTGGCGTCTTGTCCCAGACGAAAAAACAACAAAAAAGAGGAAGACAAACAGGCCTTGAAGCGTGTTGAAAATGCAAAACAAATATTGAAACCCTGGTTTTGCATCACCAATCGCGAGAATACCGAAAAGCCAGGTCAACCCGAGCAGCACCACAATCGCTATTCCCTGTTTAGCTTGCTGAAAACCCTTTTTCTTGCGGTCAGAGGTGACTTTGGTACCGGAAGTAAGCAATGATCGAATGATGAAGCAATAAACCACGATATTGCCAACGAGGATAAGAATAGTTGGAGTCAAAAACGCCACAATGAAAGCAACGCCATGTAATCGACAACTATAAAAGTAAATTTTATTTGTGAAACAATCTGCAAATCTCCTTTTGCGTATGGTTTAGTGGTAACACGGGAATTTAATTCGCTTATTGAAATAAAACTTGGAACACTACCTTGTTATTCTTATAGTTAATTCATAGAACAATTATTTAATGGTTTCCGTAATTCTGTGTTTGGATGGCCTGAACCAAACACTTTGGAATGTTACTAAGCAGTAAGCATTACCAGAAATTGGTGACATATATATATAATATATATATATATATATATATATATATATATATATATATATATATATATATATATAATATAATATAAATAATAATATATATAAGTACACCCGTTTGCAAAAACGTTGGCCGCAGATAGATAGATAGATAGATATACTCGAAGTCTAATTAGAATTGCATATGATTACGTTTGCATGGGATTTCAATCATATTACACAACATATGCAATTCTATAATTAGATCTCGGGTATCTATCTATATATCTATCTGCGGCCAACGTTACTGCAAACGGGTGTATATATATATATATATATATATATATATATATATATATATTTTGCCCAAAATAGTAAAGATTATGCAAATCACCATGTTGCAAATTTCTGGCCATCCAATTGTTTAGGCCATCCAAACCCAAAAAGCAGCATAAAGTAATTGTTAAGCATTAGCAAACAACTCCATGCAGGCAGGCTTTATATTTGAAACTAGAACTACCATTATGGGGTTTAATCATATTTTATTGTGCATTAACTAAGTCTATATATACTTACTAGGTTTCGTCTCCATATTTATCAATGGCAGCTATCATTGTTATTACTACGATCAATGTAGGGGTACCTAAAACAATGCCGTAAAATTAAAACAACTATAAAAAAGTAGTAATACTTTTTCACGCTATACAAGAAAGACAATGACGATATGATTATATTGAAGCTTATATATATGTTATAATTTTGAAGATGAATCGAAAATGTCTGCAGTAGAATTTCTCCTGTACCAAGCTTGCCTTACGATATTGTCATTTGCTAATAAATATTTTAGTATCCAAGTCGTCAAGCAAGCTACGCCACTGTTTTTTTTTTGTTTAAACCAATTTGTCTTGAAATTTACCCCATGCAAACAGACAGCACTTTGTGATAAACTTGGGTGGATGTGAATCAGAGAAGACAATTACAAATCCCCGATACATGTTATACGCTTCTACCGCCATCCAAAAGAATGTTGCTAACAGGAAGTAATGAAGGGCAATTGCCGCTGCCCGACATCCGGCCAATGTGGACGTGTTTGATCTCTCCGCAGCGGCCAAGAATACGATAATCGTTAACGATAAAGCAACACAGAAGTTTAGCAAGATCTGGCTTGGAGCTTTGGTTCGGAGATCCCTAAGTTGAGAAAAAGGAAAAATTTAAATCCATTGCGAATGTGAATGTGAAGGAAATGAAACGTTTAAAATGGATTTTTTATGTTCACTTTGGGTGATCTGAATTTCACTGTTTTTTTGTATAGAAAGGTTTCTGGGTTCAGCAAAATTCGTAGAAAACTAATATAATTCGCGATGTACAGTGTTCTTGATATTTCATACAAAGTCGTAACTGGCTTTTGTATTAATAGGTCTATAAACATTATAATCTCCCACAAATGTCAAGCGCTTGCCCCCAAAATGATTTAATATTAATCTGGTATTCGCAGTCCTTTTCGTAGTCAAGTCTATAATATAGCCAAGGCTAGTAATCAACAACCTCGTTCCCAGGGCCTTTTGGGACTTTAGGAAAAGCCCTGGGATCGGACGTTCAAAATACCCACAATTCGTGGGTATTTTTAATACGTACAATTTATCATAAAATTTTGCCTAATATTTTCCGAATTGATCTACGGATAATATTGCACCATTAAAGTATATCGGAATTGCACTAATTTGGAATAATTACAAATTTTTAATGACACATCAATTAGGAAAAATCCTTTAACCAATCAAAAGTCCGAAGCGGCTGGCCGATCCGAGGGCCTTTTACCCCAAACCCAGAATCAAGGAAAAAGCCCTGGGAATGAGGTTGAATAATTATATGATCCAATTTTAAACCATTGTTAGTGAGATATTAATGCGAAATTAATTATTGATTTGCATGCATGATGAAAATGTAGTATATGAATCAATTTTCGAAACTCACCTTAATATTAGTATCACGATTATTGTCAAAGCAAGTCCAATTAATGATAGTGCACATCCAACGTAACTTACTACACCAAGTATTTTATAATGTGCAGTGATCTTCCCTGGATTGATATCCTAAAAAATAGATTTAGAACTTTAGGAACAAACATAAAACACCGCTAGTTGCGGAATATTCGTTTCCTTCGGTTTCAACGATATAATGATTGATAGATGCCAAATAAATGACGTTTTCAAGCCAAATTCTGGGTATATCAATAATTTAAGTCTGATTGTATGAATGTGGCTAATAAAAATTAAAGAAAATTCAGTGCGAACTTAGAAAGGAGGCCTTGGAGAATTTTTGGTATCCTATTAAACAATTTTTAATTAGCCATCAATCAACGCACGTGCGTTTTGTAAAGACTTAAACCATGCGGGAGAATCGAAGAAGGCAGTAGGGAACGCTAAAATAAGAAACGAGTAATCCCGGAATTCCTGAAACTAGAAGCAAGAAAAAACGCATGTACAATTTTAAATCAAGAAATTGTAAAAGCGAGAAACTTCGCAAAAAGGAAATGCAAAGAGCCGGATTCTCAAAAACAAGGACGGCAAAGACGAAAATTTGTTTCATATACGCTTTTCTCCCCGAATGTTTAAAAGATTTACACGTTTATCATTTCTTTTCCTGATTATTGCGGTTTTTTGTGTTCCTTGATTTAAATATTTTAGCGTCCCTCATTCCCTTCTCCAATTCCCTGTTCCAGCTTTTAAAGATAGCCGTTTCAATTATCATAAGGGAAATTGAATATACTTTTCACTGAAACTAATATAGATCGAGGTATGAATCGATAATACTCTTACCATCAACATTGCAAAGTTAGTAAAGTGATTGCAACTACAAAGCACTCTTCCATCCTCAAGAACGCGTTCAAACTTGCAACCGTCTTGTGACCAATCTCCTATGCTGAATTCCCAGTAAGAGCACAAAGTGCTTTTTGTGTCCCCTGGTTCAATCATTGGCAGGGCAATATAACCCGGGACTCTCAAATTTGCCACAGTTAATCCTTTAACACTCCCAGCAATCACAAGACTATTCAAGCGGCTTTTGGTCCTCGTAGTATCCGTCAATGATACTCTAAAATACTTTGTGTCTGTATAGAGAACAAAAATGGCTGTCGCGTTTCTCAAACTGTTGTTAGCGGCAGCTATCGATCCGCTCATTATTGCTTTGGGGATTATGATAGAAGGGGCTGAATTTTGTGAAGAGCTATAATTTAATTTCGTCGACGTCCTTTCCGTTTCCATCGACCTGTTGGTAGTGCCTGAGAAATTAAGCCCGCTGAAGTTTTGCGCCTGCACGACCTGCAAGTTAACTTTGAAGTTTTTCTTGACAGATTCTAGGTTGCCTTCTGGACCGATAACCAATGATTCTGCGAAGTTGTTTATAGCAGTGACAATCCTGTAAAGAATAAAAATATTTTTTGCAGATGGTGCTTAACACATGCACCAGTCGAAGAAATGCGGAATAAGGATAAACAGGGAGCGCGAAGCATGCCAAATTGAAATTGAACAAGTGTGAGGGGACTCTCTACTTCATTAAGTAATTACGACATTGCCCTGGCATACCTAGCATGCATTACTCAGTAAGAAGCCTAGTAAAAACTGATTCCTGCTTCGTGGATGGCACTATCCGGTTTTCGTGAACTACTATCATGAACCACTCACATGCATGCACGCATGATCAATTTGTCTATCGTGTATACCTTGACGAAGAGTTCTTCTCCTGTTGACCTTTTAAGACATTCTCTAACTTTGCGTCCAAAACGTTGTCTATTGTGTTGAAAAAACTATCGAGAATCTAAAAGGTATTAAGTAGTGGTCAGTGAACTGAAATAAGACTGGAACGGTCACTCTCTGACTTTATCTTATTAATTAGTGAAGCCAAGATGGCGGAACATGAAGCCTTTCTTGTAGGAATGATCCAGGCCTCTGGCGCAGGTAAAATCATAATTTCAAAGGTAAAATCATAATTGCCTCCATTTTATCTACGAGATTTTCGCGTGGTGGCCTGGATCATACATATAAAAAAGGCTTCATATTCTGCCATCTTGACTTCAAACTTTCAGTGGTCTTATTTCAGTTCACTGGTAGTGGTTGATTAAAATAAACTCGCTTCTCGGGCCCAAAGTTGTGCGCTTCTCGCCCTGGGAAGGAAGCCCAGCTCATCTGAGATACAATCTGAAATATATCGTTTATCTCACTGAGGTCAAGGAACTAGTAAAGTCGAAGTACAATATCGAAGTCCTCACAATTTGACGTCATGAGGCACCTCAACATTATCCGAATTATCATGCAGCTGGAGTCTTCAAAACGAATAATAGTATAAAGAGCAAGAAATAACTATCTTATTTACAGTTGAATGAGAAAGAAATGTGTTTCAGCAGGAAAATGGGAGAATTTGAAGTTACTTTCGTTGTCTTGAAGACTACTACAATTCACGAGCACTATACAGAGGGGGGGCAAGGGGGGGGTCTTGTCACGAAATCACAAAGGTGTTTTTAAGATTTCACGAATCACGAAGAAGATCATTTCATTTTTACCACTTTGCAGCGGAAAGACTGGGAAATTAGGCGGAAAGCTACTGTTTTGATTATTTAACCTTTAGTTTAGTTGGGGACAAGTATTTAAAAATTATAAAATTTAAAATATTTGGGGAAATAAGATGTCTTTGCCAGCGTTTTAGGTCTTCACGAGTCACGGAACGCATCTTAATCACGATTCACGGAATGGCATTTTCTTAAATCACGCATCACAATACAGAAATAATGCTAATCACAGATCACGAAAATACCCTTGCCCCCCCCCCTGTACACGAAAACCTGCCGCCGACAATGTCTATTTTTCATTCCGTAAATGAAGTAAAGATTTTTTGGTAAATATCAATTCAAATTTTCCATCTTCGCAGGCTTTATTAACATTTGTCGGGGTTTTTTAACATTACAATCATCATTTCATTTACCGAACAAAGAGGGACGTTCAAACTAATGGGCATTTTGTGTACATTTATCAAGCTAATACAATCAGAATGCCTAACTGAAGTCAACAATGCATTCTGATTGGATTACTGAAAATGCAAACAAATTTGCTTGGTCCAACGCGAATTTTATTCTTTGTCGTTGTACTGATGGTTTTGTATGAATTATCAACCATTACCAAACCTCATTTGCTTTGCCTTTCACTCCGACAATGTTTTCTAGTGTTGTAGCGATATTGCTAATGTCACCAGCTTGAAGAGTGCTGTTATGATCAACAACAGATAATTTTTCCAATTGTTGGGTGGTTTCCAACACGTTGTCTGCATTCACTTCTTTCTGTAAATTACAGACAAATTGAACTAATGCAGGAACTTATTTTAGCGGGGGTGGATCCAGCACTAGTGTACTAATTTACATTACAAAACAAAGTGGTTATTTTTAGCAGTTTTCTTGTGTCATGCAAATTAGTGCACTTGTGCTGGATCCACCCCTGTATTTAAGAGCCATCTATGCATTATATCTTCTACAGAGATCTATTCGACCATTTAATTTCTATACATAACCATGCAGGGAGCAGCGTGGCAGCGTTTTCAAACAACTTAGCATCAAATGTGGTATAACAACTGCCTAATATAGACAAAACATTTCTCGACCTGTTTCGACCCGTGGGCCTTCGTCAGGAGAGTTACTAATTATAGTTAGTTTCTAATTAAACACTTGGCTCGTACGGAACCTCGGTAGTTTTTCATAGATTGTAACCAATACTGAATATACTAAGTCTGAGGTTATACTTACTTATTATACTTATTTGAGGATTTATACTTATGGCAAATTTGATTGGCTGCTGCATGTGTATTATGGGACATACGGTGCCGGTTTACAGAACGTCCGGCTGTTTATTCAACTAGGTAGGGAGGATTTCAACGTTATTATTCGAATGAAATTGTCATTTTTGTGAATATTATATTGAAATTGTAAATATTAGAATTCATCGTGTACGGTGTATTCTAGAGAAATGAAAACTGCTGTTATGGACGTGCTTAGTTATATTGCATGCGTATTCGTTAATTGTAGCTTATAGAACAAAGAGTAATACAAAGACTGTTAAGAGCATAAGTGGCCACGGGTATTTGCTGTGATATTTATTCATGGGGGAAATTCGGTTTTGCTTTCTGATTGACCGTATCATGTTATTTTTCTTATCGAAAACCTTTTGCCACTCATTGAATAGATCCCCGCATTGCATGTGTCAAAACGCATTAGTTACCTCTGCCAGTAAAAATATATCTTTACTTCGTGCTTGTTGAAAAATGCATTCCGTGGCATTAACTGGTTGCCAAGCACCTCCGCTTGTTTCATGGGGCGAATAAAGACAATCACGAGTCGCTTTAAACTCGTTGTTATAAGGACAAGCAAGTGTAGAACGATTATCAACTGGCGTTTTTGGCCATAAGAAAATTCCATAGGCTTCACGTGATCCAACTTCTTCTTGAGGGCAAAATAAACCTAACAGAAAGGAAGATTTTTTACGAAAACGCGGAAAAGTTTCTCGTTCTTGAAGTGTTTTTACTAACTTAAACCTTAAACCTTAAACTTTACTTACGCGAGATTTTTTCTAATTACTTTATGCATAATAACCAAATCCACCAACACAATACAAGAAATAAAACACAAGTTCATAAATCATTTAAAAGAACAAACTACATGAGGCATACTCTTTGTTACAAGGGAGTTGACATTTGGAATGGACTAGAATTAAAATTGAAATTAATTACTTCATGTAATATTTTTAAAAGTATGGCAAAAAACACTTCTTGGAAATCTCCAATATTATATAACTACCACAATAACTAGCACAATATTGCACTGCAAATAGTTTTTTGTTTTGTTTTGTTATGTTTTGTTATTTTCTTCCCACTTTATATATTCCTAAATACACTATGATAATCAACTTTCCAAAATTTAGTTGACTGAAAATGGAATTTTATTTTTAATATTTTTATAACTAGGGGCCTTAAATAAAAACCTCTGGTTTCTGGTAGACCTCTAGCCATGTTAAAGAATTAATATTGTAAATAGATCTAGGTATAATACAGGTTATGATATATAGGCAATTTAAATAAAAAAAACAAAAAAATAAAGAAAAACTTGACTAATATGCATGGGGGCGAAAGGGTTTAGATCGTATCTGTACGTTCATAGACTATGAACATAACCTCTTTCAAAGCAAAACAAGACACAACATGTCGCGAAATATCGCAGCTCTGCGTTTTAGGCACGTCCTAGTAATGCCACGGTTTATTTTAGCCCGTATAAATAGCTATGGGTCTATAGCAAAAATAGTACCCTCGATAATCTCGTGGAATGCGAAGAATTCGTGTTCAAAACCTGGCGATGTAAAGTGTATTGTGGACTGGAATAAGTTAGGTTAAGACCCTTTCAACCTCTAGAATTTACCTACATCGAGTGAAGTGCCAAAAATCATAATCAAAGCCTATTACATATATATATATATATATATATATATATATATATATATATATATATATATATATATATATATATATATATATATATATATATATATACACCCATTGGCCGCAGATAGATAGATAGATAGATACTCGAAGTCTAATTAGAATTGCATATGATTACATTTGCATGGGATTTCTATAATATTACACAACATATGCAATTCTAATTAGATTTCGAGTATCTATCTATATATCTATCTGCGGCCAACGTATATATATATATATATATATATATATATATATATATATATATATATATATATTATATATATATATATATCGACAAAACGAATGAACCAGACTCGAGAAGAATCAAGTTTGCAATTCAAAGAACAGTTCACTCTGGTATGCATGTTAGACACGAGTAGACTCTGTTTTGTTCCAACCCTATCAGAGAGTATCGATTTATGCTAGATATTAACGTATTAACAGATATTAGTGATGTAACTAATATAATCAAACACAGTCTAAACACGGTACTAAATGATTGAAATACTTCGACGAAACTTACCTGATTTATTGGGTGGTGTAAGTGGTGGTGGCTGCGGTGTTGGCTGTGGTGGTGGCTGTGGTGGTGGCTGTGGTGGTGGCTGCGGTGGTGGCTGTGGTGGTGGCTGTGGTGGTGGCTGTGGTGGTGGCTGTGGTGGTGGCTGTGGTGGTGGCTGCGGTGCTGGACCGGGAAAGCACGCAGACACAAAACATGGAAGAAGCAAGATAACGACGGCGACAAGGAAGAACAGTCTTGAAAGCATGACAGAACGATAAGCTTTGATACTTAGAACAGACTGTCACTTTATACCTGTACAACAGGAAAGAAATCAAAATGAGCCAGACTCCTTTTGGAAACTCTGTAATCGTGGAAGCAACTAGGGATTATATAACTGAGATAATGTTGTCTCAGTGTGTGCTTTTATTGTTAGCGTGTTGACAAATCTGCAAAGCCGGAGGCTATGGTTCATTGAATACACGTCCAGACGATTGTACTAGCCGTGTTGATTTCCTGGCCTTTCCGCAGGACTATTAGGACTATTTCATCAAATAACTTTTATTTGATCAAGAACCTGCTGAAACCTTGAATCTGATCCATTTTAGATGCGAATTAATCAAATGTAAAATTCATTTTAAAAAAATATTAAGTTGATCGATTATTTAAACAAAAAAAAATCCGATTTGGGGCGTTGCGATACAGCAGATATGTCGCAAGACGTGCTGATTATAGCTTATGTCAAATCTTCAAGATTCCTTTGCAACAAAATGGCATGCCACAAATATAAGTTGTGAAAAGACGTTGCATAATACATGTAACAAAGCCTTACATTGATATATTAAGTTGAATTTTTACTATCGAGAAACTTTATGCGATGTTCACAAATAAATGAGCAAGTGATAAATCACCTTCCAAATTTATACATTGCCCATTTAATGCAAGTATAGCTACTTTATACATTAGGGATCTTTTATTTCCCCGTCTTATCTGTATAATTAATTTGATTAGAGAGCCATCATATTATATATAGGAATTCGCCGGAATGTTAATTGTCGACTTCATGCAGCGCTATACAAATCTGGTATTCGATTGTGATTTGGTAAAGAATATTTAGGAAATAGAAAACATTTTCCGTGTTTCTATACAGTTATAGAAACACGCGTTGGAGTTTGGGAGAACGAGAAATAATTATTTCGAGTATTCCCTGAAGTTAGAATAATTTACCAAAATAGTAAAATGTCTATTTTACACCTGAAGAAAAGTTGGTGAGCTAAATAAGAAACTTCCATACTTTATAAACATTTTGACCATTGCCCTGAGAAGTTGGGATCTCAAACATGTTACAGAAAAATTAGGCCCGTTTCAGATGTCGACGAACTTTTCATGTGCCGAATCCAATGCAAATGAACCTTAAGAAAGACTTCAGCTCATTAACATTAGGTTCGGCACATGAAACGTTCGACGTCCGAGACAGGCCTTACATGTTTTAAAAATTTACCTGTTTATTACACGTTATAGAAAAGAATAAAAATAGGTACGCAATGCGTACATGTGGGTAGCCCTAAAACATATGCAAATCATTGGCGGCGATGAAGCTATGGTTTGGCAAATAAATTCAAGTTTGATTCAATGTCAAACTACAGGCTGCTATAGTGGCGAGTCAATATAGACTAATGCTTATAATTTTACTTTCTAATGCCATATGTTAGCCAGTCGAATTCACGAAATCGATTTTTTTGCACAATATATTTAACAATTAGTCGTTTTTATTTTAAAAATTGAAATTTGGCAGGAATTGGCCCGATTTTATAGCTATCACTTGTAAGGTGGTCCTATACAAAAAATTTTTTCTTCTATTTTTAAAAATTTCAATATATTTTGGAATAGAACTACACGCGAGAGTTTGGGAGAACGAGAAATAATCAGTGGGAAACGATTTTTTCTACGTTATTTCAAATTTTCCCAAACTGACACAAGTGTTTCTGTAACTGTATATAAACACAGGAAAAAACATTTCCATTTCGTTCATAATATAACTCAATAAAAAAAATTTCTATATTTTTTTTAATTCGATTCAATTACAAATTCTCATTACATTACTTCGCTTGTCAAATTCGGGGGAAAATTTCCGTTTTTTCATACAGTTATAAAAACACGCTTCCAGAAAATTAGGACACGCGTACTATAATTTTTATATTAAAATCACATATACAAGTATAACTCAGCATATGTCTTCACTGAACAGGATGCGAAAGCAAGTAGATGCTTCTTTGACTTCTTTTATCTATATGCTAGTGTTTAATTATATAAAAGTTCCTCATTGCTACTGACAATGTTGATAAATTATTATACCTCAATTTTCCTGTCATTGTAGAACAATTATTGTGCGGGCGGCTTACAAAATGTATGTTTAAACCGCCCGCGCATTAATTGTTTACAATAACAGGAACACTTGCATGTGTCGTGTCAATAGCAATGAGGGATTCAACTTTAGTTTATATAAATTACAACAGCACACAATCTAGCATATGTACATGTCAAATTCTCATGAAGTATTTTCTTTTGTGAATTTGGGTTCCAGAATATCATTTAAAAGTTCTTTACATAGTCACGCGTTAGCATCGTAATGAGTATTTTGAAACTATAAAGTTAATATTATGACGTAACTTTCAGTTGGAAAAATTCATCTGTAATTTTTCTAAATTTCTCTAATAGCTTCTTGATAACAATTATTCTGAAAACACTATATTCCCGATAACAGACAAATTCCGTTGAGTTGCGTGCTGGTTTTTTGCCTTTTTTGTTTGACTAAAGAAAATTAATACTTTTAAATGCCTAAAGACTTATCATATAAAGTTACAAGAAATATACGTCATAAAATATGTATCTCCTTTATAACGAAAACCCAAAGAAACTCATAAAGAAGCTTTCCGTTTCAGATGAAGAGCGCTTAGATTTCCCGTGGATTGAATAAATTACATTCGATCAGTCAAAGTTTGCCACAAGTTGCTAAGATGTCACCATTTCCACGAATCATTGGGGACTCACAAAAGCCAGGAATGCTGTCGAATAGGCTGATATGAGAAAGTATCACAAGCAAAACTAGTAACGTTCTCGCGATCTTACAATAGGAAGTGCAGAGTCTCAAACAAGGTGGAACTTTGTTTTAAACTAATCGACATATGTGTTTACATTTTTTAGGTATATAGCCAATCAGAATGCCCAATTTTTTAATACTTCATGTAAAATCGTAAATAATGTACCTTTTTACAGGAAGATGTCTAAATTTATGCATTCTGATTGGGTTACTGAAAATGTAAACAAACACGCTGATTGGTCCAAAACGAAATTTCCCCTTGTTCAGAGACTCTGTATAGAGAAACAAAGGCTTATTGTAATCATACTCAGAATATAGGTATAGTCCTCGACAAATTGTAACATATGCCGAATAAATTTATAATATAAGATATAGAACGCGCGTGGTGATTGGTCGAAAAGCGTGTTGTCATAGATAACCGTAAACACGAAAGTTTTCCAGGCTCACGGTTTACATTTAAAAACATACACGCTATAATTTACTATATATTTGTTAAATATAATAGAAAAGGAGCCCCTGAACAAAAAAATGGTTCCTATGTTTAGACTAGACTCTATAGCTGTACTGGACTCAGCTTAGTCATCGCTTGATAAACTTGTGCGAGTTTGGGAGAAGTCGAAATAAGGTTTAAAAACTTGCCCTATGTATACCTATACGGACCTGTTCTTCCAATGATTATTTCTTGTTCTCCCTAAAACTCCTAATGGTGTTTATATACTCTGCCGGTCAAAAAGAACCGTTTAGACACAGATTCATAAAAGAGAACCGAATATAGGAGAGAGCTTCATAGGCATTTTAGATAACTCTCTCATGCTAAGTAATATTTCAATAATGTAATGCAACCTGGCACACTTCCAAGATAGTCAAACAATGGTGTCAGGAAGAGAGAGTGACAGAAATGGATTGGCCTGCAGAGTCGAAAGACCTTAACCCTATTGAAAATCTGTGGGACAATGTCAAGGGGATAGTGCAAGAAAGGAATTAATTCATAATGGGTCCATGATTTATAGGTTACGGTGAAGGCTGTCCATAGGATGAATTTTTTTATCGCTAAGAATACTACCTTATTAACAGAAAGTATGCCACGCCGGTGTAAGACCGTCATCAGTTATAACGCCAAGGGAGGGTCAACAAAATATTCATATTTCATATATAGCTTAGCATGCAATCTAGTCTATATTTACTCGTATATATTGTTAGAGGGACAGTTCAGAGCATTTTAACTTGTTTTGAGCAGTTGTTTTTGACCGCCAGTGTATAAGTGCATATAGAAACATGAAAAATGTTTTCTAATTCTTAAATTAATAATAAATTAAGAGCTATATGAATGCTGCATGTAAGGTACTAAAGTTTATTACATATACCTTAAAAAGGGAATTCTTAATTCCCTGGATGTGGATCCATTCCAAGAGGCGTGGCTGAGTATAAAGTGCAAGAACATCTTTTTCCTTTAGGGTAGGAGAAAGATTTATAGGCCCTAAGTATCATTTTAGGTATACATAAATAGAGAGCATGCGTGTATACGCAGTTGGGCTACCTATATGTATATTGATTGTGCCCATATATTGTGCCTTTTCATGCATGATCATCCACGGGGCTAGCTCATAATATCCTTCACCATATAACGCTCTTCTGCGGTCAGCTTGTTGCAACTTTACAATTCAGTAAAGCCTCCTCTTAAGGTGGCTCGATACAGTTTTTAAAAATTCTATCGTTCATCACTTTCACGTTTAAACATCGCAATTTTATGATTTATTCATGAGATATTGTTTTTTTTTATATATTTTGATATCTCTACTTTGGAATCGTATCAGTTTTAGTAACAGATCGTCCGTTGCTATCGCGAAATACGTGTACAAAATTCACTCTAAAACGACCAATTCTCTCGGATAGCTGGAAAAGAAGCACGGTGACCGCCAATTTTTTTCGTGCATTATTTAGTTGACAATTAGCAAAATATAAAAAGACCTATAATGCAACATTTTGGAAAAAATGTAAAAATGACTTTTTTCGATAATTTTTTTTGCCAATTTAGAATTTTTTATTTTTGGTATTATCAGAGACATGTGAAGTACAATACAGCATGCAAAATTTCAGCACAAGTCACCATACAAAATACCGAGATGTAGCGCGCTTTTTTGGCCAAAAATGGAATTTTTTAATGACGTGTCAATTACTCGCGCGGGATCCAAAACACGCATCACGTGAAATAAACACGCGTCGCGCATGCTGTTCTGAGCAGCATTTATTTTTAGGTTTCTCGCCGGTTTTGGCAGTGCGTTCGAAAATAAAACTAGACAAATATCGCCAGGCTATTAATGTTTCCATGCGCAAGAGCGCAAATAAATATACTGTATCGAGCCACCATAAACAGTTATAAGATTTATGACTTATCATTTTCTCAAACGTCATAGCATGAAATACTAATATAATTTTATACCTGTGTGAAGTTGGCCGCGAATTGCGTCTAAGATTAGCCACAAGTTCAACGGCGTTCAATTACTGAAAAAAGAGACCCATGCAATGTTTTGAAAGCTAGTCTGTATCTTCCGCATTTAGCTGTACTTCCGTAAAGGCCTCAATTGCATTTTCGTGACTGGATCAAAAACTCGTTGAAAGCAAACTATTGAAAGCTCAATCAGAAACAAAATTCTCGACCAACTTGAAAGGTTTATATTTTTTAGTATTACATTATTTCGTCATAAATATTTCAGGTATTTATACGTAATAGTTTTGATATATAGGTATGATATACAGTAAATAAGCTGCAGTACTATTGTTTTGTACAGTTGTTCACAGTTGTTTATATTATATAATTATAATAGATACAACTTCACAACATTGAAGTTATAGCGATGAATAAATTTATAATTTGGACAAACAAACTGTAAGAACATATAAAGACTTTGTTTGTCTCGAACAATACATGAGCTAAGCTCCATTTTCAATGCCAAAAAAGGAATAATTATTGATAAGCCGTCTCACGCAGAGTGCCTGATCTAGCGTTATTCTGTAGCTAAAGATCTTTATTCATTTTATCCAAGCACATGTAACAAACCTGCTAGATTTACCTCAGAAATGTTGAAGTTTTGGAAAAGCACAAAGACTTATGTTTTAGTCAATGTCAAAAAAATTTAATAAATGTCCAATAAAATTCGTAATTTTCTATAACATAAACAAAGCCTGACTCAACATGCAATGTTGATGAATCATATAGAGATGCATGCATGCGTGCTTTCATATACATATTGCACGGCGTAGAAACTATAGCGATGAATTTATACCGAATTTAGACTCACGAACTGTACGAACGTTTAGAGAGTCTAGACGTTAACTTGCCGCTTGTAATAACAATTCCTCGAATATACTAGAACCACTATAGCGATATGGAGTGTAAAATTACATATAATTATACTCATGCATTTACTTAATAGCTAAAAATGATTGCGGAACTTAGATAAGACGTGGAGCTATATTAAGACGTATCAATTTGGTGACCATGCAAAATATTTGCTTTCGTAAGCAGTTTTATTTACCATTCCGAGAACGTCTGCCACATTACATTACATAACGATCAAACCTCCTCTTTCAAGCTTGAAAAAGAACGGTAGGCCTCCTGCCATGCTGAGTGATCACCAATAGTGATCCAAAGTTATGTTTTTAATCTGTAGCTAAAGATAAATACAAAATGTTATTAATCAATCATTGTTTTCCTCTTAAGGTTAAGTTTCAATTGCTTGCTAGCTTTATCTATCTTATAAATCTTAGAAGAGCACAATGACATTTCAGTCGCTATCTTAACAATGAAATGAAATAAGGCATGACTCAACAATATTGATTAAAGATATTGAGATGCGTGTGTGCTTCTATGTAATGGTAGCTACGACGTAATTGACATATTTTTTACCCGCGTGACGGTTTATTTCGCACATTGAAAAACGGCGGGAAATTCCGCGAATTATATCAACACGACTCTTATCTAACTAACTATTAATTGTACAGTAGGGGATATTCTAAGCTGGAATGCTACCACGTTTTTGAAATTGTTAAGAAAATTTCCATGCAGAGACGGAAATTAGTAATAATTTAGTTAAACACATACTAATTTCCATCTTCAGAATTTGTTCCAATTTCAAAAAGTGGTAGCAAATCCAGCTTGAAATAACCCCTGCTATATAAAACGTATTACGTTATTCGATTTCGGTATAATGCGCGATGAAGTCGCTCCTATTTTGTCTCGTCTTTGTCCAGTTTACCCTCCAATCATACACGCAGAATTATTGTGATCAAAGACCAAATGGAGGAATATTGCTATGCTGCAAAGGGTATAACAGTTTGTGCTATAGTAAAACAGGAAGTTGCTACTGTGACGAATATTGCCTCACAGCTAAAGATTGCTGCCCGGATTTTAATCAATGTCCCTATCGAGGTTTGCCTTAATTTTTAACGATATTAAACCGCGCACTTCACTTGAATATAAGTTGGTAAATTGATGAATGCAGTAAATGTATGTCTAACTATATGTTTGTAAATGACCAAAATGTGTTAGATTTCTGGGGTGACATGCATAAGTTAAAAATATAAAATTGGTTAGACTTTAGGTTTTATAAGATGGAAAACTTAGCTTGTTTTTAATCTCTTGAAATACTACAGGAAATTTTACAACAGTCGCAACATATACACATTCAACAACAGAAAAGTTGACTACAACGCCAGCAGGTGGGTAAAACGGTGCTTATGTTCTGATTTTAAAACACTGTCTTCCACCTGATAAATGCTTTTCAGATTATAAAAATGTCTGCAATATCGAGCCTTATTTATTCAGCGCGGGTTTGATCATTCCAACGATCTTAACCGCGAGTACTTTTTCTTGAATAAATTTAGAAATGCGTGAACGTATATTTCGCGCGTTGTGTTGGAATGTTTTGTATATATGACATTCATTAATTTAATTATCGCATTTAAGTAAATTTCGAAATATGTTTGCTTTGGTCGTCATGGTACGGCAAATTTGAAATATTGCTATTGAAATTATATCCTGGAATGTAAATTAAATACTTTTGTGACAATTCACTTTTTGTAAAAACGCGATCGCGTTTGTCGCCTTATAAGGCGCCATTCAGATTTGCCAATTGATTGCAATTTGATCTAGCTTCATTTTAATAACTTGAATATTTTACGTGTCCAATTCAACTTACTCTATCAACAGCAAAATACAGTACTGACTAGAAATAACCTAACACTGCGGTTGCGGTTAGTTCGCGCTTCGGTCGCGTTTCGGTTGCGGTCGACCGATAGAATCCGCAGACGACTGCAAGGGAAAAAATTCCTTCGCAGTTGCGGTTCGCTTCCGAATGAAATGTTACATGAACAGCTGAGAAGGACAATACAAAAGCCAAATCGAAAAAATCTCAAGGAATGTCTGTTAGACCGAGTTCGGCCGAGTTTAATGTCTGTCTCACGGCAGTTCGACCTCGGTCTGAACCACTGCGATCAGACCAAGGTTTGGCCTAGGCGATTTTGGTTGTATATACCTATTTCTGAGCAGTACTGTAAATATATTGTCAATTTTGTTTTAAAAGAGAAGCGATAACCCTCTGCAAAATTAACTTTTGTTAGTGCCAAAGTTAACCAATCAAAATCGTGTATTTCACATAAATCCGATATTCTTAATTGTTACATCCAGTGGCCAATGTCTGTGCCAATGTGCTGAATATATTATTGGATTGTGACTCTCTATGTTACATTGCAACATAACTAGTATTTGCAGTTTTGCATATGCAGATTTGTTTGTGAACGCTGGCCCTGGTTTAGCCGTTTTGTAGCGTAGAACTGTCGTTCAACAAATACATTCACAAAGTATTAATTGATATGTACTTTCCATTTGCTTTCTATCTCGCACAATTATCCATATGCTTTCTAATACGCACGAATATCTCTACATAATAATAATATTGCATACTTGTAAACCTTGGCCTGGAAAAGTATGAGTGAGCGCATTAATTGGACAAAACTTTTACATATATATTATTTATATAGAGACTTGTCTCTATATATAATATTTCAGACTTGTTTGTGAATACTGGCGGCTTTGTAGCAAATGAACTGTCGTTCAACAAATCGTTCGACAAATAGACCGTTTCACAAAATATTTGATATTTTCCATTTGCCTTCTAGAACGCACATCTCTCTATATGCTTTCTAATTAACACGCACAGGTCTCTACATAATATTGCAGCCTTGTAGAGTATGAGTCAGCGCATTAATTTGACAAAACATTTACATATAATTTTTGATATAGTTGGGTTTCCTTTCATGCACTGTCAGTGTCACACTGGCTGCGGACATGAACGTCACATATATATACAGACACTTTTCGGTTCTCACATAGTGGTTAGCCGCGCAGTTTGTTTGACTGATCTATCGATAAGAAAACTGTTTTACACGCTAAAATGTATACTCATGCATCATATGCGAACATTGTTTGAACGGTAGCTATCTAATAATTTTTCTAACAATTTTATCGAGTGGAGCTTTTTTTAACGCAATGCTTTTCGGTCCTGCGGAAAAATTTTTAGTTGGCGGCCACACGGCTGTTTCAACACCAAAATTGATGTTTCAGTTTTTTTAACTCTTGAAATATTACAGAAATTTCAAGCACAGTCGCACAGCCTACTCTATCACTAACAGAAAATGTGACTACAATTACGCCATCAGGTAGGAAGAATTTTTAGTAGGCGGCCACACGGCTGTTTCAACACCAAAATTGATGTTTCAATGCACAACAATATAGCTTCTTTTTTAATCTCTTGAAATATTACAGAAATTTCAAGCACAGTCGCACAACCTATTCTATCACCAACAGGAAATGTGACTACAACGCCATCAGGTAGGTAAAAGTGATGCTTACATATGTTCCGAATTTATCGTAATACATGTCGCATTTTTTGGATGGCGTATATATATATATATACAAATTAATCATAATAATTATGTTAAGTTCCTGGACGGCAAAGTTAGGTTAGACTGTTAGACTGATAGCTTCTTGTTCATGATTTGTTTACCACACATACATATTTATATATAACACTCGTTTAAAAATATTAAGTTTGACTCGTTTACGTCATGCAATTGAATACGTATTCAAGATAAAAATATGAAGAAATAAATATGGAATAAGATAAAAAAATGGAATTTCAATTGGAATTGTGATCTTTGATGACAAGTGTAGCGATGTCTCGGCATTTTTTTTACGATTTAGCTATATGTAGGAATAAATATATTGCTCTGATAATTTGTGGTATAGAGCAAATATATATACCACAATGAAGCACATTAAACTTTTGCAGTTATAACAGTTGAAGTCTACCTTCATTTACTCGTTTTAGTTATTAAATTATTAAAGCGATTTATTGGCAGCGTCGACGCGTGACAAAGTAATATTTGTCCGAAAAATACAATTGCGTTTCTATTTTTGCGGTTTTCTGGAATTGTATTAAGAGCAAGTGTTCGTAAAACATTCTCCGACGACAATTACATGTTATTAACCATCGCGTCCAAGCGCATGCAAACTCTATACAAATTATATATAGCGTATTAAAATTCCTAATATAACTAATATTAAAAATTTATAGAGTGTGTCTAAAAAGTAGCTACGTGTTGTATGAGTTTTATGACTTAAAGCTATGTATCACACAGCGTTAATTATGTATAGAAAAAATTTGATGAATGAGGAAGGAAGTTTTGTCAGGATAATGTTCAAATTATATATAGCTATACAGTACCTCCAAGTATAGCAAAAATCTGTTTATTATTTAAACATGCATATAGCTATTTTAATTGTTGATGAATGAGGAAGTTTTTCAGGCAAACTTCAAAATAGTATAATTTTATATAGACATGCAGCTTCCTCATTTTGCTCAGTTATTAGCTAGCCGTTTCTGTGGCAAGAGAAATATGAACGCGATTACATTATTCATTTTCCTCGCTGTGTATCACGCTCAAGTTGTGCGTGGAGAGTTTAGTTGTGATAATGTCGAGTACACATTTATCAATGAGCCACGCCGGAGTGCAGCGCATAAAAGTTCAGCACCTTATATCTGTGATCGCGGTTTCATCGAAGACGATAAGTGGTATCGATTCCGCAGTGAATCCGGTAACGAAATGCCCACAACAAACCCTGGTCTTCTTCGCTGTGGTACATATTCCCCAATATGGTTTAATGGCAACCACCCAACAGCGAAAAATGTTGTCATGGAGGCAAAAGCTTGCGCTAACTTACCTTACGTCTTTCCCTACGGCTGTGGTGTCGCCTACGACATCAAAGTTGTTAAATGTCTAGGTGATTTTTATCTGTATCGGTTAAAAGAGCCACAGCAATGTTCTTTGGCTTATTGTGCAGGTACGTTATACGCGCTACAGCAATAGATAAACTATATATAGATAATAAGCTACTGTCCAGAAATAACCTAACAAAAAACTGAACCGCGGTAAATCTAGGTCAGACCGAGGTCGAACAGAGGTAAGACCGATATCGGTTGAATCTTTCATTGACTCGGTCAGACAGACATTTCTTAAGATGTTTTCGATTTAATTGATTATTGTCGTTCTCAGCAGTTCGTATCATTCCGTTGGGAAGCGAACGGCAACCGCGTTAAGTTCCGAATAGATTTGCGCTCTATAGATATGTTTCCTGCAAAATACATGTTCATTAGCTTTTACCTTGTAACATTAATTCAACTGAACTGAAACTATGCGTGGATTCGCTGTTCGTAGCAAAATACAACACATTCAGTGCTCTATCGACAAATTAGGAATAAGTCACGAACCCAAATTTTACGCAACTCCGCATACAGTACTGTCCAGAAATAACCTGTCCAGAAATAACCTATCCAGAAATAATCCAGAAATAACTGTCCTAACAAAAACCGCGGTAAATCTAGGTTAGACATCGAACCGCATTGAGACCGATGTTGAATCTTTAATTAACTCGGTCGGACAGACATTTCTTAAGATGTTTTCTATTTGATTATTGTGCTGTCGCTCTCAGCAGTTCGTATCATTCCGTTCGAAAGCGAACGGCAACTGTGATCGTCAGTATTTTTCCCTTGCGGTCGTCTGCGGTTTCTATCGGTTGATCGCAACCGAACCGCAACTGCTGTGTTCGCTATCACAACTTCTCGTAATGTGATCATCAAGAGTCGTTAAATACCATATGGCAAGAAATCCGGTCCCATTTTGGGTGGCAGTGTAGTACAGGCGCTCACTTCCTAGACTTTAATAACATCCACTTAGAGCCTGACGAACGCCCAGAAGAACTTTACCATTGGTTACGTGGCCAAGGTTTTCCCCACCGCCTTCAAAAGAACCTAACTGAAAAACACACGACCTGCAACTCACTGACCACCCGCGTATTATGGGTATGACAACATATGAAATTACGCTTCAGTCCACCTGTGACATAGTTACAGTTAAACACAAATTGTTCGTTTGTTCCTATTGTTTCTCATGCATGCGTATACGATACAAATATATTTATATATAATCAATGCTTTTATCTGTGGTAGATTGAAGAGTGCTCAACACAATTGTTGTAGAGCGATATCTATTTATTTAATCCTAAAACAGTATTAGCTGCTACTTAAAGTTTCATGCTTCTTGCAATCATCAGGCAATTGTTCATAGTTCAGTCACAGAATACCTAACAGAAGTAGAACTCTATACTATTTTTTCGTAAGTGTGATTCGTCATGATTCGTCACTTAGCAAGTGCTTTTTTTTGAGGCTGTCACCCCCCTGGCAAAATTTAGCAATATGGCACGCGCGATACTGCTAAATTTTGGCAGGGGGGTGACTGCCTTAAAAAAATGCACTTGCTAAGTGACGAATCATGACGAATCACACTTACGAAAAAAGTACAGGAGTTCTACTTCTGTTACGTTTTCTGTGGTTCAGTTCAGTTTGGTGCATGACGCTACTCACTAACGGTTTTTTAACGCACGCGCGTGTCCGTTGGTTTCGTACGCGCTCGTGAATTTTCCCGCGTGAAATTTTTCTGCATAGCGGCATTTCGCGAAAAGTTCTGATCTTCGATTAAGGCTTTTCTTTGCCTTTAAAAGGCACAACTTTTCCTCGGTACATAGCCTGCAGTGTTTTCCGCCTGCCGAATAAGCTGGAACACTCTTTAATATAGACCACTTTATTGTATAGTCCTTCCCAGCGTTCTTTAATGTTCATCTTTGTATTAAATATACGGAATTTCTTGTAGATGTTTAGGTAAAACCGGGTAAAGGTAAAATGCTATATATAGGTAAATACTATACCTTAGTGTATATCCCCACTGTAAAATATTTACAGTACGGTTAACTGAAATTTCTTAACAATGAAACATCATTTTACTTGAATACCGATGTACATATTTTGGGCCTGTTTCCGCAGACAGAGATTGCACACCCGTCTGTAAGGCTATACATAAAGCCAATATCTGTGTTTTTTAAAAAAATCTTTCTTAAACGCATGCATGAAAGATAATTTTTCATTATGACCAATTGTAGAACCATGCAATTAAGCCATATAAAAGCTGATTTCTGCATTTTTATCCATGTTTGGGAGAGAAATTTTTCATTTTTGAACATATAAACGATGAGAGTGCATGAAATTTTGCTAATTCCGTAGGCAGAAATAGTTTGTTTGGAATGCAACAATGCACGTGCTTTACCACATTAGTATGTTAATGATGCAATGTGACTTTTTAGGTACAAAGCTGCCACAGCAATGTACGTATCATCCAGGAACAAATATTCCGCTTTGCCCAGGTAAGTAGCTAGTTAAATACAGCATTATCAAATATAATGCCAACTCTCTGCCTCTCGAGTTAACTGACCTTAATATAACGAAACCATGCATGCAGCAACAATTAAGTATAATTGCTATTATTCGTACAAATAATGTTTCTAGACGCCATTCCCGTCGTCGACAAAATCGTTGCGAATCCAAACAATGATGGTAAAGAAAACGTTCAGTTAAATTGTAGTTGGGTGTACAATGGGAATTCCTCTCTTGTCGAGTTTAAAGTACGCTGGATTGGTGATAAAAATGATCCCGAGCGCCGCATTGAACGTGATTTTGACGGCATGAGTAAAAGAGAGTTTTTCTACGATTTCGAGCTTTCTGACGGAATGGGTGGTTTTATTGAACATGGGAAACAGCCCTCACCACAATGGTATAAATTCAATACGGAGGTATAAAGAATAGATATATCCTTATACATTTATTATTAATTAGGGCAAAGGTCGAAATGTCGACGCAAATTTTTGTGTATTTTTGTTGGGCAGTTGATGAATCAATAGAAAACTCAAAAAGCCTTCCTCCGTGTATTTCTAAATATACATCTCGCTTTTTAAAGATTGGCATCATCAAACATTTTTTTTCATTCTTAAATGTTTCTTTCCTTTTATCATTTGCACCAAATAGACAGGACTTGCTTATTAGGTAGCGCAACATAAGGGCCTTTCGGATAATTACGTGGCAATTACATTTCTTAACAACCAAGCGCTATAGCCAATAAATTTGGCAATTGTTATTTCCTGTCTTAAAGTTGTTTGCAGGGGGCGGTTGTTCAAAAGCCGGTTAACGCTAGCCCAGGGTTAAATTTTAAACCTCGATTGATTTGTGTTGCACAAAGCCCGGTTATTGTTAACCTAGTTTTGAACAACTCGCCCCAGGAGGAAGCGCATGAAATTTAAAGAACTGGGGCCAGTTGTTCAAAAGCAGGTTAAATTTACCCCTGGGTTAGTGCAAAACTTGGGTTAAAGGCTGCTTTTGACTTACGCGTTTTTTATACGCACGCACAACACACGTACGGAAAATTTTACATGCTTTTAAATTTTTATTATTTAACATCTATAAGTCAACTAATGCATAATAAAACCCATCATGGTTAGGCTAACCGGCTTTTGGGCAACCGGTCCCTGGTGTTTTAATTTAATTGCTACTAGTTTGTAAACAGTTAAATAATATAGCGCCATATGTTCTTTTTATTGAACACGAAAAATAATCACTTCACCTTCTTAAGGTTTACTGTGAGATTCAAGCAAGATATAAAGGAACAGCTGCTAAATGGTCAGGATGGAAACAAAGTAACACAATTTTTACAGGAATTTCAGTATGTGATAATTTGAAAAAACCTTCTTTAAATCTTAATATAATCTTATTCCCGCCTATATATGCGTACAAGACATGTTTTTAACGAATCACTGGCATATATCGAATTTTAGAATTTGGTCAGATTGCATGTAATATCATCATTATTCTTATAGCACTGTGGCTACAAGTAAATTAGTTTTTTCCGATTGGTCATGCGCGAACGATTGAACTTTTTGTCTTTAGTTTTTTCAACAACGCCATTAGTTTTACGAATTTGGCCCACAAAACTATACCTGATTTTCAACTTCATTATTTTATCAATTTTAACATATGCGAAAGACAAGATGACCGGATCCGATGGATAGAACTACTGTAACTTTTTTATGCTTCCCTGTAAACTTGTAACGTTTTTCATAACAAGAAAAGTATAGGTATAGGGCATTTTGTGATAATATTTTTAATACTGTATTGCAGTTAATGAATAATGTATATATATTTACAATAACATTCCAAGACTCAATTAAAGTATATCTCAGTATCAGTCCACCGTCATGAGATATTTAAACGAAGTCGTAATTTAGTCGTCGCCATAAATATTTGTGGAGTTTAATTATAGTAGGATTTGTTCGCAACGACGAATGCCAATGTCTGCATTCCCATATTGCATGTATATATGAATTTGCAACGAAATTCAATTTCAATTGAACTTTTAGGTATTTCCACAACATGTGACGCTGAATGAATGTGGCAACGACAGACATATTACAATCACTTTGCGGCCTCATCTTCCAATTAATGAGCGGCCCTTCAATTTTGAGATTCATCCAGAAAACAATGAATATGTGAACGAAATATGCGTGCGTGGCGAAATATCAAACGAGGTTCAGAATCCGCGTTGTGAAACTCAACTAAAGACAAGTAATTCCTTTTATAAGCCTCTGCATATAAAGTTATTAGCATCATGCAAGCAATTTGTTCAAAATGCCAATCAACCTGATGTGGCAACCTTCAAATTTCACCAGCCTATTTACAGTGCAACAAATAATAAATTTTGGATCAGTTACCAGTTTCCTACTATTACGGTATGTTGACGTTGCCGTTATATATTTATCTATATGTTATAACATTTCATTAATTTTTAATTTTTATATAGCTGCAGGGCTAACCTAACAACTATAATAATACAGTATATCAAAATAATTATAAAAATCTTAGGTCACTGTAAATCGGGCCAAAGACAAACAAACTTGTTACTCCGTAACAGATCCTCATTTTTTAACATTTGACAAAAGGTAAGTGTGTGACTTACATAAAATGTTTTATATAATCTATTCCTTACCATGCAGTAACTATATATAGAACTATGCATGCCCATGCATGCAGCATAGTCAATAAGTCAACGATTACATATACAGCGTGTCCAAAAAACCAAAACTATTGAAATCCGCTAATGTTAAAATTTGAACGACTTGCATGTCCGCGAATTTTTTCTGTGGGGATCTATTATAAAATTACATACATACATACATCCACACATACATGCATACCAACATACATACATAATACTTTATTTATTTAAACACGCTAGCCTCATCAGCATTGCTGTTTTTTATCAGGGACATATTTACATTAAAAATATACAAACAAAACATTACGTAGAACATACTGTAAAATAAGGGTGGATAAAAAACGATATGAGAATGAGAAGAGCTCAGCTTCACCTCAAAATAGATTTTACTATCCATTTAAATGATTGAATAGGATCGGCAGTTGAAAATGTAGATTATTCCAAAGGAAATGATCATACTTAATCATCATACTGCTCCAAATTTAAAACAATTATTTCGGCGATGCATGCAGTGAGGGCGATTCCCTCTATGATCTTCGAAATCGTGAAACGGATTTAATATTACTAAAACATGGATTTCACATTATTACGTCTCATGTCTAGAGACCTAACAAATCCCAACCTAACAAATTCAGCACATCATCAGATCGAAAATCAAAATTAGACCCTGCTTATAACTATCGCAGCGTGATTTTGCAGTGTCTCGCAGTCGAAAATGATTTTTTTTGGAACTTCACACGATGCTTGAAAATTATAGGGGTTCAAAGGGTCTTAATCTCGAGTGGAATTATACACACTTCAAATTCAAGCCAGGAACGGTTGATGGAAAAATGAATCAACTATTGGTTCTCCGGCAGGAATCGAATCTGCCGTATAGGAGTCGAATCTGAATGGCAAGAGCACTGCATCGGCATCGCAAAAAGCGTATCCACTCGAAATTAAGACCCTTTGAACCTCCACAACTTATAAAATGCTAAATGGCTACAAATATCCAAAATTTGCCGGAGAAGAGGGACACGTCAAACGTCAAGGTGCTGGTGTTGTGAATTCAAATAGTGTTATCCATATTTGAAAAGTGTAAATGTTGTTAATAACATGTTGGTAAAAACAACTTTTACTGTCATCATGCATAAAAATGCTTGTGTCATGCAAACATTTGTACACTTGTCTCAAACAGATGGATTCAAACTGTAACCGGTACTTTAATTGTTATGGGTTTATCAGTTTTGGGGATTTTTTGGGACACCCTGTATATTTTAATTTAAAAAGTGAATCACTAGAAAACCTTCTTAATTAATTATGACATAATATTATGGAGCTTTTCCTAATAACATGTCGGTTGAACTTCCTAGCTTTGGCAACCTTTGTATAACTGGCTAAATTGGATGAAATTTTGTCAATCGGTCAAATTTCAATTCTTTTAAAAGATAAATTTATCATTCGTGTATTTTTGTGCAGACGGTATGACTTCATGGGAATAGGAACCTTTATCCTCTATCGAAACAAAGCATCAGACACCCAGGTATGATATTACTGACGCGCATAATGAAATTATGAAAATATAAAAAATAAGGAAAAAAATCATTGCACATTGGGGTGAATAAAAAAATAGGCTAAGTCTAAATAAAAAAAGCATCAAGCAAGAATCTAATATTATGCATATTATTCGATTGACAAATGTCCTCAGAAAAATGGAGTGTAAGCGATATACATTTCTGTGAATGTTGATATATAAAGATATATTAAAAGTAAGAGTTTTTCAGTCATGTTCAGTCGTGCATAAAAATTCAAACCAACGAAATCAACAAGTGTATTTATATATATGAGACAATTAAATATACGCATGTATCCAAAAAGCTCACACATTTATTCCCATTGAGTGTGAAATAGAACTTCTGTTGTTACCGATCAATGCAAGAGTCATTTCTCATTTAATCGAATGTTTTCTTGTTCAAGGTTCAAACAAGACAGAAAAGCTGTGGAGGTGGATTTGCAAGTTGTAATTGTGCTGTTGCTATTAAAGAGGGATTTTTTTTTCAAATTTTTGACATGTGTCAAGCTGGCGAACCGTCAAAAGGGAAAACTCCCTGGTGGCAAAATCCTCAAAATTTAATCACCAAGTCACGTCAGATGGCAAATTCTCTCAAAGACGGGTTTAGCACAACGAAAACCGCAGTTGGGAACCAAATGCATTACAAAGTGAGTTTTTGTTGTTTTGAATTTTCTAGTTGAGTTCGACAACTATAAGTCACATACATAGACAGGGCCGTGTATATTCATATTTATGTTTATATACCGTTAGAACAATAGCGTACAAAAGAAATCAGTCGGGCATAAGACGAATACATGAATATACATGCACCCCCCGATTAAGCTTCTAGCTACGGCCCTGCGCATAGCTAAATAATAGCTAAATTATAATTCGTTTGAAAGCGTTGTCCACCCTCTGCCAATGCCCTAATATTAATTTCCACAGTTCCGACTTATAAAATTAAAGCAACATTTAACCATGTACAACCATAATTCTACTCCGTATAGACCACTCTACCCTCTGGTGTCGTTGTAACTGTCGAGAGAAGGTATTGGGGACTGAGCACGTATGTTAAAGCTCCAAGACCGGTTAATGACGAACAACACAATATAGATGGCTTGTGTGGGAATTTTAATGGAAACCCCAACGACGATTTTGGGGGGAAATCTGTAAACGAATTTGGTAATTCGAACAGGTAAGAACCAATTGTGAAGTGGCTAACAAGTTTAGTCCCCGTAAAAGGGAAAATTTAGAATACATGCAAAGGTAATAGACCTTATAGCTACATAATGACGTATCAAGCTTGCAGAGAATTCAAACTTCCAAATTTCCCGCTGTGACTATACTAATACTAGAATTATCTTTGATACACCTTGTATAAATATAAGACCCAACCTTGTCAATTTGTTTAATTGCTTTGAAGATGTATTTACGAACACGCAAGATAAATCATCATTATAGACAGAAATGCATTGGATTCGATTCCGAAAGAAAATTTATTCCTTGGTTATTACGTTCTTTGATTTTTTAAATAATTGGTTATTAGAATATTTTGCTTTTGCAAATAACATATGATTACTTTCACATGATTTTTTATGATTCTACTGTATATACAGTCTGTATATTCCTCAATAAACGGTACGTCGTCTTAACTAAATATGGTTTTAAAGTTTTGGTACATGTAGTATAGTATTAAAGAGAATTATTATTAGTGAAGTATTTTCCGTTAAAGGATTGATGACAAGGATAGCATATTTCAATATGCCGGTGATATTGAAGGTGAAGATGGAATACACAATGAATGTCTGGATGAAGATATATGTATCTGCGGGAGGGAAAAGAGCTTTTGTGGTGATAAGGCTGCCAAGAAATGTTTCCCTGATGTATTTACAGACGACAATGGTAATGGTCTAAGTCAGTCGACTGAGGGTATGTTTTATTTGTTATTTTACTCTTTATCAAAACTTTTTGAATATAATTGCGACAAATGATAGCGATATCATTTTTATTAAACTACCTTTCGATGAACCATGGTAATAACTAATAACATCTATATTGCGGTATTATTATAAAACGGCTCGTGTCATGTTAGCATATATTGCATAGGCATGTTAGATAAGTAATATCAGTTAGATAAATTAGATCTAAACTTCTGCCATTCTTGGTTTAAAGCTGATTTTCCACTGTATGGGCGGAATTTTTCGATCAAATGAAAATTTTCGCTCGATTTTCTTTTCAATTGTGACCGGTGAAGGGAATCCGCTACGGTCGAATTCTTACAATTTAAAAGAATATGAGAAAAATTTCGCCTAGTGGAAAACCGGCTTAGGGTGGCTAAAGAATGACAGAAACTCAGATCTAATTTATGTAGTTAATATAATTATCTAATTTTGATTAAATGAACTTCAACAACAGTACGCTTAGAAAAAGTATATGCATGAGAGATATTTATAGGAAATTAATTTGTAAGAAATTTTATATTGTTTATATTTTAGTTTAGTTATATGTATTCTTACGACGATTTTCGGCATGATAATTATTGTCGTTTTAATTTAAAAGCTTTTAAAGTACGTAGCTATAGATCGAAATCGAACTCTTTACTGTCGAGAAGGAATTAACTTCGATGAAAGTAATTTCCATAAGAAGTTGTTAATATGGTACCATGCTTGGTTGTGAAGATAGTTAAGATAAGATAGTTGAACGTTTTTCTATAACGCTATTTAAGATTAACGGGGAGGAGGTCTTGTGTGTTTTTCATTAGAATTTCGAAGATTGGCATGAGGGGGTGGGGGTTAAAAAAGAAAATAAGCGACTACAAAAGATTCGGGGGGAGTAGAGGTAATGTTAAATTTACCCGATTAATTTTGAAATGGAAAATATTAGGAACTCTAACAGAATTATTGCTCTTATTTAACTCTATCTTCTAAACTTTGTTGCAAAAATGTTAGCAAATTGCTTGAAGAGAAGGTACGTTTCAAATTTTGTTTTAGCAATAAGTTGAATTGACGCATATTTCACTGCTTAGGATTGTGTGGGAAAGAACCGCCAAATAATACCCGAAGAAGAAAACGTGCTTTATTTTCACCCGATGACACTGTTGACGATCAGGATGATATACCGTCATTTAATCCGCCAAATATAACAATAACTTCTCCGACATGGCCCACGCCAAATGGCCTCACAGAGGCAGAAGTAACCAACATTTGCAACGAAAAAATAAGAAACTCGAAAGGCGGGCAAAGTTGCGGGACTGTAACCGGAGTAAACCTAGACAGCGTTGTTGAAAGTTGCATTTCGGATATTAAGGTACACAACATGTTCGGACCATTTTTCTGCTATCAGTGACAAAAGTGCCATTCAAGAGTATAGACTCTTTACAAATTACCTTTATTTAGAATTTTGTACCGCCAGAATTTTATTTGTAAGGACATCGTCATTATATAAACATTCGCGAGAACGTTTTCAACGCAATTCTCTCAAATTTAAAATTGAGGCGCCTCCATGCTTTTGCTGCAGGGGAAAAATTTGCTAAGTTGCCGATACGTCCAATATAACCAGAGAGCAGCGTGGCAGCGTCTTCAAAAAACTTAGCATCAAATGTGCCGGGTATAACAACTCTCTAAAAGAGACAAAACACGTTTCGACGTTTCGACCTGAGGGGCTTCGTCAGGAGAGTTTTTGTCTATTTTAGGCAGTCGTAATGCCACATCTGACGCTAAGTTGTTTAATTAAGATGCCCTTTTAATTCAAAGCATCGCATTGACGCATTCTATATCATAATATGCATAAAAATATCATAATTGCCTGGAAAAAGACTCCAAGATATATAAATAATATATAATAGTGTATAAATATTAAATATACGAATGTTAAAGCGTGCATGTGGAAGTATTTAGTATCTTTATGTTTTACAAAGGCGACTGATGATATTTCTTGGGCAACGGACAACTTTGCAGCGATGGAAACCAGCTGTAAAAAGAACATTTTGACAAATTCCTCATATTACAAAAACAACACCGATGGTGAATTTGAAGTTGCAACAGATATTTTTGAATATCTATGTCCGAGTGATTGTTCAAATCATGGGAATTGTTCTAACGCAACGTGCATATGCGATAAAGATTATACTGCTCCTGACTGTTCCGTATCTTTAAAAGACAGGCCTTTTGTCTTTGATATTCGAAAGGCTGGATTGTGTGATGTGAGGAAACGACCTTGTCGAAATGTTGGAATTTATGCATTCCCACTGGTAGCATCAGAAAATCTGACCTGTCATCTTAAGGAATACAAGGTAATAAAAAGGGGACACTGCTTCTCCTGATTAAGATTCTCCGAGCGAATTTATTTGAAGCGATAATCATACAAAGGGTTATTTATAGCTATCTGCATGTTAACTCAGCCCAAATACTTATTAAACAGTTATTGAATAGTTATCTATGTTTTTGTCAACAAGTGCAACAGCATGTTTCTTATCCGCAAAGGTGATTGACTCAGCATGGACACCAAGCAATGCTACCATGATTTCTCCTGGTTTACAAGTGGACTTTGCGGAAGTAAAATGCTCACTCCCTGAGTCACCAGTCAATCTCGGTGACTATGACAATGTGGGGGTTACAGCTGCTGGATTAAGGATCGGGATTTCCAATAATCGGATCAACATCTCAGAAAATTCAATGCTATTTATCACGTATGACTCTGTGTGTCAAGACTGTAATACTAGTACTGGATGTGAGTTTAAGGTCGGTATTTTTCCCTTCTTGGGCAACCATATTGAATTTTGATACAAAGAATTGCTCTTAGTAGCGAATTGTGCAAAAATTCCTTCCCTTAATCCATGAATCGTACGTATAATATTTCCCGAGTTCTTGCACGTTATGAAATGCATCAGGTATCATTATAATTGCTTCACATTTCTTGCTTTTTTTTGCAAGAATGCAGACTCTTCCGATAAATTTTTGTAATTACACGATTCCAGGTTATCCGCATGATTATAATTTTAAAATAAAATAAAATTTCAATATCAGAATGTTATCCTCGGCTTTTTTGAACCATATTGACTTCATGTTTTATTCCATCAATTATAATACCATGTGCATTCTGTTTTGTATGTGATTTCTTTTGAAACAGAATAATTCCTGCCTAATTTTTGGACATTGTTTTGCACAAAACGAAAGCCATCCTACTGACTGGTGTCAACAATGTCTACCGAATATTTCAACAACATCATGGCAGGAACGACGAGGTAATAATTATGTTATTTATAGCATTGTGTAGTCTACAGAATAAATATTTCTCAAATACATGCATTTGTGGCACAATAATCTTAACGTAGGTACTTCACTTAACTTGCAACTAATCTTTATTGTTTTTACGTACCTCTCGCCTTTCCTGCTTAGATTTAAATATATAAATTAATTTAATACTAGAATACATGCATGCAGCAAATCCTCCCCTCAGTTAAACGAAGTTAGCTAAGCATAAGGATGGTAACATGCATGATAGTTAGAAAATTTATGTGGGTTGGGGGGTTTTAGAGGGTGGTATGTGAGTATGTTTGAGTATGTGAGAAAAGAAGTGTGGAAATATTTTTCTGGAAGTGGATGCACTCTAGTCAATAACCATGGTACAGATTAGGTCATAGCAACTCGCAACGGCCGCATAGTTTCAAACGATGAAAGTTTATCCACATAATTTTGTGAAAAAAATGGCAAAAATACGACAAGATTCTTACCTTTTTCGGGAAGTTAAGTTATTCATCTATAGTCAGTGTTATGGTAAATTATTTTAATGATTATTTACCATGAAATACAACATTAGACGTCTCATACAACTTTCGACGTTTTAAGTCATAGGCCTCGACTTGCTTTTGCACGCGAATACTTTTATTTGATTATCTTTTTGTCATTATAAAAATGAGTTTATAAATGAAATTATAATATCGTCTATCACATAACACATTCAGGTTAATTTATAGTGAAATACATTTCAGAATATTAAAGTTGTGTTTACCATAAAATAATGTCTTTTTAAAGCTGTGCCAGGTGAGATATTATCAAAAGTGTAAAATCTTCCGACTTCATTATACGCTTTGAATTCGGTCGAAAATTTGGTCTTGTTGATCGCGTCGCGTAGCGACAGCGATCTATAGTTTCGGCTTGCTTTTTTTTATTATTTTCCTCTCGGGTCGACCCCCAACGTCGCTAGCTGCAGGCCATATCACCCTAATCGGGAACCTACGCACATGTAAGTTGCTAGTTATATCACGTGTTGTATTCACTTATACAACATATTTCGTTCGTATCGGGCATATTTCGTTCAACCTTCGAACTTCGAAGCAGTAAAGTAGAATCAATAAAGCGATCAAGATGCTAGCAAGTGCTATCTTTATCTTTACACTCATTACACATACAACTAACTGCACACGCCGAGCAGAATAAGCCTGCACTAAAGGATTTCAAGCAGTTTCGAAATGGGCTGTTGTTTGTTTCTCCTGCTTTCAACATGCGACTATAGTTCGGTATATTGTGCATTTTTATTATTAAGAACATTTACGACACAAAATTTGCATGTAGCTGGGCTGGCTACGCCGCTGTTAAAGACGCGATCATATAACGCCTATAGTAGGCGTCTTGTTTTTTTTTGTTAAGAAACGTAGAAAGTCTTGACCACAAGTATATTTTACAATGGAGTTTCCCTGTAATGTAATAACGTAAAAGACCGTCTAAAAAATCTAAATCTAACGTAAAAGACCGTCCATAGCGTAAGGTCCGTTGCATAATGACGGACGACTTTGATTTCGCATTTGCACATCGTGGGTGTAAATATCCGAGCGGAATTAGTACCGTCGCACGGTGCTCCGCACCGACTCGGGGATTAATTTAATTTTCGAAGCGTCAAAGATAACATCTCTTATGAAAACCAAATAAATCTTGTAATGTTTACTATAGTAAAGTCCATATAGAGAAAAGCGAATTATTCTGACATCGTCTCGCTAAAATGCGGTATTTTGAATAATTGCGATGGTCGGTAGATTTAAGTTTTAAAATATTCATTTCGTGTGTATGACTGGTTGAAGTAATATTTTGACCACCATTATTCAACCAACTGGATGGGCTATACTAAGGGACCTACAAAACTAGTAGTAGCATGAATTTATTTAAACTACATGCTGCTGTATTTGAATAACGCTGCATGTTTCGAAAGAACGCAAACATAATACGCATATACCTCTGTATAAGACCTATATAATCCACAGAACTGGTATTCTCCAAAAGAGCTTCTATTTTCCTACACCAAAATATCATTATTTCCATTTTTGCGATGTAGCGTAGAAGTAATCTCAGCCAGGATATTACGTGCATGCATGCATTTCCACTGCATAATACACACATGCAAGCAAGTGTCTTCGTAGTTGAGAGTACTGTTCCAGAATCCCAGAGACGTAGCAATACATATATATATATATATATATATATATATATATATATATATAATATATAATATATATATATATAATATATTATATATATACAGCCGTTATCAAAAAGGTTGTCATATGTATATATATATATATATATATATATATATATATATATATATATATATATATATATATATATATATGTATATTGTTTATATATATATATATATATATATATATATATATAAACAATTATTAAGAAATTCTTCGTATGAGATAAAAGAGTGCTCAATACTGCAAGCAAATAGAGCAATATATATTTATTGATTTACATAATTCTTAAAAAATTCTTAAAACATCTTCAACGGTCTGCTGACGCGCGCACGCGCGCGCTTAGATGTGCACGCAAGGATTGAACAAAAGAAGCGAACTGTTCTCGAAGTGCTGCCACCGGAACAAGTTCAATGCGGGGCGGTTCAAACGCACGCAGAATGGGCGCGAACATCTAAGCGCGCGCGCGCGCGTCAGCAGACCGTTGAAGATGCGTCGCAAGCAAACATTGAACCATGATTGAACTCAATCCTGAATTTGTCGCCTGAAGATCGTCTGACTGTAAAAGGTCAGGCGTGAAACACCGTGTAGCGACGACAATATTTTAAGATAAATTCAATATATATATATATATATATATATATATATATATATATATATATATATATATATATATATATATACACCCATTTGCAAAAACGTTGGCCGCAGATAGATAGATAGATAGATACTCGAAGTCTAATTAGAATTGCATATGAATATATTTGCATGGGATTTCAATCATATTACACAACATATGCAATTCTAATTAGATTTCGGGTATCTATCTATATATCTATCTGCGGCCAACGTTTTTGCAAACGGGTGTATATATATATATATAATATATTATATTATATTATATATATATAATATATATATTTATATATTATATATATATATATATATATTATATATATATATATATATATTATATTATATATATATATATATATATATATATATATATATATATATTATATATATATATATATATATATATTATATATATATATTATATAACTCAACTACTCGCGTGCGTGCAGTTGAGATGTTGATCATCGTATATGTTTTTTGTCTTTATTCTCTTTCTTCCTTTGTATGTTTATAATGGTATATAATGGTTATGTAGCAAAATATGCAATAAAATATACTGTGTTTAAACTTACTGAGAAATTAATTTTTTAGATAACCTGCGACCTAACTTTACAAATCCAGCTGTCTTTTCATGCATTTCAAGGGAACAACTTCGGGTACAACTGAACGCAGTAGATCCTGAAAATAGGAAATCCATTACAAATTTGCGCAGGATGAAATATTTGGCGCACTCTTACAGAAAATGGCTTATTTACTTGGACGAAAAACACAACTGAATTCACAGTGTTTCAGTTTAACGTCACTGACGAATGTGGAGCTTATTCTATGCTTAATGTTTCTGTTGTAATCAAGACATGTCCATGTCAAAATTCAGGAGAATGTTTCCCTGACTATCGTTATCTGGATGGGTCAGGAAATTTCATCTGTTCCTGTCCTGCTGAATATTCCGGTACTTTATGTGAGCTTGATGTCAACGAATGTGACGTGTCGAAACCTTGTCAAAATGGAACTTGTAATAATGAACAACCCGGGTTCTCCTGTTCATGTTTTGCAGGTTACACTGGCAGTCTTTGTGAAATTGAGGTAATTCTTCTCTAGTCATTTGGTAACATTATATACCGTGTTTGGCTGTTTCATGAATTAAATCTGTTACTTCAATTAACGATTATAGTAAAAGAAGTTTCAGTATTTATAGTTGAGCGCAAAGTCAGCCGTAAAGTTTTAAAGAGATTTGTGTAAACGTGTTCCAAGCTAAATAATGTTTTTCCTTTCTATTTTCTTTCCTCAAAATTCAGGCCATTTTAAGTTTTTTTGTGAAAATATTTTACATTTCACCGCAAAATCCCTTGGAAAACCATAATGTATTTTTGTGAGTATAACAAAAACCCAAATTCTTGGCGACTCTGTTCGTAGATTTTAGTTAGAGTGGAAAAAATGAATTATGGCATGAAACTGAGTCGAATTTTTTTAAACACAGTCCCAAAAATTGTCACGAAATAGACATTTTACCTTGATTCAGGAGACATTTAAATTTGCGACCTTTAAAGACCAAAAAATCTATGTTTGATATTTACGTTTTCTCGCGACCGTGCAAGAATGTTGTGGACCTAAACATTCGCCTAAACAAAGTTGTGGACCTAAACAAAGTATTTATCATTGTCGTAATTTTTCCACCATGCAGAGGTTGCTATGAAACCGGCATAATTATAAAATACATCTTGATTGGCATGACCAAACAATTACCGTTATTCCCAGCATGAAATCGTCCTTTCGTTACTAAAAACGGAGGATATTTAGAAGCATTTTCATGAACTTCTTTGACCTTACATACAGTACTGTCCCGAAATGCGGTCGTCTGCGGTTGCGGTTCGGCTGCCTTTCGGTTGCCGTTCAATTGCGGTGGACCGATAGGAACCGCAGACGACCGCAAGGATAAAAATACGATCGCCCTTACCGTTCGCTTCCGAACAAAATGTTATTAGCAGCTGAGAACGACAACACAATATTATCATATTGTTGCGGAGATGTTCGATTCATTCGATCTTTTTACCAAAATAATAGTTTTAATTTGTGCGTAAACAAGTATAAATCTTTACAAATTTTAGCTTCACAAAGGCATTATCATAACACATTACTTCTCAAGCACAAAAACTCACACCCCCGCCACGCCTACTTTTCCTACCTTGTCCCAGTGTTTTTGCTCGGCTTAATCCGTAATAATTATATTATTATTCGTAAAAGTATAAACTAAATGTTAACTTTAACTTTATGAGTCATTAAAAAAAAGCAATGTGAGCTAGTCTTCTCAACGAATACCGAAAAAATCTTAAGCCAACGTCTGTCAGACCGAGTTAGGCCGAGGTTAAACCTCCGTCTCACTGCGGTTCTACCCCGCGCGCGGTCTGATCTCGGTTATAAAACCGCGATCAGACCGAGGTTTGACCTAGGTTAACTTTTGTTAGGTTATTTCTGGACAGTACTGTAATGTAAAATGGCACGAGTTTTTGTGTTAGGCGTTTTTATGAGTATTCTAACCATCGCATTTTTAAAGGTGAACGAGTGTGCATCCAATCCATGTTTCGCTGACGTCCCATGCAAAGATATGATTGCAACATTCAGTTGTGGACCTTGTCCATGGGGGTATACAGGAAATGGGGAAAACTGCACCAGAGGTATGTATTTATTTTAATTCAGTGTCTCAAAGGAACTCAATGGATTGGACCGTAAAGCGGTAACATTCGCGATCGAATCGCTTGTGAACGAAGTATTTTAAGTATCGTTTTATTTCGCGTTTCAACTAGGGCCGTAGCTAGAAGATCCATTAATTGTGGGTTGAGCCAGCCAGACTGAAGCTTATATTTTTAAAACGACTTGATAGTCCCAAATTAGTTGAAAGCTAATAGCATACTGTCATTCTTTGCAAGAAATAGCCATATATAAAAGTGCATAAATATTGCATGTTTGTTGCTGCATTAGGTCGTCTATAGGCTTTTGCATCTTAAAATAATATAAAAAAATCATTCCCCACTATGCACTGTATAAAACGACATACAAAGCTCAAAATTTTGCAAATAAACTGGAAATCAAATTTCGCACTTGTGCATACTAACCAAACAATCCAACGTCCGTTACACAGAATTTGGATGCATCCAATTGGATTCCGCTCGCATGCAATTCGGGGGTTTCAAGGCAAAAAGAATTGTTTTAGTTGTTGATTTAATTGTTGTTCAGTCGCGAGTGTTCAACTCGAGCCAGATCGGTGTATGCATGTATAGCGTTTCACGCCGTGCGAATAGTTTAAAACCAAAATTGAGTTCATGCAGATAGGACTGATAGGTCTGTTTCTAATAGCATCGCGCACATGCATTTAAGGCACAATAACTATAATGCTATTCCCATACTTCCTAATATAAAGAAATTGGCCCATGTGACTCAAATCCTAATGTATGCCACATCAACGGAGAGTGTGTTCAGAATAATGGATCTTTCGTGTGCCAGTGCATAAATGGCTTCACGGGCGACGGAAAAATGAATTGCACAGGTAGCTAAAAAGGCCGTTTCCTGTTATATAATTATTCAATCTTAGATAAGAGTGTTTTAAGAGTAAAAGAAACTACATATTTTGTGATATTTCTGGACATAGTCATAGGCTAACTTTTATGAAAATTTTCCTGGGAAGTTTTTCGTTTATGGCTGTTTTCCACTGTCGGGTCTTTTGTGTTTGCACGCACGTAAAAGTTTAAAACCTGCTATAAGTTAATTGTTATAATTATATAAATAATTTTATTGCAGAAAAAAAACAAAGAGTTGGATTCTGTTGATGATTTGGTGTGTTTTTCTGGAATAAAATTAAATAGCAACTTACAATGTTTTAAGCTTTTATGCGCGTGCACGTACGTGCAAAAAGCGACATTGGAAAGCAGCCCCAAGGGCTACTACATGCGTATATAGTCAACTCATACAATTTACATTACTGTTTAGATGTGAATGAATGCGTAGAAAGTCCTGATATTTGCCACAAAAATGCCACTTGCACCAATTTGAAAGGAAACTTTACCTGTGAATGTCTGAACGGGTTTACTGGCGATGGTCGCCATAATTGTTCAGGTACGTTTCAGTCTCAGAGAAAAGTTGCATTAATTTTATCAGGAAACGGTAATAATGGAAAAAGTGCCAACGAGCTAAGAGCGATATCGCTGTATATATTCTGCATGCATGTGGTCATACAATGATGCAAATAATAATTTAAAAGTGTATTTAAACACAATTGTTTGCACGGCTTACATGTGAATGAATGCGTAAAAACTACTGATATTTGCCACAAAAATGTCATTTCAACAATTAACTATTATAATTATATTCTTGCAATATAATGGTTAGTTGCTGAAATGACATTACTGTTAAAGGTAATCTAAAAATAAACAAATAATACAAAAAGTTGCTTTAATTTTAAAATTTCGTCCTGTGCCTTATATTTCTATATTAACAAGGAAACCATCTTGGTTTGCCAAATCCTAAAATTATGAACTTTTATGATAATTGGTAATGTCCCGAATTTCAGGTTATGTTTAAACCTTCGGCTCTACCTAAGAAACTAGAAATTTTCCTTCACTTCGCATTCCAATGCAACATTCCTGTAAAAAAATCCTATAATGTTGTCTTTTCTGCGGATTTCTTGTTGGTATAATTGCACAAATTACAACCTGGCGGTGGTTTCTCAATGGATTGCTAACATTTTTTAGATGTGAATGAATGCTTGGAAACTCCTGACATTTGCCACAACAATGCTACGTGCACAAATATTGAAGGAAGTTATTCCTGTCATTGTTTGGAAGGATTCATTGGGGATGGTAGACATAATTGTTCTGGTGAGTTTTTCGATAATAGAAAACTAATAAAAGGGAATAAATTTAGAAAGTGAAGGAAAGCCTCTAAGCTAGGAATGGAAAAGTGAACGTTTATCTGAATATTGAGAGGAGAAATAAATAGAAATATTTCGAGGACTTTCAGCTATCCACAGCCCGCCGAAATGGTATTTTTTTCAACACCTTTGAAAAAAGCATGTTAAGCTCGCTCATATCTAAATGTGTTTTCTATACAACATCTTCGCGATGGTGAATACCGAACGTAATAAATCTTGAATAGTTTGATGAATTTCCCCTCATAAAGTTAAACAGGAAAATGCTGATAATTATGTGACGTAGGCGTACACATGTCGAAGACATTTTAATGGTTATAAGAATTAGCACACACATGATATCCTGCATGTGGTCATATTATGATGCAAATATCCAAAAGTGTATTTAAACACAATTGTTTGCACGGTTTAGATGTGAATGAATGCTTGGGAACTCCTGACATTTGCCACAAGAATGCTACGTGCACAAATATTGAAGGAAGTTATTCCTGTCATTGTTTGGAAGGATTCATTGGGGACGGTAGACATAATTGTTCTGGTGCGTTTTCAGATAAAAGAAATCAAATAAAAGGGAACAAATTTAGAAAGTGAAGGAAAGTCTATAAGCTAGGAATGGAAAAGTGAAAATTTATCTGCATATGGAGATGAGAAATGGTTATAGAAATATTTCGTGGAGTTTCAGCCATCCTCAGCCCGCCATAGTGGTATTTTTTTCAACAGCTTTCAAAAAAGCATGTTAAGCTTCCCCATATATCCATAGGTGTTTTCTATACAACTCTGCGCGAACCTTTCGCCCAATGACTGGTCCGCCAAATCGTTAATACCGGACGTAATAAATCTTAAATAATTTGATCAATTCCCCGCAATAAAGTTAAACGGGAAAATGCTGATTATTATGTGACGTAAGCAAACGTGTGTTGAAATTAAACATTTTAAAGGTTATACGACATATCACGTATACGCGATATCATTTGGTTATATGGTGATGCAAATATCCAAAAGTGTATTTAAACATAATTGTTTGCACGGTTTAGATGTGAATGAATGCGTAAAAACTCCTGACATTTGCCACAAAAATGCTACGTGCACAAATACTAAAGGAAATTATACTTGTGAATGTATGAACGGGTTCATTGGCGATGGTTACATTGATTGTTCTGGTGAGTTTGTCAATTAAGAAGCCAGATGCACTAAATATATTGATTAACGCGATATTGAGGGAATTTAAACTTTGATACACAATAAATAATTGAAGCGTCTCATTTAGACAATATGAAATGGACAGGTTTCCATGATACCTATAGCTTCTGTTGCTAAGTACGACAACAATGAAGTATCTCCTTTGTTTTCGGCTATGATCGGGCCGTTTCCACCCCAAAAATCCTATACGCACCATGTAAATACAGTCATATAAAATTTAAAACATGCAGGCGCTATATTTCTTCTTGCATTGTTTCGTGGTCAATAATTATGGTCTTTTGGGTGGAGTTTGCCTTGGCAACTGCATGGAACAACTATAATCTTAGATATCCAAATTGTGGTGAAATGACACATTTAAGCCTCGTTTTCTGCGGATTTCTTGTTGGTATAATAGCGCAATTTACAACGTGGCGGTGGTTTCTCAATGGATTGCTAACATTTTTTAGATGTGAATGAATGCTTGGAAACTCCTGACATTTGCCACAAGAATGCTACGTGCACAAATATTGAAGGAAGTTATTCCTGTCATGGTTTGGAAGGATTCATTGGGGATGGTAGACATAATTGTTCTGGTGAGTTTTTCGGTAATAGAAAACTAATAAAAGGGAATATAAATTTAGAAAGTGAAGGAAAGCCTCTAAGCTAGGAATGGAAAAGTGAACGTTTATCTCAATATTGAGAGGAGAAATAATTAGAAATATTTCGAGGACTTTCAGCTATCCACAGCCCGCCGAAATGGTATTTTTTTCAACAGCTTTCAAAAAAGCATGTTAAGCTCGCTCATATCTAAATGTGTTTTCTATACAACATCGTCGCGATGGTGAATACCGGACGTAATAAATCTTGAATAATTTGATGAATTTCCCCTCATAAAGTTAAACAGGAAAATGCTAATAATTATGTGACGTAGGCGTACACATGTTGAAGACATTTTAATGGTTATAAGAATTAGTATACACATGTAATCCTGTGGTCATATTATGATGCAAATATCCAAAAGTGTATTTAAACACAATTGTTTGCACGGTTTAGATGTGAATGAATGCTTGGAAACTCCTGACATTTGCCACAAGAATGCTACGTGCACAAATATTGAAGGAAGTTATTCCTGTCATTGTTTGGAAGGATTCATTGGGGATGGTAGACATAATTGTTCTGGTGAGTTTTCAGATAAAAGAAATCTAATAAAAGGGAATAAATTTAGAAAGTGAAGGAAAGTCGATAAGCTAGGAATGGAAAAGTGAAAATTTATCTGCATATGGAGATGAGAAATGGTTATAGAAATATTTCGTGGAGTTTCAGCCATTCTCAGCCCGCCATAGTGGTATTTTTTTCAACAGCTTTCAAAACAGCATGTTAAGCTTCCCCATATATCTATAAGTGTTTTCTATACAACTCTGCGCGAACCTTCCGGCCAATGACTGGTCCGCCAAATCCTTAATACCGGACGTAATAAATCTTAAATAATTTGATCAATTTCCTCCAATAAAGTTAAACGGGAAAATGCTGATTATTATGTGACGTAAGCATACGTGTGTTGAAATTAAACATTTTAAAGGTTATACGACATTTCACGTATACGCGATATCATTTGGTTATATGGTGATGCAAATATCCAAAAGTGTATTTAAACATAATTGTTTGCACGGTTTAGATGTGAATGAATGCGTAAAAACTCCTGACATTTGCCACAAAAATGCTACGTGCACAAATACTAAAGGAAATTATACTTGTGAATGTATGAACGGGTTCATTGGTGATGGTTACATTGATTGTTCTGGTGAGTTTGTCAATTAAGAAGCCAGGTGCACTAAATATATTATTTAACGCGATATTGAGGGAATTTAAACTTTGATACACAATAAAAAATTGAAGCGTCTCATTTAGACTATATGAAATGGACAGGTTTCCATGATACCTATAGCTTCTGTTGCTAAGTACGACAACAATGAAGTATCTCCTTTGTTTTCGGCTATGATCAGGCCGTTTCCACCCCAAAAATCCTATACGCACCATGTAAATACAGTCATATAAAATTTAAAACATGCAGGCGCTATATTTCTTCTTGCATTGTTTCGTGGTCAATATATATGGTCTTTTGGGTGGAGTTTGCCTTGGCAACTGCATGGAACAACTATAATCTTAGATATCCAAAGTGTGGTGAAATGACACATTTAAGCCTCGTTTTCTGCGGATTTCTTGTTGGTATAATAGCGCAATTTACAACGTGGCGGTGGTTTCTCAATGGATTGCTAACATTTTTTAGATGTGAATGAATGCTTGAAAACTCCTGACATTTGCCACAAGAATGCTACGTGCACAAATATTGAAGGAAGTTATTCCTGTCAATGTTTGGAAGGATTCATTGGGGATGGTAGACATAATTGTTCTGGTGAGTTTTTCGATAATAGAAAACTAATAAAAGGGAATAAATTTAGAAAGTGAAGGAAAGCCTCTAAGCTAGAAATGGAAAAGTGAACATTTATCTTAATATTGAGAGCAGAAATAATTAGAAATATTTCTAGGACTTTCAGCTATCCACAGCCCGCCCACCAAAATGGTATTTTTTTCAACACCTTTGAAAAAAGCATGTTAAGCTCCCTCATATCTAAACGTGTTTTCTATACAACATCGTCGCGATGGTGAATACCGGACGTAATAAATCTTGAATAATTTGATGAATTTCCCCTCATAAAGTTAAACAGGAAAATGCTAATAATTATGTGACGTAGGCGTACACATGTTGAAGACATTTTAATGGTTATAAGAATTAGTACACACATGTAATACTGTGGTCATATTATGATGCAAATATCCAAAAGTGTATTTAAACACAATTGTTTGCACGGTTTAGATGTGAATGAATGCTTGGAAACTCCTGACATTTGCCACAAGAATGCTACGTGCACAAATATTGAAGGAAGTTATTCCTGTCATTGTTTGGAAGGATTCATTGGGGATGGTAGACATAATTGTTCTGGTGAGTTTTCAGATAAAAGAAATCTAATAAAAGGGAATAAATTTAGAAAGTGAAGGAAAGTCGATAAGCTAGGAATGGAAAAGTGAAAATTTATCTGCATATGGAGATGAGAAATGGTTATAGAAATATTTCGTGGAGTTTCAGCCATCTCAGCCCGCCATAGTGGTATTTTTTTCAACAGCTTTCAAAAAGCATGTTAAGCTTCCCCATTATCCATAGTGTTTTCTATACAACTCTGCGCGAACCTTTCGCCCAATGACTGGTCCGCCAAATCGTTAATACCGGACGTAATAAATCTTAAATAATTTGATCAATTTCCCCCAATAAAGTTAAACGGGAAAATGCTGATTATTATGTGACGTAAGCATACGTGTGTTGAAATTAAACATTTTAAAGGTTATACGACATATCACGTATACGCGATGTCATTTGGTTATATGGTGATGCAAATATCCAAAAGTGTATTTAAACATAATTGTTTGCACGGTTTAGATGTGAATGAATGCGTAAAAACTCCTGACATTTGCCACAAAAATGCTACGTGCACAAATACTAAAGGAAATTATACTTGTGAATGTATGAACGGGTTCATTGGCGATGGTTACATTGATTGTTCTGGTGAGTTTGTCAATTAAGAAGCCAGGTGCACTAAATATATTTTAACGCGATATGAGGGAATTTAAACTTTGATATAAAAAATTGAAGCGTCTCATTAGACATATGAAATGAACAGGTTCATGGTACTATAGCTTCTGTTGCTAAGTACGACAACAATGAAGTATCTCCTTTGTTTTCGGCTATGATCGGCGTTTCCACCCCAAAATCCTATACGCACATGTAATACAGTCATATAAAATTTAAACATGCAGGCGCTATTTCTTCTTGCATTGTTTCGTGGTCAATAATTATGGTTTTGGGTGGAGTTTGCCTTGGCAACTGCATGGAACAACTATAATTAGATATCAAAGTGAATGTGAAATGACACATTTAAGCCTCGTTTTAATTCCACCTCCGTATCTAGCTAAAAACTAGAAATTACTCTTGTTTTCGTTCACATGAAACATTCCTGTATGAAAAATCCTTAATGTTGTCTTTTCTGCGGATTCTTGTTGGTATAATAGCGCAAATTACAACGTGGCGGTGGTTTCTCATGGATTGCTAATTTTTTAGATGTGAATGAATGCTTGGAAACTCCTGACATTGCCACAACAATGCTACGTGCACAAATATTGAAGGAAGTTATTCCTGTCATTGTTTGGAAGGATTCATTGGGGATGGAAGACATTGTTCTGGTGAGTTTTCGTAGTAGAAAACTAATAAAAGGGAATAAATTTAGAAAGTGAAGGAAAGCCTCTAAGCTAGGAATGGAAAAGTGAACGTTTATCTGAATATTCAGAGGAGAAATAAATAGAAATATTTCGAGGACTTTCAGCTATCCACAACCCGCCGAAATGGTATTTTTTTCAACACCTTTGAAAATAGCATGTTAAGTTCGCTCATATCTAAATGTGTTTTCTATACAACATCGTAGCGATGGTGAATACCGGACGTAATAAATCTTGAATAATTTGATGAATTTCCCCTCATAAAGTTAAACAGGAAAATGCTGATAATTATGTGACGTAGGCCTACACATGTCGAAGACATTTTAATGGTTATAGAAATAGTACACACTGATATCCTGTGGTCATATTATGATGCAAATATCCAAAAGTGTATTTAAACAATTGTTTGCACGGTTTAGATGTGAATGAATGCTTGGAAACTCCTGACATTTGCCACAAGAATGCTACGTGCACAAATATTGAAGGAAGTTATTCCTGTCATTGTTTGGAAGGATTCATTGGGGATGGTAGACATAATTGTTCTGGTGAGTTTTCAGATAAAATAAATCTAATAAAAGGGAATAAATTTAGAAAGTGAAGGAAAGTCTATAAGCTAGGAATGGAAAAGTGAAAATTTATCTGCATATGGAGATGAGAAATGGTTATAGAAATATTTCGTGGAGTTTCAGCCACCTCAGCCCGCCATAATGGTATTTTTTGAACAGCTTTCAAAAAGCATGTTAAGCTTCCCCATATACCAATAAGTTTTTCTATACAACTCTGCGCGAACCTTTCGCCCAATGACTGGTCCGCCAAATCTTAATACCGGACGTAATAAATCTTAAATAATTTGATCAATTTCCCCCAATAAAGTTAAACGGGAAAATGCTGATTATTATGTGACGTAAGCATACGTGTGTTGAAATTAAACATTTTAAAGGTTATACGACAAATCACGTATACGCGATATCATTGGTTATATGGTGATGCAAATATCCAAAAGTGTATTTAAACATAATTGTTTGCACGGTTTAGATGTGAATGAATGCGTAAAAACTCCTGACATTTGCCACAAAAATGCTACGTGCACAAATACTAAAGAAATAAGAATGTATGAACGGGTTCATGGCGATGGTTACATTGATTGTTCGTTTGTCAATTAAGAAGCCAGGTGCACTAAATATATTTTTAACGCGATATTGAGGGAATTTAAACTTTGACACGGTATAAAAAATTGAAGCGTCTCAATTAGACCATTGGAAATGAACAGGTTTTCATGGTACCTATAGCTTCTGTTGCTAAGTACGACAACAATGAAGTATCTCCTTTGTTTTCGGCTATGATCGGGCTGTTTCCACCCCAAAAATCCTATACGCAACATGTAAATACAGTCATATAAAATTTAAAACATGCAGGCGCTATATTTCTTCTTGCATTGTTTCGTGGTCAATAATTATGGTCTTTTGGGTGGAGTTTGCCTTGGCAACTGCATGGAACAACTATAATCTTAGATATCCAAATTGTGGTGAAATGACACATTTAAGCCTCGTTTTAATTCCACCTCCGTATCTAGCTAAAAAACTAGAAATTACTCTTGATTTCGTGTTCACATGAAACATTCCTGTATGAAAAATCCTTTAATGTTGTCTTTTCTGCGGATTTCTTGTTGGTATAATAGCGCAAATTACAACGTGGCGGTGGTTTCTCAATGGATTGCTAACATTTTTTAGATGTGAATGAATGCTTGGAAACTCCTGACATTTGCCACAACAATGCTACGTGCACAAATATTGAAGGAAGTTATTCCTGTCATTGTTTGGAAGGATTCATTGGGGATGGAAGACATAATTGTTCTGGTGAGTTTTTCGATAGTAGAAAACTAATAAAAGGGAATAAATTTAGAAAGTGAAGGAAAGCCTCTAAGCTAGGAATGGAAAAGTGAACGTTTATCTGAATATTCAGAGGAGAAATAAATAGAAATATTTCGGACTTTCAGCTATCCACAACCCGCCGAAATGGTATTTTTTTCAACACCTTTGAAAATAGCATGTTAAGTTCGCTCATATCTAAATGTGTTTTCTATACAACATCGTAGCGATGGTGAATACCGGACGTAATAAATCTTGAATAATTTGATGAATTTCCCCTCATAAAGTTAAACAGGAAAATGCTGATAATTATGTGACGTAGGCCTACACATGTCGAAGACATTTTAATGGTTATAAGAAATAGTACACACATGATATCCTGTGGTCATATTATGATGCAAATATCCAAAAGTGTATTTAAACATAATTGTTTGCACGGTTTAGATGTGAATGAATGCTTGGAAACTCCTGACATTTGCCACAAGAATGCTACGTGCACAAATATTGAAGGAAGTTATTCCTGTCATTGTTTGGAAGGATTCATTGGGATGGTAGACATAATTGTTCTGGTGAGTTTTCAGATAAAATAAATCTAATAAAAGGGAATAAATTTAGAAAGTGAAGGAAAGTCTATAAGCTAGGAATGGAAAAGTGAAAATTTATCTGCATATGGAGATGAGAAATGGTTATAGAAATATTTCGTGGAGTTTCAGCCATCCTCAGCCCGCCATAATGGTATTTTTTTGAACAGCTTTCAAAAAAGCATGTTAAGCTTCCCCATATACCAATAAGTGTTTTCTATACAACTCTGCGCGAACCTTTCGCCCAATGACTGGTCCGCCAAATCGTTAATACCGGACGTAATAAATCTTAAATAATTTGATCAATTTCCCCCAATAAAGTTAAACGGGAAAATGCTGATTATTATGTGACGTAAGCATACGTGTTTGAAAATTAAACATTTTAAAGGTTATACGACAAATCACGTATACGCGATATCATTTGGTTATATGGTGATGCAAATATCCAAAAGTGTATTTAAACATAATTGTTTGCACGGTTTAGATGTGAATGAATGCGTAAAAACTCCTGACATTTGCCACAAAAATGCTACGTGCACAAATACTAAAGGAAATTATACTTGTGAATGTATGAACGGGTTCATTGGCGATGGTTACATTGATTGTTCTGGTGAGTTTGTCAATTAAGAAGCCAGGTGCACTAAATATATTTTTTAACGCGATATTGAGGGAATTTAAACTTTTGACACGGTATAAAAAATTGAAGCGTCTCAATTAGACCATTGGAAATGAACAGGTTTTCATGGTACCTATAGCTTCTGTTGCTAAGTACGACAACAATGAAGTATCTCCTTTGTTTTCGGCTATGATCAGGCCGTTTCCACCCCAAAATTCCTATACGCACCATGTAAATACAGTCATATAAAATTTAAAACAGGCGCTATATTTCTTCTTGCATTGTTTCGTGGTCAATAATTATGGTCTCTTGGGTGGAGTTTGCCTTGGCAACTGCATGGAACAACTATAATTTTAGATATCCAAATTGTGGTGAGATGACACATTTAAGCCTCGTTTTAATTCCACCTCCGTATCTAGCTAAAAAACTAGAAATTACTCTTGTTTTCGCATTCACATGAAACATTCCTGTATGAAAAATCCTATAATGTTGTCTTTTCTGCGGATTTCTTGTTGGTATAATAGCGCAAATTACAACGTGGCGGTGGTTTCTCAATGGATTCCTAACATTTTTTAGATGTGAATGAATGCTTGGAAACTCCTGACATTTGCCACAAGAATGCTACGTGCACAAATATTGAAGGAAGTTATTCCTGTCATTGTTTGGAAGGATTCATTGGGGATGGTAGACATAATTGTTCTGGTGAGTTTTTCGTAATAGAAAACTAATAAAAGGGAATAAATTTAGAAAGTGAAGGAAAGCCTCTAAGCTAGGAATGGAAAAGTGAACGTTTATCTGAATATTCAGAGAAAATAATTAGAAATATTTCGAGGACTTTCAGCTATCCACAGCCCGCCGAAATGGTATTTTTTTCAACACCTTTGAAAAAAGCATGTTAAGCTCGCTCATATCTAAATGTGTTTCTATACACATCGCGATGGTGAAACCGGACGTAATAAATCTTGAATAATTTGATGAATTTCCCCTCAAAAGTTAAACAGGAAAATGCTGATAATTATGTGACGTAGGCCTACACATGTCGAAGACATTTTAATGGTTATAAGATTGTAACACATGATATCCTGTGGACATATTATGATGCAAATATCCAAAAGTGTATTTAAACACAATGTTTGCACGGTTTAGATGTGAATGAATGCTTGGAAACTCCTGACATTTGCCACAAGAATGCTACGTGCACAAATTTGAAGGAAGTTATTCCTGTCATTGTTTGGAAGGATTCATTGGGGATGGTAGACATAATTGTTCTGGTGCGTTTTCAGATAAAAGAAATCTAATAAAAGGGAATAAATTTAGAAAGTGAAGGAAAGTCTATAAGCTAGGAATGGAAAAGTGAAAATTTATCTGCATATGGAGATGAGAAATGGTTATAGAAATATTTCGTGGAGTTTCAGCCATCCTCAGCCGCCATAGTGGTATTTTTTGAACAGCTTTCAAAAAAGCATGTTAAGCTTCCCCATATATCCATAGGTTTTTCTATACAACTCTGCGCGAACCTTTCGCCCAATGACTGGTCCGCCAAATCGTTAATACCGGACGTAAAAATCTTAAATAATTTGATCAATTTCCCCCAATAAAGTTAAACGGGAAAATGCTGATTATTATGTGACGTAAGCATACGTGTGTTGAAATTAAACATTTAAAGGTTATACGACAAATCACGTATACGCGATATCATTTGGTTATATGGTGATGCAAATATCCAAAAGTGTATTTAAACATAATTGTTTGCACGGTTTAAATGTGAATGAATGCGTAAAAACTCCTGACATTTGCCACAAAAATGCTACGTGCACAAATACTAAAGGAAATTATACTTGTGAATGTATGAACGGGTTCATTGGCGATGGTTACATTGATTGTTCTGGTGAGTTTGTCAATTAAGAAGCCAGGTGCACTAAATATATTATTAACGCGATATTGAGGGAATTTAAACTTTTGACACGGTATAAAAAATTGAAGCGTCTCAATTAGACCATTGGAAATGAACAGGTTTATGGTACCTATAGCTTCTGTTGCTAAGTACGACAACAATGAAGTATCTCCTTTGTTTTCGGCTATGATCAGGCCGTTTCCACTTCAAAATTCCTATACGCACATGTAAATACAGTCATATAAAATTTAAAACAGGCGCTATATTTCTTCTTGCATTGTTTCGTGGTCAATAATTATGGTCTTTTGGGTGGAGTTTGCCTTGGCAACTGCATGGAACAACTATAATTTTAGATATCCAAATTGTGGTGAGATGACACATTTAAGCCTCGTTTTAATTCCACCTCCGTATCTAGCTAAAAAACTAGAAATTACTCTTGTTTTCGCATTCACATGAAACATTCCTGTATGAAAAATCCTATAATGTTGTCTTTTCTGCGGATTTCTTGTTGGTATAATAGCGCAAATTACAACGTGGCGGTGGTTTCTCAATGGATTGCTAACATTTTTTAGATGTGAATGAATGCTTGGAAACTCCTGACATTTGCCACAAGAATGCTACGTGCACAAATATTGAAGGAAGTTATTCCTGTCATTGTTTGGAAGGATTCATTGGGGATGGTAGACATAATTGTTCTGGTGAGTTTTTCGGTAATAGAAAACTAATAAAAGGGAATAAATTTAGAAAGTGAAGGAAAGCCTCTAAGCTAGGAATGGAAAAGTGAACGTTTATCTGAATATTCAGAGGAGAAATAATTAGAAATATTTCGAGGACTTTCAGCTATCCACAGCCCGCCGAAATGGTATTTTTTTCAACACCTTTGAAAAAGCATGTTAAGTTCGCTCATATCTAAATGTGTTTTCTATACAACATCGTAGCGATGGTGAATACCGGACGTAATAAATCTTGAATATTGATGAATTTCCCCTCATAAAGTTAAACAGGAAAATGCTGATAATTATGTGACGTAGGCCTACACATGTCGAAGACATTTTAATGGTTATAAGAATTAGTACACACATGATATTGTGGTCATATTATGATGCAAATATCCAAAAGTGTATTTAAACACAATTGTTTGCACGGTTTAGATGTGAATGAATGCTTGGAAACTCCTGACATTTGCCACAAGAATGCTACGTGCACAAATATTGAAGGAAGTTATTCCTGTCATTGTTTGGAAGGATTCATTGGGGATGGTAGACATAATTGTTCTGGTGAGTTTTCAGATAAAAGAAATCTAATAAAAGGGAATAAATTTAGAAAAGTGAAGGAAAGTCTATAAGCTAGGAATGGAAAAGTGAAAATTTATCTGCATATGGAGATGAGAAATGGTTATAGAAATATTTCGTGGAGTTTCAGCCATCCTCAGCCCGCCATAATGGTATTTTTTTGAACAGCTTTCAAAAAAGCATGTTAAGCTTCCCCATATACCATAGTGTTTTCTATACAACTCTGCGCGAACCTTTCGCCCAATGACTGGTCCGCCAAATCTTAATACCGGACGTAATAAATCTTAAATAATTTGATCAATTTCCCCCAATAAAGTTAAACGGGAAAATGCTGATTATTATGTGACGTAAGCATACGTGTGTTGAAAATTAAACATTTTAAAGGTTATACGACAAATCACGTATACGCGATATCATTTGGTTATATGGTGATGCAAATATCCAAAAGTGTATTTAAACATAATTGTTTGCACGGTTTAGATGTGAATGAATGCGTAAAAACTCCTGACATTTGCCACAAAAATGCTACGTGCACAAATACTAAAGGAAATTATACTTGTGAATGTATGAACGGGTTCATTGGCGATGGTTACATTGATTGTTCTGGTGAGTTTGTCAATTAAGAAGCCAGGTGCACTAAATATATTATCTAACGCGATATTGAGGGAATTTAAACTTTTGACACGGTATAAAAAATTGAAGCGTCTCAATTAGACCATTGGAAATGAACAGGTTTTCATGGTACCTATAGCTTCTGTTGCTAAGTACGACAACAATGAAGTATCTCCTTTGTTTTCGGCTATGATCAGGCCGTTTCCACTTCAAAATTCCTATACGCACCATGTAAATACAGTCATATAAAATTTAAAACAGGCGCTATATTTCTTCTTGCATTGTTTCGTGGTCAATAATTATGGTCTTTTGGGTGGAGTTTGCCTTGGCAACTGCATGGAACAACTATAATTTAGATATCCAAATTGTGGTGAGATGACACATTTAAGCCTCGTTTTAATTCCACCTCCGTATCTAGCTAAAAAACTAGAAATTACTCTTGTTTTCGCATTCACATGAAACATTCCTGTATGAAAAATCCTATAATGTTGTCTTTTCTGCGGATTTCTTGTTGGTATAATAGCGCAAATTACAACGTGGCGGTGGTTTCTCAATGGATTGCTAACATTTTTTAGATGTGAATGAATGCTTGGAAACTCCTGACATTTGCCACAAGAATGCTACGTGCACAAATATTGAAGGAAGTTATTCCTGTCATTGTTTGGAAGGATTCATTGGGGATGGTAGACATAATTGTTCTGGTGAGTTTTTCGGTAATAGAAAACTAATAAAAGGGAATAAATTTAGAAAGTGAAGGAAAGCCTCTAAGCTAGGAATGGAAAAGTGAACGTTTATCTGAATATTCAGAGGAGAAATAATTAGAAATATTTCGAGGACTTTCAGCTATCCACAGCCCGCCGAAATGGTATTTTTTTCAACACCTTTGAAAAAAGCATGTTAAGTTCGCTCATATCTAAATGTGTTTTCTATACAACATCGTAGCGATGGTGAATACCGGACGTAATAAATCTTGAATAATTTGATGAATTTCCCCTCATAAAGTTAAACAGGAAAATGCTGATAATTATGTGACGTAGGCCTACACATGTCGAAGACATTTTAATGGTTATAAGAATTAGTACACACATGATATTCTGTGGTCATATTATGATGCAAATATCCAAAAGTGTATTTAAACACAATTGTTTGCACGGTTTAGATGTGAATGAATGCTTGGAAACTCCTGACATTTGCCACAAGAATGCTACGTGCACAAATATTGAAGGAAGTTATTCCTGTCATTGTTTGGAAGGATTCATTGGGGATGGTAGACATAATTGTTCTGGTGAGTTTTCAGATAAAAGAAATCTAATAAAAGGGAATAAATTTAGAAAGTGAAGGAAAGTCTATAAGCTAGGAATGGAAAAGTGAAAATTTATCTGCATATGGAGATGAGAAATGGTTATAGAAATATTTCGTGGAGTTTCAGCCATCCTCAGCCCGCCATAATGGTATTTTTTTGAACAGCTTTCAAAAAAGCATGTTAAGCTTCCCCATATACCAATAAGTGTTTTCTATACAACTCTGCGCGAACCTTTCGCCCAATGACTGGTCCGCCAAATCCTTAATACCGGACGTGATAAATCTTAAATAATTTGATCAATTTCCCCCAATAAAGTTAAACGGGAAAATGCTGATTATTATGTGACGTAAGCATACGTGTGTTGAAAATTAAACATTTTAAAGGTTATACGACAAATCACGTATACGCGATATCATTTGGTTATATGGTGATGCAAATATCCAAAAGTGTATTTAAACATAATTGTTTGCACGGTTTAGATGTGAATGAATGCGTAAAAACTCCTGACATTTGCCACAAAAATGCTACGTGCACAAATACTAAAGGAAATTATACTTGTGAATGTATGAACGGGTTCATTGGCGATGGTTACATTGATTGTTCTGGTGAGTTTGTCAATTAAGAAGCCAGGTGCACTAAATATATTATTTAACGCGATATTGAGGGAATTTAAACTTTTGACACGGTATAAAAAATTGAAGCGTCTCAATTAGACCATTGGAAATGAACAGGTTTTCATGGTACCTATAGCTTCTGTTGCTAAGTACGACAACAATGAAGTATCTCCTTTGTTTTCGGCTATGATCAGGCCGTTTCCACTTCAAAATTCCTATACGCACCATGTAAATACAGTCATATAAAATTTAAAACAGGCGCTATATTTCTTCTTGCATTGTTTCGTGGTCAATAATTATGGTCTTTGGGTGGAGTTTGCCTTGGCAACTGCATGGAACAACTATAATTTTAGATATCCAAATTGTGGTGAGATGACACATTTAAGCCTCGTTTTAATTCCACCTCCGTATCTAGCTAAAAAACTAGAAATTACTCTTGTTTTCGCATTCACATGAAACATTCCTGTATGAAAAATCCTATAATGTTGTCTTTTCTGCGGATTTCTTGTTGGTATAATAGCGCAAATTACAACGTGGCGGTGGTTTCTCAATGGATTGCTAACATTTTTTAGATGTGAATGAATGCTTGGAAACTCCTGACATTTGCCACAAGAATGCTACGTGCACAAATATTGAAGGAAGTTATTCCTGTCATTGTTTGGAAGGATTCATTGGGGATGGTAGACATAATTGTTCTGGTGAGTTTTTCGGTAATAGAAAACTAATAAAAGGGAATAAATTTAGAAAGTGAAGGAAAGCCTCTAAGCTAGGAATGGAAAAGTGAACGTTTATCTGAATATTCAGAGGAGAAATAATTAGAAATATTTCGAGGACTTTCAGCTATCCACAGCCCGCCGAAATGGTATTTTTTTCAACACCTTTGAAAAAAGCATGTTAAGTTCGCTCATATCTAAATGTGTTTTCTATACAACATCGTAGCGATGGTGAATACCGGACGTAATAAATCTTGAATAATTTGATGAATTTCCCCTCATAAAGTTAAACAGGAAAATGCTGATAATTATGTGACGTAGGCCTACACATGTCGAAGACATTTTAATGGTTATAAGAATTAGTACACACATGATATCTGTGGTCATATTATGATGCAAATATCCAAAAGTGTATTTAAACACAATTGTTTGCACGGTTTAGATGTGAATGAATGCTTGGAAACTCCTGACATTTGCCACAAGAATGCTACGTGCACAAATATTGAAGGAAGTTATTCCTGTCATTGTTTGGAAGGATTCATTGGGGATGGTAGACATAATTGTTCTGGTGAGTTTTCAGATAAAAGAAATCTAATAAAAGGGAATAAATTTAGAAAGTGAAGGAAAGTCTATAAGCTAGGAATGGAAAAGTGAAAATTTATCTGCATATGGAGATGAGAAATGGTTATAGAAATATTTCGTGGAGTTTCAGCCATCCTCAGCCCGCCATAATGGTATTTTTTTGAACAGCTTTCAAAAAAGCATGTTAAGCTTCCCCATATACCAATAAGTGTTTTCTATACAACTCTGCGCGAACCTTTCGCCCAATGACTGGTCCGCCAAATCCTTAATACCGGACGTGATAAATCTTAAATAATTTGATCAATTTCCCCCAATAAAGTTAAACGGGAAAATGCTGATTATTATGTGACGTAAGCATACGTGTGTTGAAATTAAACATTTTAAAGGTTATACGACAAATCACGTATACGCGATATCATTTGGTTATATGGTGATGCAAATATCCAAAAGTGTATTTAAACATAATTGTTTGCACGGTTTAGATGTGAATGAATGCGTAAAAACTCCTGACATTTGCCACAAAAATGCTACGTGCACAAATACTAAAGGAAATTATACTTGTGAATGTATGAACGGGTTCATTGGCGATGGTTACATTGATTGTTCTGGTGAGTTTGTCAATTAAGAAGCCAGGTGCACTAAATATATTATTTAACGCGATATTGAGGGAATTTAAACTTTGATACACAATAAAAAATTGAAGCGTCTCATTTAGACTATATGAAATGAACAGGTTTCCATGGTACGTATAGCTTCTGTTGCTAAGTACGACAACAATGAAGTATCTCCTTTGTTTTCGGCTATGATCGGGCTGTTTCCACCCCAAAATCCTATACGCACCATGTAAATACAGTCATATAAAATTTAAAACAGGCGCTATATTTCTTCTTGCATTGTTTCGTGGTCAATAATTATGGTCTTTTGGGTGGAGTTTGCCTTGGCAACTGCATGGAACAACTATAATCTTAGATATCCAAATTGTGGTGAAATGACACATTTAAGCCTCGTTTTAATTCCACCTCCGTATCTAGCTAAAAAACTAGAAATTACTCTTGATTTCGTGTTCACATGAAACATTCCTGTATGAAAAATCCTTTAATGTTGTCTTTTCTGCGGATTTCTTGTTGGTATAATAGCGCAAATTACAACGTGGCGGTGGTTTCTCAATGGATTGCTAACATTTTTTAGATGTGAATGAATGCTTGGAAACTCCGACATTTGCCACAACAATGCTACGTGCACAATATTGAAGGAAGTTATTCCTGTCATTGTTTGGAAGGATTCATTGGGGATGGTAGACATAATTGTTCTGGTGAGTTTTTCGATAATAGAAAACTAATAAAAGGGAATAAATTTAGAAAGTGAAGGAAAGCCTCTAAGCTAGGAATGGAAAAGTGAACGTTTATCTGAATATTGAGAGGAGAAATAAATAGAAATATTTCGAGGACTTTCAGCTATCCAAAGCCCGCCGAAATGGTATTTTTTTCAACACCTTTGAAAAAAGCATGTTAAGTTCGCTCATATCTAAATGTGTTTTCTATACAACATCGTAGCGATGGTGAATACCGGACGTAATAAATCTTGAATAATTTGATGAATTTCCCCTCATAAAGTTAAACAGGAAAATGCTGATAATTATGTGACGTAGGCCTACACATGTCGAAGACATTTTAATGGTTATAAGAATTAGTACACACATGATATCCTGTGGTCATATTATGATGCAAATATCCAAAAGTGTATTTAAACACAAATGTTTGCACGGTTTAGATGTGAATGAATGCTTGGAAACTCCTGACATTTGCCACAAGAATGCTACGTGCACAAATATTGAAGGAAGTTATTCCTGTCATTGTTTGGAAGGATTCATTGGGGATGGTAGACATAATTGTTCTGGTGCGTTTTCAGATAAAAGAAATCTAATAAAAGGGAATAAATTTAGAAAGTGAAGGAAAGTCTATAAGCTAGGAATGGAAAAGTGAAAATTTATCTGCATATGGAGATGAGAAATGGTTATAGAAATATTTCGTGGAGTTTCAGCCATCCTCAGCCCGCCATAGTGGTATTTTTTTGAACAGCTTTCAAAAAAGCATGTTAAGCTTCCCCATATATCCATAGGTGTTTTCTATACAACTCTGCGCGAACCTTTCGCCGAATGACTGGTCCGCCAAATCGTTAATACCGGACGTAATAAATCTTAAATAATTTGATCAATTTCCCCCAATAAAGTTAAACGGGAAAATGCTGATTATTATGTGACGTAAGCATACGTGTGTTGAAATTAAACATTTTAAAGGTTATACGACATATATGGTATACGCGATATCATTTGGTTATATGGTGATGCAAATATCCAAAAGTGTATTTAAACATAATTGTTTGCACGGTTTAGATGTGAATGAATGCGTAAAAACTCCTGACATTTGCCACAAAAATGCTACGTGCACAAATACTAAAGGAAATTATACTTGTGAATGTATGAACGGGTACATTGGCGATGGTTACATTGATTGTTCTGGTGAGTTTGTCAATTAAGAAGCCAGGTGCACTAAATATATTATTTAACGCGATATTGAGGGAATTTAAACTTTGATACACAATAAAAAATTGAAGCGTCTCGTTTAGACTATATGAAATGGACAGGTTTCCATGGTACCTATAGCTTCTTTTGCTAAGTACGACAACAATGAAGTATCTCCTTTGTTTTCGGCTATGATCGGGCCGTTTCCACCCCAAAAATCCTATACGCACCATGTAAATACAGTCATATAAAATTCAAAACAGGCGCTATATTTCTTCTTGCATCGTTTCGTGGTCAATAATTATGGTCTTTTGGGTGGAGTTTGCCTTGGCAACTGCATGGAACAACTATAATCTTAGATATCCAAATTGTGGTGAGATGACACATTTAAGCCACGTTTTAATTCCACCTCCGTATCTAGCTAAAAAACTAGAAATTACTCTTGATTTCGTGTTCACATGAAACATTCCTGTATGAAAAATCCTTTAATGTTGTCTTTTCTGCGGATTTCTTGTTGGTATAATAGCGCAAATTACAACGTGGCGGTGGTTTCTCAATGGATTGCTAACATTTTTTAGATGTGAATGAATGCTTGGAAACTCCTGACATTTGCCACAAGAATGCTACGTGCACAAATATTGAAGGAAGTTATTCCTGTCATTGTTTGGAAGGATTCATTGGGGATGGTAGACATAATTGTTCTGGTGAGTTTTTCGATAGTAGAAAACTAATAAAAGGGAATAAATTTAGAAAGTGAAGGAAAGCCTCTAAGCTAGGAATGGAAAAGTGAACGTTTATCTGAATATTCAGAGGAGAAATAATTAGAAATATTTCGAGGACTTTCAGCTATCCACAGCCCGCCGAAATGGTATTTTTTTCAACACCTTTGAAAAAAGCATGTTAAGCTCGCTCATATCTAAATGTGTTTTCTATACAACATCGTCGCGATGGTGAATACCGGACGTAATAAATCTTGAATAATTTGATGAATTTCCCCTCATAAAGTTAAACAGGAAAATGCTGATAATTATGTGACGTAGGCCTACACATGTCGAAGACATTTTAATGGTTATAAGAATTAGTACACACATGATATCCTGTGGTCATATTATGATGCAAATATCCAAAAGTGTATTTAAACACAATTGTTTGCACGGTTTAGATGTGAATGAATGCTTGGAAACTCCTGACATTTGTCACAAGAATGCTACGTGCACAAATATTGAAGGAAGTTATTCCTGTCATTGTTTGGAAGGATTCATTGGGGATGGTAGACATAATTGTTCTGGTGAGTTTTCAGATAAAAGAAATCTAATAAAAGGGAATAAATTTAGAAAGTGAAGGAAAGTCTATAAGCTAGGAATGGAAAAGTGAAAATTTATCTGCATATGGAGATGAGAAATGGTTATAGAAATATTTCGTGGAGTATCAGCTATCCTCAGCCCGCCATAATGGTATTTTTTTCAACAGCTTTCAAAAAAGCATGTTAAGCTTCCCCATATATCAATAAGTGTTTTCTATACAACTCTGCGCGAACCTTTCGCCCAATGACTGGTCCGCCAAATCCTTAATACAGGACGTGATAAATCTTAAATAATTTGATCAATTTCCCCCAATAAAGTTAAACGGGAAAATGCTGATTATTATGTGACATAAGCATACGTGTGTTGAAATTAAACATTTTAAAGGTTATACGACAAATCACGTATACGCGATATCATTTGGTTATATGGTGATGCAAATATCCAAAAGTGTATTTAAACATAATTGTTTGCACGGTTTAGATGTGAATGAATGCGTAAAAACTCCTGACATTTGCCACAAAAATGCTACGTGCACAAATACTAAAGGAAATTATACTTGTGAATGTATGAACGGGTTCATTGGCGATGGTTACATTGATTGTTCTGGTGAGTTTGTCAATTAAGAAGCCAGGTGCACTAAATATATTATTTAACGCGATATTGAGGGAATTTAAACTTTTGACACGGTATAAAAAATTGAAGCGTCTCAATTAGACCATTGGAAATGAACAGGTTTTCATGGTACCTATTTTTTTTGCTAAGTACGACAACAATTAAGTAGTTCCGTTATTTTCGGGATGGTATGGCCGTTGTCTGCCCGCGTTCTATACTAAAAATTTTATGACGACCATGTAAATACATGAAAAGTTCTAAAACAGGCGTTATATATTTTCTTCTAACTTTTTTTTGGTGATTGATGATCTTTTGGGTTACGGTACAATTGCTGGGACCTAGAACAACTATGATCAAAAGTCTCGGGCATGAATAACACATATTTGCGCCTCTTTTTCAACCTTCTACAAAAGAAACTCAAAATGAACTTTGGTTTCACATTGATTTGCAAAGTTTCTGTATAACACTTCTTGTAATGGGCCTTTTCTGTGGATTCCTCGTTGGGATAATGGCGCAAATATCAAAGTGATTACTCAATCAATTAAATGATTAATAATGTTTAGATGTGAATGAATGCTTGGAAACTCCTGATATTTGCCACAAAAATGCTACTTGCACAAATATTGAAGGAAGTTATTTTTGTCAATGTTTGGAAGGATACATTGGGGATGGTAGACATAATTGTTCTGGTGAGTTTTTTAGATAACATGCAGTAATTTACGTATACGCTGTAAAATTAGTAATTTAGAGCAAATTTAAACAGCGGCAGAGGAATTTTTAAACCGCGGCAGAGGAATTTTTTAAACAGCGGCAGGGGAATTTGCGTCTAATGCGTCGGCCACGCATGGCAACGTGAGTTAAAATATGTAGAAACAAAGGTATAATATACTCATATACATTCGTGACTCGGGGACGTTTAAATCTTCGTATTCCACCAATTCCTGCATGATGATTCCTAATGTTTAATAAGTTTTAAGAGTGCAGGTTCGGTTTGTTGGGTTTCAGTACTGTTCATTAATACAATGTATAAACCAGAATCAGCAGTGAATTGGAAATGCCCAAAGCCAAATGAAATTTCGAGCTTTATTGCCTCTCGAGGATCCCGCTTGGTTTGATCAATTTCATAGGCGTTCTACAAAATCGTGTTTAAAATTGCAATTACTTTTCGAAGTTAGTCTTTTTAGTTTCGAAGTACGAATTAAATTGACACGTAGTTTGCTCATTAATTTTGCTTCAGTATCTCTTATATTTCGTACAGTAGCGTAGCCAGCCCGACAATTCAGTCATGCTATGTTAATATTTTCGTATTCGTTGACTGTGAAAACACTGAAATTCTATAAAGAAATGAATAATGATAATAACATCAAATTTGCATAGCAGGACTAAATTACCATGCAAGCAAGCTCGCTACGCCACTGATTCCGTAGTAATGTTTTCCGGCTGCAATGATCAGCCAGCTCGCCCTCGGCTTTCTACTTTCTTGTCAGAGATATTAATACACACGGACGATGAAATCTTCATAAGGCGGTAACTTGTTTCCAACAAAATTTCAAGGTGCAATTTTTCTCCAGCATAGCCGCGCGACAAAATCCACTTTAAATCGTTAATAAAAGACCTGTTTTTGATCAAACGGATGGCTAGGGCATAAAGTTGGATAAGAAGAATTGTGAAGACACGGTGCCCTCGAAGGCGAGTTTCTGTTGCTAGGCCACGGCTAATATTTTAGACGTTAATGAATGCGTAAAAATTCCGGATGTTTGCCATAAATATGCAACATGTATGATGTATCAACACATGTGAATGCCTAGACGGGTTTATTGGTGATGATTACCATGATTGCTTCGGTGAGTTAAATACAAATGGCCTTGACCATCGATGAAGGCCGGATCCAAAGCTCTGCAATAGACTAATTCACGTAGTGCTTTTATAAATATATTTAATATTTAGTTTACTAAATTTCGAGAATATAAAAATTTTTGCTTTAAAACCTCTATAGAAAATAAATCTCCGCTTATAAATACTCCAAGTTCAGTCTACGCAATCTTGAATATGGACTTCAGAATTCCGATCGAAGCACGCGATCCCGAGGACGAGGATCTAGTTTTTGAGTTAATGTCAAACGGAACCGCAACCACGGCTGAAATCACAGAAAACGGTTTCCTTACAATACCGGAACTTAAAGAAAGTGGAAGTGTTTATATACTGGTTAAAGATAAAAAGGGTGCCCAGAATTTTCTAGTTCTCAATGTGAAAGCGATGCAATGTCCATGTGAACAAAATGGTACATGTCAGAAAAAGCAGAATATCACTTATCCAGTGCAGAAATCCGACTATATTTGCCATTGTAAAGACCCATTCACCGGTGAAAAATGTGAAAAACGCTCAAATCCTTGCAGAGAACAGCCCTGTTTTCCTGGACTTAAATGTTCATCCGCACTGAATTCTGAAGGATTTACCTGTGAAAAATGTCCACCATTATTTAAAGGCGATGGGAAATATTGTGAACTAGATAACGTGAAAGGTATGTTGTGGGCCAAGGAGTTGCGTAATTCATAGCTATTAATGCTAGCCAATGAACTAGTCATCGTCATAGTTTAGAGGTGTGACATGTTGGTAACCCGTATATAATAGTTCCTGATTCCAAGAATTTTGCTTATAGCTATATATTGATTAATACAATTAGCCATCTCTTAAATCTTTGAAAAAATTCGGTCTAAATCAAGCCCGAGGCATTGCGAGGCCTTTCAGGTTAACCGCATTAAATTATCAATGCATGATCATATCAATGCACTATCATATTAAATAGACGCAAGAACCAGCAGTCCAAGGTTTTTGTTGATTATTTATAAATTTTTGTTTTAGCTAGCTAATATTTTCAGGCTATTTAGTAGTGTTTTTTTTTTAATTGGGAGTGTATAAACAGATATATAGGGATAATTATTTGAACCTCTGAACACAATTTTTGTAACTGTTGGTAAATATATTTTATTCAAACCTCTTTATTCAAATAATATAGCAAACGCTAGATCTCCCTTGAATTTTGCTTATATAGACGTTAAAAAGAACCACGTGGAGTCTAAGATGACATTGAAAAGTGAAGAATGGGATGTCAAATTAATGGAAAATACATCCAAGGAGTACAGGGAACTTGCCTCTCGGATAACAAATGAGGTATGTTGAAACAAACTATACAAAAACCTGCATTATGTTTCTTTCGTAAATTGCATATCAAAATTTGCCGTCATATACTGTCATGATTGATTTGAAGACGCTTTTTAGTAACTCTCTCATATTTAACAGATCAGAACAATTTACAACAAGGTTCCAGGGTTTAGTTATGTAATTGTCAAAAACTTCAGGTATGTCAAATATCATTATTAAATATAACCTTGCCTCTATTACACATAAAAATGAGGATTTTCGTTTGACGTGTTTACTTCATAAAGGGGGTATGTCTGCAAGGGTTCAGATTCAACAGTTTTGGTCTATCGGTTCGGGTATTAGTAATAAGTTCAATGTATTTTCGTCGATGTTTGTTTTCCTATATTTGTACTTTACCTCGACACGTCTTTCACCATTACAGGCTATACTTTTTTGTAATTGTTTAGACAAAATTTGCACAAATTACCATGTAAAAATGAAAACTTGCCCCTGTTGGCCAAAAGCAAGCACCTTTGTTCCCGCGATTTTTTCTTCCGCGCATTCCATTCCAGGAAGCGACGGTTTTATTGTAATCATTTGTAATGTATATCTTATAATGTATTTAAATTTACCTCTACAATTTATCACCAAAAAACAACATTTGATGAAACCAGAAGCAAACCGTGCTTGTTTCTCTCAATAATTGCCGGACACTTTAAAATACTTGCACCTAATTTATGTGTTTTAATTACAGACCCGGAAGTATAATTGTAAATTTCATGTTGATATTTTCCGATGAAGTAAAGGCCCCTCTTGAACCATTGCTCAAGGTGGCAGAGACTGGAAAACTCGGGAACATGACCTTCGAGATGAACGGTTAGAAATGAATTGCATGCATGCTGCTGCAATTGTACAAAATAATTTCAAAACTAGCCTTATCAGCTTATGCAAAAAAATGCGAGATTTCAGTAGCTATACACATTACCATATTAGTATTATATTTAGAATATAATTATTTCCCTATATTTTGACGTGCATCTCGATTTCAGCGATTTTTGCTTGTCAGGATGATTTTCTGAGCACACGTACCATAGTACTACGGTTTCATCCAATGCAAATGCGTATAATTATACTGCTTCATATTCTCATCAGCATAACCACGATGTACTGATATTGTATAATAAACAATATCAAGTTTTTTGACACGACAATACCATCCTGCAGGTCTTCATGAAGACTACCCATGCAACAGATGACTGAGGGAAGATCACTCACAACATATATCTCAATTTGTAATTCTTGTTAGAAACCTTACTATTTCCAATTTTAGTGAATGAACCTGATCCAGAGGACGACAAAAATGACTCAATGAACGAAACTATTCGCATTGCTGTGATTATCGCTGTTGTTGTGGTCCTACTTTCCCTCATTATACTTATTGTTGTGCTGCGCGTGAGAAGACAGAGAAAGCACAGAGAAAAGGAATTAAGGAAGAAGCAAAGAGCCGTAACTACAAGAAGCCAACCGAAAGGAGTTTCATTCCAGAGAAAAGATGGTGAAGAAATGGACATGAAAGAGATGGAATTCAAGGCTAGTTGTGCGGGTGGAGACTTAAATATCGAACCTTAATTCGGCTTTATTTTGGACAATACTGCATGTACATGCATGCATCTATTCTGATATATCTATTCGAATAACTCATATACTTACTGTTTAATTAAGAATGATTGCGAATTGGGAATACTGGGATCTTATTAGCACCATGCATATAATTTACTATATAAATACCGCAATTGATATTATACCACTACACTTAATGACGCTATATAATTACACAAGTTACTGCATTGAACAGTTTTTTTTGCGGATAAAACGATGAAAATGTGAGTATATATAGTTTTCATCTTAAATACAACGTTAAGGTGATATTGAAAATTCTAGGCACTCGTTGGTAAATAGGAAATTAAAAAGTACATTTGCAAACATTTCAAGACCATATTTTCCGTGTTTCAAATGAAAAATAAAGTGACTTTGTTGATAAACTTTTTTACGGTAACTTCATACCGATTCTTCTTTCTAAACTGTTTTGCATTATTTTATCAACACATTGTCACAAGGGTTATGATAAATCATATTCAGAATATAATCAGAATTTTTACCAACCTGCTACAGTTGAAGATGGCAAAACTGTTGATATCAAAGGCTTGACGACTTCGGTGGAGTTAGCACTCAGCGATAAAGGAAGTGTTGTAGAAACACGGGCATCTAAAACCATTGATGTCGTATGGATTACAGACGATGCAATCATGTCTCCTGTAAAAGATATAGAGAATGTAAGTAGTTTTTATTATAATTTCAAAGCTAAGGTGATTATTGGAAATTTTGAAGAAAATTTTCTATAACTATAATCACTTTTGTAATTATACTAAAAAAATTATTTGCCCTCTGATTCGGTGAATATCGTCAAGGTATCTATATTCAGCGACATTCATGCACCTCGTCTTCGGTGTTCATTACAACATATAACAATAACGTTTTGTTAAACTATTTTTAGAGATGAGATTATATTGAATGAATTCAATAAGTTACGACAGACACAAAAATGGCGTTTTTATGGACACATGCACACATCGGCTGACGGAGCGTTTTCTCTAGCTATTTAGCTAGAATATCAAAACGGACACCAACAAACCCGAATACGTGGTGGCTGGGGTCTAATTATGCATATATTGGTTGAAAATATCGAGGAAAGATACCAGTTTGATTTCCGTAATTTAGAGATATACGCCTGTATTAAAAATGCTTACTGACACTCGAGTGTAACATGAAAATTTTGTTATTACTAATCATTGAGAAAGTTATTTCTTGAACGATAATAACATTTGAGGTATCCATTGGAAATATCGAAACGTTATAAGAAGATTGAGATATCCCTTGAGTTTGAGTGTACAAAGAAAATTATCCATGGCTTGCATGTATATCGATTATATTAATGCCGATGAGGATCTCGGATAAGATATAATAGCCAGATGATGTATCAAAAAACGGATATGAAATTAACAGATCTTAAAGAAGGATAAATTCAATTTGATGATTTGAATGAGCAGTTATTTATTAGCTTTTCAACGACACTTTTCTTTAGTTCATAGCACAGCATAACAGCAAATATTTTTAAATTCAATTAAATTAATGTTCGAAATAAATTTTTCCTGATTGAAGGCAAAACGAGGCTATTATACACAATGGAATTTTCCTTGCAACTTGCAATGCAATTCTCATTTTGAGGGAGGTCAATTTGTAAAAGGTGCCCGAAATTCAAGGAAACGTTGCAGATCGTAGAAAATGTTCGTATTTGACAACTTTAGATGCCTCAATAGTACAAGTGCATTAAACGTTGCAAGGAAAGTTGCATAGTGTAACAACGCCTTAATTCACCGATTTGGTAAATAAACAAACTAAAAGAATACCATACATGCCTTTTAAAACCTTCTCTTTGTAGCTAGCATGCACTCTGGCTAAAGATACACAAAACAATGACATATGGTGGTCTTTGTATGTGACAATTATAAGAACAGTTGTCTAATCGAAATGGAATGATAATACAATAATACGATATTCAGTAAATAGCTATAATGCATTGGCTTCAAACATTTCTACTTCTAGTCTTGGGAGAGAAAGAAAGTGCTAGGACCAGGGTTTGATCGGTTGTTTGATGTTAACTGCGAACGTTAAAGTGAATCTTTTATTCCAATCCATCCTCTAGTGGAATACAAACATTTTATGCTTCGCGCAGAAATGATCTATTACCTGCACAAGTAGCGAAGCACAACTTGTAGGTTCTTTCAATCAATACAGGTAAAAATCGCTCGGGCATCTAACAACTTTTATGGCAAAAGATTCGCCACAGCCAGGAGGAAGGATGCATGTAGGGAACGGCTGCACATGCTTTGGCATCAACAACAAGTTCTCGATGGTCGGATGACTTCCTTCGAACCAAATTGGAACGTACGTGCCACAACGTTGTAAACCCGGATTTTTTGTGGGCATTGTATTACCAGCTGTACTTTGAAATCGATACCACTCATCGTCGACGGTGAATCCTCGATCGCAAATGTAGGGCGTTTTACTTTCAAACGCTGTACTACGACGAGTATCGCTTATTATTGTGTAATTAACGCTATCGCAAAATGCCGCAACTATAGAACTCCTTGAGCGTGGTACAAAACGAACAGAAGAAACGATAGAATTGCGTCCATATTCTACATGTCATGTGAAAATATGCTTTAACGGGGACGTTAAAATGTTGTTGAAATGATTGATATTAGCATGACAAAGCCTGACATGACAAAGCATGACATTTTTAGAATAATTTGAAATACAGTACTGTATGGTGCAAACCCGAACAATATTAATATTCTTGCATATTTAAGGCCTAGGTTATACGTCGCATTTTGGTCGCGTCGAATGCAATTCAAACAGTAGATAATGAGATGATAATGAAGCTTAATGAGGTTTATCATCTCATTATCTATTGTTTGAATTGCATTCGACGCGACCAAAATGCGACGTATAACCTAGGCTTAAGTGCTTGCGGGTTTTTTTTAGACACCCTGTACAATCATACTCTAACGATGTCGTAATAGTTTTTTAATAGCGGCTTATGCCTTTGAAAACCAATCGTCATACCAAAGCTTATTGCTTCCAATATACAGGGTGAGTCAGAAAAAAGTCCCCTCTATTGAAATCAAGCCTTTGTTAGAATCTGATTGCCTTAATATTATGATAAACCCAATTGAAAGCAAGACGCTTTATTTGAATGCCTCAACCTAATAACTATGCTATTTACACACTACTGCGTTGATCATGCATTCAAATCAACAAAGGCTTCATTTCAATAGGGGGGACTTTTTTTTGACTCACGCTGTATTGGTGCATGTGATTACAACATTTCTGTCAATTGTTTTATTTCTAAGACAAAGACAATTATTTCTCAACATCATTTAGTGTACAAATTACAATGTGCACAACGAATCCTCAGCAGAAGTTCCAAGCTTTTTAATTCAATCGATGCTGCATGGATAAAAAGTGTCCGTCAAACTCTTTCCCTATTGAGATGAACATTTGCTCAAACTAGTGTCCAGTTTTTTTCTATTACAAAATGCGCGCCTTGTAAAACAATATGGTGTCTAGACCAAAGCGCACATTATGCAAACCTCAACGTTTTGTCCACGAATTTGCGGTTCGATGTGGAAAAACGGGAGGCGAAAGACAATAACCTTTACGAAGTTGAGATCAAAAAGATTGATCAAGAAAATAAACGTGTTCGTACGCATTTCAAAGGATACGATTCGCGTTTTGATGAATGGCGACCCTATGGGCTATGGCAAAGTTAATATATTTCCCGTTTCTTCAGCATGAAAAGCCTCGTGTTTTGGCCGCCGCGTCAATATAGACGATAGAGCCGATAATAACAATAACAATAAAACCTTTTGATTAAAATTCGACCTTGCACGCGCAGGTAGCCGATGTGAACGATATTAATGTCCCTTATTCCAGCATATTATATAATATATACACTAATAAACAATATATCAATAAGAAAATCATCAATGTGTACTGTAGCAGCGTAGGCTATTGCCGACGCTATTTACAGTATATATTTAGAAAGCATTTGTCAGGCTTAAAATTTGTCAAAATATACACGGTATTGAACAATACTATATTTAATAAAGCATACAAGGTGAAAATATAAAATTCTCTTGCCTGCAGTTTATCTCGTAAGTAAACGGCGGGCCTTCATTCTGATTGTGTTCACATCACCAACCATCACCAACAGCAGAGACACCAACAGCAGAGACCTACAGTTCATGGCCCTCGGTCCGACGCTAATTCACGTTGAATATGTACGAAATTCATATCAAAATACGCGCCAAAACATGTAGCTTTCAATTCGGAATGTAAGGAAAAGAAATATTGCATAGTGGAAGCAGTACGAGAAGTTTTCCCGCAACTTCCGCTCTAAACGGCGATTTTTGACCAATATTCTTATATAGCCCGCAACATTCAACCTCCAAAGTCCGACTCCGGTGTCAGTTTTTTTCACTCACCCTGTATAAATGTATAAACGTGAATTTCGCCTGAGTGGGAGAGGAATATTTATTAATGCATCATATTAGTGTTTATTTATTACTATTTAACAATTAGTCGCCGAAGGCGAGGTGATTACAAGCCTATATTCACTGAGCCGAAGGCGAAGTGAATATAGGCTTGTAATCATCGAGCCTGAGGCGACTAATTGTTTTAGTATAATTTCAGTATTGAAAAAGTTTTATTTATAAATACAACTGATACACGTGTTTATTTTATGAATATAATTTTGATTTTGAGTATTTTCAGTCATGTTTTTTTGGGGAAAAGCAATAGTTACTGCTCAGACTGCTCTGAGCAGTAACTATTGCCTCAGAGTTACTGCTGAGGGAGCCAATCAGAATGCTCAAAGGCCATTTTTCAATACTGAAATTATACAAATAGTGTTTATCAATAGTCTGCAAGATTAATAACATGATATATGAAATTTACAATTCCCGCTTCTCAAGTGTCTTAAATAGCATATCTAAAGTTGATATATGTCTATATAATGGCGAGCACATGTTCATCAGTTTTACTGTTGTATTGGGTCTTGAATATTTTTGCCTTTTCTAACTATATATACTTCACCTATTGTTATTAGCGAGTTTGAGCAAGGAAACGAAGTACGAAGACGTGTTTCGGCCGAGGTAGCCATGGGAATAGTAGTTAAACCGTTGACGAAGACGTTAAACCCTCGCCGCTGACCTTAAGCGGAGTATGCGCAAATGATGCGCAGACGTTAAAAAATTGTGAAGTTTGTCTTCGTCTTCGTACTTCGTTGCCTTGCTCAAACTTCCTATTATTGTAGGTGAACTGCAACGTTCTTGTGGTATCAGATTAGATTATAGCTATAACGTATATACATAATGCAACTAACAAATATACTTAGTGAATATAGTATAGAAAAATTGCGAATACAAGCATTAAAATATGAGAGATTGAAGCCACATGTTCCGCGTGACCAGTCTCCTGGGGCCGAGGTTTACAGTTTGCGCATTCACCGCATACGTCACACACGCTGACATCATCTTGTGTCACATACATCGTTGTTGCTCGTTTTTCTAAAGCACAACATTTTAAATAAAGTTAGTTTAGTTAAATAAAGTTTCCTCCTGTAGTAACACTGGATCAATAATTCACTAACATATAGTTATTAGTTTGAAAAAGGTAAATACCTGGTTTATAATAATCGTAAACGATGACTGGGATTGGTTGAGTTTTGCCAATAGCGTGAGTTCTGACTGATTTTATTTTCACACAGACGTCACTGCTCTTCGGGACCTGTTGAAATAAAGTTGTATGTTTGCATGTCAACTGATACAACATAAAACCATAGATAAAACTTACTTCGTTAAAGTATAGGACCGCTTTTTTTCCTGGTGTTTCAATTTTTTCGACTTTATTTCCCTCGGTTTCGAGAAGCTAAAATTGTAGAAACAAAATACTGAACCATTTGCGGCTTTTCAACTATTTTGTTTTGGCTGGTATTAATAGTATAATTTGAACTACAAACAAACCTTGGGTACAACGTCCGGGTCCAAACTAAATCCAGACGGCAAACCAAACTCAAGAATCGCCATTCCAGAATTTTGGCCATCACCCGTGTATCTTACACACGACTCAGCTTCGACTTTGTTATTGTCGACGTTTTTCACTTTAACTTTGACATTAAACGAATTATCGGTTGGAGCATTTTTAACGTTGTATGTCACTCCAATCTTGAACAAGTAAATATTGATTACCACACGGCAGGAGTTTTGGGTATTCGAAGTAAAAACACACCAGAAACTCACCTGTAATACGCCAATTCCTTTTCCTTGTGATGAAATCAAAACTTTGCCATTCACTGTTGGAAGCTACAGGAAATAATAAACGTATAATTAGCTTTACTTTTATCTAGATCTTTTCTTGGACATAAATGAAATATTATTCAGTTTCACTATAGATCGATCATTTTAGTAGATAATTTATATGGGGTATTGTTTGGCACTTCGCAAAAAATGGAACGCTATACACTCTGTGAAATATCTGGGATTTCAGGAATCTAATTCAGTAGTCATATTTGAAGCGTACCTCCTCTTCCTGCAAAACAATCAAGTTATCTTTGTTCACTGAAAATGATTTGCTATAACCAGCTTTTGCTGACAATCCCACATCTACTGTGAAATGAACGTCAGACGAAAACACGAGAGGAGCAAAAACTGAAAGCGCCTGGAGACCAATCACAGTATCCTGTGAAAAAAACACACACTGTGATCCTTTCTGGACCTCTAGGAAGAACACTTTAGAACTGATGAAGCTATCCAGTATAAATAAAGTTAGTTTAGTTTAGGTTTCCTCCTGTAGTAACACTGGATCAGTAAGAGATGATCCTTACTGGATCTCTAGGAAGAACAGTTTAGAACTAATAGAGATATCCAGTATAAATAAAGTTAGTTTTACTAGCATTCCATGCAAGAACAATTTGGAACAGGTGTAATGGATTTCGCAGACTGATCCTTCGAACTTACCTGAGTGGAAGAATACCCTCCAAGTGAGTTCCGTTGTTGAGCCAACCATTGTGCAATAGGTAACCCATTCTGCGTGTTGTTTCTATGAGCATACACTAACAGAACGTATGATGTAATCTCAACGTCGGCTGAAGGAGGTCTGTAATATGGACGAAGCCAAGGGCTTGATTTGGAATTTACTGAACTACTTTGTTTCCAATGTAGTGTTCCATCTAAAATTAAAAAATATCTGAAAATCTAGAAACAATTTAAAACTGGAAACTGGTAAAGACATAGTTTTTTACAGTATACAGTTTTAGTAAACCAGAGTTGGTGATAACACTGGATCAATCAGAGATGATCTTCAAATGTTAGATTACAACTGATAGAGCTATCCAGTATAAATAAAGTTAGTTTAGTTTAGGTTTCCTCCTGTAGTAACACTGGATCAACAAAAGATGATCCTTACTGGATCTCTACGAAAAACAGTTTAGAACTGATAGAGCTATCCAGTATAAATAAAGTTAGTTTAGTTTAGGTTTCCTCCTGTATAGTAACAGTGGATCAATACGAGATGATCCTTACTGGACCTCTAGGAAGAACAGTTTAGAACCGATAGAGCTATCCAGTATAAATAAAGTTAGTTTAGTTTAGGTTCCTCTTGTAGTAACACTGGATCAATACGAGATGATCCTTACTGGATCTCGGGAAGAACAGTTTAGAGTTTGGAGAGATATGCGGTCTATAAATACTCACAAAATGACACGTTTCTTTCGGTAAAATTACCTTCTCTAATCGCCTTCGTCATTAGTTTTTCTAAAGCAGTTTCTTTAGCGGTATCATCAGCAAGTTCGAAGGCGTATGCGATCAATGCCAATGTGTAGACATCGCTTATGCCACTTAGTTTTGTTTTAAGGAATCGTACAGCTTTGGAAATTCCCAGTTTCGTCTCCTGAAAAAGAATGTTTTTTCTGAAGTCAATATGAGAAAGGTCTATTGGATATTGTTACCAGTGCAAAGGCTTTTTACCACATACTTACAGAACTTTCATCTCCAGATTCCAAGAGCGACACCAGAACATACGCGGTTAAGGCCTCTGGAGTTGACGATTTTAATCCACCCTGGAATAAACACAAAAGCTCATAAGTACGGCCTAACAATGCATCAACCCTCGGTATTGACACCAGTGGCGTTATAAGTCATACCTGTAAATAGCTACTGACGCGACCAGACTCAGAAAATGATCCATCTCTTTGCTGAGTTGACAAGATGAAGGCTAAACTTTTTCTCTGGACGGCAGGGTCAATATAAATGTAGGATTTCGCACGTGAGAATGACTTTACAACAAAGGCCGTTAACCTAAAATTAAGTTCAGATTAGTTTAGGTTTCCTCCTGTAGTGGCACAGGATCAATAAGAGATGATCCTTACTATGAAGAACAGTTTAGAACTGATAGAGCTATCCAGTATAAATAAAGTTAGTTTATATAGTTTAGGTTTCCTCCTGTAGTAACACTGGTTCAATAAGAGATGATCCTCACTGGACCATCACGAGAAACGAAATTGAATCGACGTTGAATGAAAACATACCATAAACTACCCGATCTTCCACCACGTCCTTCACCAAAAGCGCTGTACGAACCATCTGAATGCTGATAGGTTAATTCCCGTTGGTACCCTACGAAATAACTAAAATATCTAGAATATCCAGCAGACCCTTTCCTTCGAGGGCAAAGACTTTGACAACTTTGGACATCTGCGGGAAAGACAGTGCAAGGGATGAGCTTACCTGACGTCATGAATTTAATCGACTTTTCCTTAATACTTGGTGTAAGCTGGCCGACGTTTTCCAAATAGGCGCGAATGAACATGCTTGGTGCAAAGTTGATCATATTTTGTTCCCCGCAACCGTAGGGCATTCTGAGCAGTTTCTCTATGCCACTAATTGATGAGCCCATAATGTCACCTTTTGATAAAAACAAAGCGGAGTTCATTGGTGGGAATATTTTGGTTAATAAGTAAGGCATCTGAGTGTAGTTCTAACAATGAATACTAACCAATCACTGATATCGTCCCTTTGGGCGAGCCTACGACCACATCGGACGGCAAGGCGAGTTCCAACTCTTTGGTGAACTTTGCTATACAAAATATGAAGACAAATGCATGGTCGTTGGAATATGAGGATATAAGATGAACGTGTGTCAGTAGTTAAAAACAATGAGATGAAATACCTGAAGAACTTAAATCAATAAGAAGACTGTACGAATATTCTTGCTCGATACCCTCGGGCTGAAGAGATATAAAAATCAGTCAATTGTCAATTGTAAAGGGGGTAAAGGGGCGTAGATGAACCGTTGGTAACAAAGACCTCAAGTATGTCAGACAATAGCGAGGTTCAGATTTGGGTGTTACCACAACTGCTATCATTTCGAAAACTTGACCCAATCAAATATGACAAGTCTATCAGATTAGCCAATCACGAGCAACTTAAACGTAGTTGAAGTCAAATGTGAAATTCGTTTATAAGAACACGACGTCAACTACAGTATCTTTAACCCAGCAATGCATTGGGCTTACCTCGACCAGGAGGGTTCGTCTTACACCATCAGCCGACGTCGTGGTCTGCGCATGAACTGTGATGGGAATGTAACCAAGCTTTTTAGGTATTATGGGAAACGATATTGCAGTTCCACTATTGGCCAAAACCTTGATGACGTGAATAACGTCACTTGCGTCACTGTTCTTTATGAGACTATTTTCATCTTCCTCAACCATATTCTCCCAGTCATCAGAACGTTTTAAGGTAACGGTTACCTAAAGAAATAAAGTGAATAGATAGCTTTAACAATAATCGTGAACATGCAAGTGTTACTGTAGAAGGGGAAAACTTAAACTAAACTAACTTTATTTAAACTGGAGAGCTCTAAACTGTTCTAAAGATCAGGGGTCGGTTGTTCGAAAGGCGTTTAGCTTAAACGGTAGATAAGTTCAAAATTGAAAACAAAATTATCTATTTATTGAACAACTGAGCTGAAATATTTCGATGAAAATAGTTTAATTTTCAATGGAAGTACATATTTAGTGCACAAGATGCAGGCGCAACCATTCACAACATCTATGGGAGTGTTTTTGAAATTTGGCTTATCCACCGTTTAAGCTAAACGCCTTTCGAACAACTCGCCCCAGTTCTACACTGTTTTTCCTAGAGGTCCAGTAAGGATCATCTCTTATTGATTCAGTGTTACTACAGGAAGAAACCTAAACTAAACTAACTTTATTTATACTGAAATTATGGCATTTTAAACTGTTTTCTATATTGATCCAGATCTTTAAAGTTGCCTAAAAAATGCACCTTAACTTCCTTATTCTCGTAGTTAAATACGATAACTTTGATGGCAACTTCCTCTCCTCTGATCACAGAATATGGAAGATCCAGGGACAAGAAGAATGGTTGAAATACTCGAAGCTATATTAAAAAAGAAGAAATATGAAGACAAAAAAGTCATTGACCGAAGTTACTTGCAGTAATATGAACTATGGAGATTCAGATATTCTTATTTTCAAACCTGGGGTTTCTCGTTTGCCACTCCAAAGCCTGTTACATTGGAAACAGAAAAACCACTCAACACCCATGACGTAATGGTATCTGGTGATTTACTCAGCACCTGCGCTTGCCCCGCTGAACTATAAAAGGTAATGGAGTGTGCATAAATAAAAATCACTGTTAGCTATCAACGATAAGGTTGTAAAACACTGACTTTGTACGAGTAGTTTCCCATAGCCAAGTCTCTGGAAAGATGGTTCTGACTTTAGTCACTTCTTTTAATGGCAAACCTGCTTTGACATTCATGTCCATTCTCTCCATTAAAGGAAATCGGGAATCTAAATGAGAGTTAGTTAATACAAATCACTCACCGATTTACTAATATAGTATTATTATCGTCTGGAAATTATTGGTATAGTACTGGGGCCAGTTGTATCAAGCCCGTTTAGCTTAAACGGTGTAGTCAAAATTAAATAACACTCTTACGTCTCTCTGGAATGAGTGAACTTGAATATTATGCACTGAATATGTAGTTGTAAACAGTATCGTCGTATTAAGGTTAAAATATTTAGTTTGCATGTTGAATAAAACGATAGACTTGCTTTCTATTTTGAACTTAACCAACGTCCCCATGTCAAAAATTAATTCTGGCAACGAGTTTAGCAAACTCTTCTGCGCGACTTTTTTGTATAAATTACAGAGAAACACTGATTTTTCTACAACTCAGAGAGTTCACCTCAAAAAATACTTACAATCATAAGGATAACGGAAGTTATTATTATTTCTAACACCTTTACAGTCCGATATGACCCGCAGTTTCACTCCCTACAAGTATAAAATATCGTATTTGGATTAACATATAAGAATAAAGGTTTTATATTCCTCCAAATTATGGCAGATTTCTGCTATAAAGAATTATTTTTATAAATATAAAATAATTATTATAATTTTGTCTGTAACATGCCTCGAATATCTGGAGTGAGTCTTGCGCCCTGGGGTACCATGGGAAGAATGATCGACGTCGTCTCCATCGCCACCAGGGGGGGAATGACCCATCCCCGCCATAACTTTCTAACTCTTCCATCACCTAGAATTTAAAATGTTCTCCCTAGAGGTCCAGTAAGGATCATCTCTTATTGATCCAGTGAGTGTTACTACAGGAGGAAACCTAAACTAAACTAACTTTATTTATACTGGATAGCTCTATCGGTTCTAAACTGTTCTTCCTAGAGGTCCAGTAAGGATCATCTCTTATTGATCCAGTGTTATTACTACAGGAGGAAACCTAAACTAAACTAACTTTATTTATACTGGATAGCTCTATCGGTTCTAAACTGTTCTTCCTAGAGGTCCAGTAAGGATCATCTCTTATTGATCCAGTGTTATTACTACAGGAGGAAACCTAAACTAAACTAACATTATTTATACTGGATAACTCTATCAGTTTTAAACTGTTCTTCCTAGAGGTCCAGTAAGGATCATCTCTTATTGATCCAGTGTTATTACTACAGGAGGAAACCTAAACTAAACTAACTTTTACACCAACCTGGGACACAGAGAAGTCATTTCCTTCATCCAACAAGAGTACACTCTTGTCAACTGCCAACAGTCCAACTTCAGAATTCGGCGAAGCCTTCACGTTGACAGTAACATTCTCTCCTGGCTTGGTTTGAGTGGTGTTAAACTCAACAGAAACCTGAAATGTAGCATGTCCCATGTTGAAGCAAGCGGATTTTCTCAATTATTGCAAACGTCCAATTTTAAGCTACTATTCTTTCATGACCTACATCGTTCTCAAAAGCCCCATTTACTTTAACTGTAACACTGTCGGCCACAAGTTCTCCATCGTTTCGTATAAAATATACCACAATCTTTGCTGTCGGCGACATGATACTGGTAGCCATGAACTTCAAGGTTGCAGTTTGAACGAAGGGGTTATGAATTACGGTTTTCGATTCTATCGTATTTCCTCGCGAGAGTAGCTAAATAAAAGGATTAAGAAATTATATCAGAGCTGCATGGGAACGGTGGTTAAGTTCAAAATAGAAAGCAAGTCTGCCGTTTAAACTACATGTTTTTGACCCTAATACAAATATACTGTTTAATTACAACTACATATTCAGTGCATAATATTCAAGTTGACTCATTCAAGAAACTGTTCAAAGTGAGATCTAAGAGAGTGATCTAATTTTGCTTATCCACCGTTTAAGCTGAACGGGCTTGATGCAACCTTCTTGAACTGTGTATACTGTAACACAAGGTACCGGTACTGTTTGGAGGATGCTCGTTTTATTTAGAAAGGTTTTCCCAACAGACCTTACTTTCAGACTTACTTTCTCTTTTACAAAAAACAAAACTTGCTTTATACAAAATAGAAACTTACAATGTTTAAGCCAACTTACAATGAAATTTAGGGATCCAAATTTCTCTGTTGATTTGACATGACAAACGATTTCTTTCCCAGCCTAAAGTGTACGTACGAATTAAGTTAAAATGTGAATAAAATACGAAAAGCAGCAACATTGTTACTAACAAGTGATCCACTTCCTCACCTGAACTTCATAACTCTCGGCTGTTACACCCAGATATGTATTGCTATTTGACCTGAATTTCAACAATGATTTACGATGCATGCTGACTTCTTCACCGAACCTATCTCTGGTCTTTGCCTGTAACCAAAGAAATTTAATGATGCAGAATCCATTTATCTCTCAAACTTGTAATGGCCTGAGAAAGTCATCATGCATACAGTCCATACGATACCTCAATGCGTAGACTGCTGATATTTTGCCCAATATTTCGGCGAAAAATAACATAGCCATCCTTATCGCTTGCATAAGTGGATGAAATTGCTCGATCATCAGGTTTGGTTGTTGATGTGACGATGACTATGTGATCAGCCAGAGGACTGCCGTCTTGTCGAGTTACTTCAATCTAACAAAGAAAATCAGCAATGTATAAATACTGCATATGATCATATCAGGTTCCACCTCCAATTAAAAGAGGGGGTGGATGCAAGTTTGTAGGGGGGGGGGCTAGAAGTAAACCCCAAGATCAAACTATATAATAGAAATTGGAAGCAACTAAATCTTCCTTCTTGCAAAAGGGGTGAGAAAATAGGTTTTGTTCTAAATGAAAAGGGAGAGGGAATAGTTAAAGTTGCACCTACTGTACTTAAAATTTGGGAGGAGGAATCTCTACTATGATAATTAAGTTGTTCAAAGGAAATCCTTGATCTTACCAGCGCTTGAAATGGGAAGCCAGTTTTAAAAGTTTCAGGGTTCGAATCAGCATACTTAAGAGTGACTGCACTTCGGTACAGTTTCACAGTCGTTTTGCCAGAATACGTCTTCTTTGTCAGTGTTTCTGTTACAGATGCATTCAACTTAAGCTCCGAGCCATAATTATTTTGATAAGGATTGCTGTGGGTGTGCAACCATTCAACCTTCTCCTTTGGTATTAAAAATTCATGACTTCCGTCAAACTGTAAGAAACAACTAAAATATCAATAGAGTCGATCCCTGAAAACTAAAATTTAACAAGAGTGAAAATTTTGCATGGAACTCTCTATCATGCTTAAATTTATGAGACTATGAGTTTACTGCAGTTTGCCAATCAAAATTCTTTACAACTTTTGTTGCAGAAGTATAAACCAACAAAAAATACTGATGCAAGTATGCATGCATGTACAATTGACACTCTCAATCTCCTTTTAGCCTAGGGGTTTTAATTAAATATAGACACTTACATCATCAAAATTCAGTTCATACTTCCTAACAAAGTCATAGCTGGAATAAGCAGACAACTTGGCCTTTCCTTTTACTCCTTTTCCATAAGTATACCTTAAAAATTACCAGGTGATGGATAAGAATACATTGCTCTGTCAAAGTTTCATTGTTTCTCAATAATTTTTCCTGTCAGACTGATTAACACAAAGTCTTTAAAGTGGAACACAAAGTCTTGCAGTCTTTTAAGTACAACATACTTAGCTGTAATAGTTCCTTGTATATCTCCATTTCCTTTTGATGCATAACTGCTTGTTAAGATTTTTACTTCATATTTTGGGAGAACTGATTAAAACAATAGACAATGCATGTTGATTATGTCAAGTTTCAAAAACAATATTTTATTTCTAGATGCAAGATATTTCATTTTATTATACCATATTCCTTGACATCAAATTTTGTCTCCTTCTTTACATTCTATAATAAGAATCATTGAGAAAATGTACATAAAGAAAGTTATTCGGCTAAATAATAAACATACAAATTTTGTGTTTCTTTTCACAAATTTATAGGTTATAATTTACCTCAATCTCAACTGATATTTTCCATTCACCCATGTTTGGCTGGGAGGATAGTTCAAAATCTTTAGAAACTATGCCTAGATTTATAAATAAGAAAAAATGATATATGACAGAATTTGTAGCAATCATTGACTAGAATGAATTGGAGAGAACTAACCTGAAGCACTGCTCACATCTTTCCACAAGGCAAGCTTATTGCCCTTGGGATCCTATAAATAGTACTGAAACGTTATTAAATTATTATATACCTGAGCAGTAACCGAGTAAGACAGCAAACCTTAATTGATGGAGAAGGAAAATCCTAGTAGGGTTAACAAGAAGTATATCCAATACTTACTGATACAGTTATTGTCATCTATGGATAAAAAGAAAAAACAGATGTGATCATTATGTATTTTCACAAACTGAAGATCTCTACAATAACTTATTCTGGTTTGAATATTTACCTTTCCAATAAGAACTTTCAGACTTGGGTAAACTGCCAGAATTCTCATGTGAACTGTGTGGAAAAGTTGGAGATTTAAAAGTACGGTACTTGGTTGGTCATCTACATTAATACTACATGTAAAATTAAGTTATTGAGTTAAATGTTTAGTGGCCAATAAAATAGCTCTTGCCTGTTTGTCCTGGTTTATAAATGCCTTTGTCAGTTTGGACATATATTGTGAATCCTTTCATCTCAAACGTAATGAAATTAGCTTGTCTTGTCTCGTTAAATGTCAACCCACCAGAACCAGTGATGTATAAATATTTATTTGTACGATAGTTGTCACTGTTCTCTGGAAATCCTTCTGATGGAATCTGTGGAAACATATATGAATTAGAATACTGTAGAGATTGATTAATTGATTACAGTTTGCCTGACTGATTTCTAATAAATATTTAACCAACTCACTTGAAGTAGAAGTGAACCAGTTTGTCCTGTATTATCAGAGAGAAATATGAACATATTAGCCTCTAAGACACTACCATGCAACACAAGGTTGAAAAAAATTATTACAGTATTAAAACAATAATGTTAAGGTTTTCTGATGACAGTGACAAATAATAGCGTGCATGCAGATATCACATTTTTCTCAGTGTATATTATACAGTTGAGTTTCAACATTGCAACAACTGTGTTAGATATAATGTGTCTTGCGGATATGTATTTAGACTATTCAACTTGCAAACCTGCGTTAAAAACTCCAGAAGCAGATGCAATTTGCTTAACATCAATTGAGAACTTCACGTTGATTGTAACCGGGGCATCATGCGGCATTGCTCTCAGAATGAGAACGCTCATTTTCACAGACATCCCGGGTCGAAATGTGTACGGAGCCGTTATAAAATACGAACTAAATGAAGGAGAGGTTTACTAGATTAGGAGACAGTATGAAATAGCCTGTATTTTACTTTGCCCTGGGTAACAAAAACGGCTACCCTTCGTCCTCTTGAACTCACTATGAACCATGAACCTAGGAAGAACCCAGTCTTCACTTTTGTGCAATTGCAATATTGTATACATGGATAGTTCATCTTTGTCAAAACGTCCAAAATAAGCTGCATAGTAAGGTCTATATTCTGCAAAACAGCGCGATATGCAGCTGCAATCTGAACGCAATTCAAGACGAAATCAAATAACGGATGTAAGCAAATCAGTAGAAGTGTTTAAGTAGAGAATAACAAATATAGGCTTCAAAGTATATCAATCGATCGTTCTTGCTTGGTACATCATAAAAGGCTTAGCAAATCATATACTGTACTTACTTGTTTGAAAAGGCATTAACATCAAGCAGGAACAAAGTTAGAGCAAAAAAGAAGATCTTTAAAGCCATGTCGCAGCATGGAATTCTCAACAATTTGAATACTTCACAAATGTTTTGCTTAATTGCGACAATTCAGTGTTTATATTATGTGCTTGGCTCAACATTGTTACATGCATGTTCTCCCATCATGTGATTCATGTCCGTGTTCGTCACCCCCCCCTGCAATATGCACATTATGCTAATTTTCTAGACATCTACGTTCCAAGCAACCTCGTCTTGATTTCAGGTTGTTATTTTGAGAGAGAAAAAGCAGCCCAACAATTTTAGGAAGACAAAGTGTCACAAGCTTTTTTTGAACAAAAAGCGAAAGAAAAGCATTGGCACAGGACAAGGATTGACCATTTCGCTGGGAATCCTGGGATTGACATCAAAATTGAAGACAAAAGTTAAAACAGAGAGATTCAAAAAAGCTTTTATAAATGGATTCTTATTTAATTTTATATAAATTATCAACGCTTTTATTCTAGAACTTAGATTATTAAATCATATTATTCTTACTTTAGAGATTTTAAATTCTATACTTTTAATTGATGTAAATACTCATGATGATGTATACCCAGGTAAAAATCTATGTAAACTCAAACGTTTGTTTTGAGTATTCTAACAAAGGCTTTTGAATTGAATTGAATTGAATTGCCTCAGTATCTCTTATATTTCGTACAGTAGCGTAGCCAGCGAGACAATTTAGTCACGCTATGTTAATATTTTGGTATTCATATACTGTGAAAATAATCCTCCAGTGATAGCCGACAAAATCCACTTAAATCGTGAATAAATTAAAGGACCTGTTTTTGATCAAACGGGTGGCTTGGGAGAAAAGTTGGATAGGAAAGAATTGTGACACGGTACCCCCGAAGACGAGTTTCTGTTGTTAGGCCACGGCTAATATTTACCATTTACTTACATGGTCGGTAGCTACATTTTAGACGTTAAAATTCCGGATGCCAAGTTTGCCATAAAAATGCAACGCGTGTATCAACAATATTGAAGGAAATTACACATGTCAATGCTTAGACGGGTTTATTGGTGATGGTTACCATGATTGCTTCGGCGAGTTAAATACGAATGGCCTTGATCATCGATAAAGGCCGGATCCAAAGCTTTGTATTATATTAGACTAATTCACGTAGTGTTTTCTATAAATATATTTAATAATTAGTTCACTAAATTTCGAGAATATAAAAATTGGGTTAGGGTAAAACGCAGATACGGACGGTCGGACGGATAGCTTACTTTTCAATAAAACAAATTTTAAACGTCATATCCGTTTTTTACCCAATAGGGTAAAACGCGGATATGGTATAAAATATGCTTTTCGGGCGTTTAAAAATAAACTGTGACTAGATAAATATGACTACATAAATATGAATATAAAATAAGAATGTACCGAAATTGTGCCGGTACACAGATATTCACTCATAATCTTTTTTTAAATAAAATGTAATCAAACAAATACCACATGCATAATCTCGCACTCTCTATAAGTCACAGCGTTCGTGTTACGTTACTTTACATGCTTTCTCGTGCCTTTTTTGGAACCGCGCACGGACTGGAATTACACAGGTCACCCATTTCAAACTGTTCCGCTCATGAATATAAAATATGAATATGAAATATGAATAGATTCATAAACGTGCAAGTTTAGTATAACGTATACATATTTGTATAATAGTGTATTAGATTTGCATTCCAAACTGTCGGAGCAGTAGATGTTGCATGGTGAGTTGTGGTGCTAACCAGCTTGCTACTTCTACGCAGGTCGGATCTCATTTCACATGAAAGTACACATTCCCCGCCTTGCTGACTCTTCCACCTGATATTGGATGCATGTACCAGCAAAGCATTTTGGTAACGACAGTCATGTTAAAAGGTGGATGTAGTATATGGTTATTTGGTTTTAGAGCCTGCCCACAGCCAAAGCAAAATCGTGTATTTGAGAGATAGTAGTCAAGGTAATAAAGTTGGAAAGTTCCACTTATTGGTTGAGGAACGAATGAAGTCGCTTGCGGTATTTGTGCACCCGGTGGTATTTACTCCGGTATTTGTGCAACTGGTGAATCTTTTCTGCGGCATTTGCGAACAAGGTGGTACTTGCTGCTGTGTTTGCGCATCTGGTGGAATTTGCTGCTGTATTTGTGCAATATCCGTCATATTTTATACCATATCCTCCGGTTTTACCCGATTGGGCAAAACGTGAATATGACTTTTAAACGCCCAAAAATACTATTTTATACCATATCCGCGTTTTACCCGATTCGCGGATATGCCTTTTAAACGCCCGAAAATCATATTTCATACCATTAACACGGATATGACTTTTAAACGCCCGAAATTCATATTTTATACCATATAAATCATATATATATTTTTAAAATTTGTTTTATTGAAAAGTAAGTGATCTGTCCGTCCGTTCGTCCGTTCGTCCGTCGCTATCCGTCCCTCCGTATCCGCGTTTTACCCCAACCCATAAAAATTTTTGCTTTACCATATGCCAGAATTTGGACCACTTTGGATTCCGCTATGTTCTCCCGGGTTTAATTCTTAATCTGCGAGCGGAATAAGTACCCTCGCAGGCACTCCGCGTTTGCTAAGGGACAAAATATTGCAAACACATGCATGGCTTATTCAATTAATGGCTGTCTCGAAATATAATTGGGTAATGCGCTAGATCTTACCATGTTTTTCTTACGAACATCGAATTTGCTGATAACAAAACTAACAAAACAAGTAATAGAAAAACTATACTTTTACACTTATTTCTTTCGGTTTTGTTTACGCAAATTTCATTCAAACGCTATTAACCGCGAGTAGCCTACTTCTTTATAGGCATGTGTAAACGTATGCTTCACCATATTTTGGTATTATATTTTATATTCGTATACCTTGATAAAAACGCTATTCATTTTTAAAGAATACTATTTTTTACATGCAAATCTACCAATGTGATTGCAAGTTAGAGCTGTAGTAATCTATTATGACTTACATTGAATCTCAGTGCTACCGCCTTCTATATACATTAAATGTAGAAAGCCAGTGCTAAATAATAGTTATGTAAAAGGCGTCCGTGAAGAACTCGCTCTTGTAAGTCATAATTGTTTGTTTGTTAATAGTGTAGTGTTATACGCTATCACGTCATCTCTTCCTGCCTCGTTGAGATTTTGCATATGACAGTAAGCAAGCAAGTAAATAGCTTATTTTTGTTTTACAATGACTTTGAACTAAAGTCAAAATATCGCCGTAAAATTCCCGTCTTGTTTTGTCAGTAGCTCATATATTGAGTTTACAAGATGTTATTTTTCGAAATATGTATCACAGCTTGAAACTATATGTTTTCTAATATCTCGCAGCGTTCTATCTGGCATAACAAAAATCTGACGAATCAGGAAATTTTGGCGAGAAGCGTCGAACTGATAGCCCCGTATACACTACACTCAATTTATCGGCACGGCTAAAATGGGTACCCGTGCCTTTTTTATTTGTATTCGCCTTTGTATTGGGTACGCGTACCCATTTTAGCGCGCCGTGCCAATAAATTGAGCGTAGTGTAAAAGGGGCTGATATTGACAGCCAACTTCCTCATTTTTGCTCAAACATTTAATTAGCTAATGGTTCTGCTATACAAGAGGAATCCATGCTAACGAGATTCCGTTATTATACCTCCTACTGATCTGTATTACAGTTAATGTGTTTTGGAGTTTTTGTTAGTCAACTTATTATCTGTATCCCATGGAGCAGAATTTATCTATTCAATTGAAATTAATTCAGGATTGATGCTACACTTATTTAATTAATATCCCGCATCGCTTCTACCACATTTAGCATAAAAAAACCTGTTTATACAATGTTGATCAATAAGAATGTTACATCAGGCGAACGTCGAAATAATTTTGACAGCTTACTGATTGTGCTCAGTCAATGATTATTTCGCAGTCAACGACATAAGAGAAATATGAACGCGATCGTATCTATTTTGTTCCTTGCTTTGTATCACGCTCGAAATGTGCGTGGTGATTTTAGTTGCGATAATGTCGAGTACACATTTATCAATGAGACACGCCGGAGTTCAGCGTTTAAAAGTTCAGCACCTTATATCTGCGACCGCGGTTTCATCGAAGACGATAAGTGGTATCGATTTCACAGTGAATCAGGTAACGAAATGCCCACAACAAACCCTGGTCTTCTTCGCTGTGGTACATATGTCCCAATATGGTTTGACGGCACTCATCCAACAGTTGAAAATGATGTCAAGGACGCAAGAGCTTGCGCCGCCATACCTTTTATCTCCCCGCCCGGTTGCGGTGTCTCCTATAACATCAAAGTTGTTAAATGTCCAGGCGATTTTTATCTCTATCGGTTAAAAGAGCCACAACAATGTTCGTTGGCTTACTGTGCAGGTACGTTACGCGCTACAGAAATAAAAATAAACGATATTACCGTATTATACGGAGGTTGAATGCATGCATGCAAATCTAAAGAATTATCTATATGAAAAACTATATCAGGGCGAAGGATTTAATCATTAATTTAATTCGTAAGGTTGTCCACTGTTGGGCCGCTGTATGAAGAAATTGTTGAAAAATCAAAATACAACGGCATCACTCCAAAATTTGGGGAAACGAGCTTTCCATCTAAAATGAAAATAAATATTAAGCATTCACATTGGCCAATGCGATTCCTTTTTTATTTGTATCGCACCTATGACATTTTTCAAAGCATTCGATTGCTGGTTTTCCGCTATTTTTAGCGCAAATATAAACTCGCTGAGTTATTGAATCTTGTTTTCACCTAACTATAAGTTGTCGGGTGTTTTCCTATGCTGATGCCATAGTACGTACATATACAAAAGTAACTAACAAAGTAAGTAACACAACGCAGAATTCTATTTCTTCAATGAAAATTATGGCTTAATATATATTGTTTTCTAATATCCCGCAGCGTTTCTCACATTTAGCCGCTAACAAAAATCTGATGAATGAGGAAGTTTGTTCTCGAAAACATCAAAATAATACTGACGGCCTCCTCGTAGATTATGCCTTCTACAAGTAGGTATCACAGTTATTGTGTTTTTGAGTTTTTCGGGTGAAGAAAAATTAACTGAGGAGTAGAATTTATGAACTC